AGAATACATATATTTTGTACATGAAGCGAATGAAACATAGCAAAGCAAAATGACACGCAGGGAAGATGGCTGGGAAGCCAACTCCATTTTAGTCAAGCGTTACTCAATATTTATAGTCAGACAAAATAAAGCTACAGACATGTGATTAATGGGATAAGAAGGGCACACACATATACGCTCATATAAAAACAGTCAAGACTGATAAGCGAATAATTGACAAGGTCAAAATATGACTTAAGTAGAATGAATAGAATGGAATATCCGAAAGCTAGAATAAGATATATGGACTTAAAATAATGAATGACACTACAGATTTCCCCAACTGACAATGCGATAGTACTTGAGTGTTGAGTACTTAAAATAACGATAAACAGAACCGGATGAAGATTTATGATAAAAGCAGATTCTAAGCCACTTGGTGGATTTAGAACGATCACATTTGATAGAATTATACAAAGCAAACCTAATTAACTGAGAATGAGTTGTCTGTTTGGTTATTTTGATCGAAAAAATGGTTTACGCAATGATCAATCTAATACAGACTTGTAATTCCTTGTGAATGATCTTTTTGGGACAACATGTATTATGGAACAACATTGTTTTCAATCAGATCCCCATCCGGCTTACTCTAATATTCATTAATGTCTAAATGCATATATGGAAATATTAGACTAATCAAGACATTTTATGAGTCAGCGATAACAGTGGAATAGACCATATAAATATACAGCAAGTAAAAATTACAAGTTCTTAACGCTATGACATAAGGTCTAGTTGTCATAAGAATAATAAGGCTTAAGTCAATATTTTATAACAAGAAATAGGTCAACAACTTGGAGATACAGACACTCAAATGAAACTCATTAGAATTACGTGATAAGTACTCAAACAATTATATGTATGAAAAGAGTGAAAATAAACGAACAAAGAGTATGGAAAATAATATGAAAAAACCGTTTGTTACGGTTCATTCAGCCAAGAAAGAAATATGGGGGGTTGCGAATTGCTTATACACACAAAGACTTTGTTTGTTAGCCTAAATTCATATAGATCTACCTATATGACTCGTCGAGATCGAACCCTGTAAGGAACACTAGTAGGAAAACGATAAATCCCTATAAGTGGTTTGTCTATCTATTACATGACTGTTATCAATTATGTATGACAAAACGCCCGAATCCACATTAAATCACTGCTTGATGGACTGTTTATAAACCAAAAGCCCTAATTTAATCTGACCACCACCAACCGAACAGGATAAAACCGATCTACAAATAACCGTTGTTTAACCCTTTTTAAACGAAAAAGTTGCTAGCTATGTAACCTATTAGTAGGCCATGTGTATTTTCCGTATATGAACAACTGAGTCACTCTATAAACACTGTGGTAAGACGTTTTTTTGAACAGTTATGATCGGTAAACTAATATGACAAAAGTTGGTCAGATAAAATACTTCATATATGACCCTGGCTGTATTCATGTACGATATTACTAACTATAATATTTGACAAGTGACATTTTAAACACTGATTAGATCAATACCTGTTTAATACTTAACCTCGACCCCATTCGTTTCATTTTATAGGGGTAGAATGTTAATAACATACACCGTTAACCAATTTGCACACCAACTGTGTACTTGCTTCCCATCATAAACAACCAAAATATCTTGAAACTGTTTTTGTCTACACAAATGATATTTCGAAAATTCAGAGCTTTTTGCCCGCATACAAGCTATTAAAAAAATCATTTATAGGCAACTACCGCAAAGACCTTATACTGTTTCAAGATTTATCCTAGTTGTATTGTTGGGCAAAAATCTATAAAAATTAGTTTTAATTTATTAGTGGAATGGACAAAACAACAGGTTATAAATGAGAAATAAAAATTATTTACTGGCAAACATGAAACAAACTGCAGAAGTGTTCAATTTATATAGATAGAAACTGATAGACAGCAAGATATACAGCAGCTCGATGTAATAATCACAGAAAATTACGAAGATCTACATATCACATGGCCGACCATACGTACATACTTTCTTTAGACTCAGATATGCCATAATTCTGCTTGGAAACAAAAATATTAAAAAAACACTTTCTAACATACTGGAGACACAAAATATGCTAAGATACATCATACATTAGCGGAGTACACTGACACAACTTTTCTATTATCAAGACATCCACCTTAATCATAATAGATAGTACGAGAAGCATTTGTAGTATTGTACAAAAGCCTTCAAGAGCGTATCCTAAGATTTATTGAAGCCCTGGCTACATGGAAACTGAAATTCCCTTTAGGTATTCACAAACAATTTGTTCTTACTCTTAGCCTACCCTGGTAATACTAATTTATTATTCAGAGTGGTTATCACATTTTTTGTGTATTTTATTTTTCTTTGTTGCGGCTAACCTTTCATCGGTCTAGTTGACCTTTTAGTTTTTATATAAAAATATCTTAACAAGTATATATGTGATCACACTATTCGAAATGTATTACGCAAATACATCAAATAATTCTGATCAGTCAGCCAGTAACAACGTAGAACTTCGTACCTACGTACATCAGTTCGAGTTGCCACACCACATTAGCACACAGATGCAGTGATCGATTCAAATCCTGTAGTGCTAGATGTAGTAAAATTATAAGCTGCTATCAGAAAAATTAGGGTTTGAAGATGTTATTCAAGGAGTATAATCCAGTGAAATAAATTTGGAAAGAGAAAAAAGAAAGGGACATGAAGAATTCAGAAGATTAGAATTTGGGAGAACACAAAGAGTGGATGCACCTGCACCACTGCAAACGATTTTGAGCCATGTCATTCAGGGTCTCTAACCATCGGTTGATATCATCTCGCGGTCCACAACAAGGTAGTCTACACCGACCAACATGACTCAGTCCACTTGTCAGTGACTTCATGGACTTGTGCCATGTTTTGGTCTGGCCGCCCCTAGCTTTCTTCCAACCTACTCCTATACAACAAAACATCGCACATCGAGGCACTCGGTCGTTGAGCATACGTAACACATGTCCCAGCCATCTCAACTGATGAAGTTTCACTACGTCATCAATTGATTTGCCATCCTTACCTAGTACCCGTTTCCTAACAACTGCGTTACTTACTCGATGGTCCCAGAATACACGAGTAATATTTCGAAGACACCTATGGTCAAATACTAGTAACCTACGGATATTCTCTACTCTTACCGGCCATGTTTCACTGCCATAAAGTAGGACGGAACGAACTGCTGCGCAGTAAACACGTCCTTTGGTTGATAGACGGATATCTCGCCTACGCCATAAATGACGCAAGTTGGCATAAGCTAGTCGATCCTTCTGTATCCGTGCTGAGGTTTCGTCACACACCAGATCACAAGGGCTGATGAGACTTCCAAGATAAGTGAGGCGATCGACACGCTCAATTACTCCATTAGTTCGGGTGTCAATGCGACCCAATCCTGAAGCAACATTTTGCATTTCGAGGGGGAGAATCGCATGCCGAACATGCTTGCATTGTTGCTCAGAGTGGTCAGAAGACTCTGCATTTTGTCAGCGTCTTCACTAAATAAAACTATGTCATCAGCATATTCTAAGTCAACAAGTGAACCTCCTGGTAGAAGTTCAACCCCTGTAAAGTCAGATGAGGAAAGTGTTATCTCTAAAAGTACGTCGACGACAAAGTTGAACAAGAATGGAAAGAGTGGGCAGCCCTGACGAACACCACTTGAGGTAATCAATTCTGATGACAGTTCGCCATAAGCTCTCACTCTACCAGTTGTGTTCGAGTAGAGTACTTCTTTGGTACTCCTTTCAGTGATAAACACTGCCATAGAACCTCACGATCAACAGAGTCGAATGCCGCCTTAAGGTCGAGAAATACTACCATTGTGGAGCGTCTGAATGTGTGTCTGTGTTCTAGAACCTGACGTAGTGTGAATATCTGATCTATACAACCACGTCCAGGTCGAAAACCAGCCTGATTTTCTCTAGTCTGCTCTTCACGAGCTTTGATTAGGCGTCGAAGTATTATTGAAGCTAATATTTTAGATACTATATTTGTCAAACTGATTCCTCTGTGATTGTCACAAGAGGACTTTTGTCCTTTCTTATAGACTGGAACAATCAGTGATTGAGACCAGTCAGATAGGATTACGTCCAGTTCCCAAATTCTGCCTAAGACCTCAGTTAATCTCACTGTTAATACTGGACCACCATCCTTAAAAATTTATTTTATTTATTTGAACACATATATATTGGTACAAGAGTGCGCCAAACATATATGCGCCACACAATTTCAGTTCATTAATTGCGTGTGGGCTGCGTTACTGCCCGGGTGCCCAGACCGAAGCAGGTGGTTATCTTAGGGGGCCACACCCCGAGCATTTGACCTAAATGTCTAACCCACAAGGCAGTGGAGCATCGTAAGGAGATGCAGTCCCATGGTAGCCGGTGACCGAAAATTGGTTCATACGCCATTTGTTCCCGCAGGATACTGGAGCCCATGTGCACCATTGGTTTGGAATCTGGTTAAGGCACCGGACATTCGCTTTTCGTCCTCTCAATTTCGTAAACAACACCCCCGCCACGAGAAGGCAGTGAGTAGGACTTCCCTGGCAGAGGCTGTATACGCGCGGCCGTGTGAGAGTATTTCGAGAGGGAGGGCGAACCCACCCCGCTCTCGGCCATACCAGGGCGTTTGGAGGCCTTAAAAATCTCAGGAATAAACCTGTCAGGGCCTGCTGCTCTCCCCCGCTTCAGATTTCCTATGGCTTTTTCAACTTCGTAAAGAGACGGAGGACCTACATTAACTTGCCATTCAGGTTGACTGGAGATCGTGGAAAACCGAAGTGTGGCTGAAGGCCAGTTGAACTGATCCCTAAAGTGTTCTGCCCATCGATCCAATCTCCTGGATTGAGAATGTATAATATGTCCATCTTTCTCTGAGGGTGTTTCGCTAATAGTCGGTTTCCTAAAACCGGTTTCCTTGACGAGTCTGAACAATTGTCTGCTATTACCTATTGTCGCTACCCACCACTGTTCACGATCATTGCGTAGACTTCTTGTCAGCTTGCGCTTGAGCTGACTCCGCTCTTCATTATGTTCAGAGCCAGGTGAAATGAGTTTCCGAGCATCTATCAGTGCGATAGATGCTGCTGAGATCCAGTGTTGCTCCTTAACCTTACGGGTTACCGTACTAGCAGATATCACTGCTGTTTCCACAGCTTTTCGGATGTCCTTCCATGCTGCCTCGGGGTGGGCATCACATACATGGCTGCCTAACTATTTTCCTAGTTGTTCCTGAAATATACTCTTAACTTGACTATCATTAAGTAGGGCCCTAAGAGGTTTACTTACAGCGTCTTTCCTACGTCCAGTAAGCGGCAGACAGATACGCACTCGTACTAGAGCATGATCTGAATCTAAGCATGTGCTCCAGAATGAGCGACAGTCTTCTGATAAACTTCGTCTTCTCATTGCATTATCGAAAAAGACAAATGAGATAAACGGAAGTCAATTAAAGACAACTTTGGCTCCCAAAGATATATCTGAGCTATCATGACAAGAGTTATCATACATATCTCGAAGTGAAGGAGTTGAATGAAAACCCTGGCAAAGATAACATGTTCTATTAGCTTTTTTTAATTAACTTGCCAATACGAACCATTTTTTCTTAGAGCATAACACCAGAAGTGTGTTACAGCTGGAAAGCGAACACATGAAACAAGTTTCTTGGTGTTGAATGATATATTATGATGTAAAAATATACATCTAGAACTTCGCGCGGCAGTTAATAAGTAAATACAACCTATTGACTGAGAGGAAATTGCAGAGGATACATTGAAGTTCTTCAAAGTGAACCTCAATACTACTACACTCACAATTACTGAAACACTGTAATAGTGCTGCTTGATCTTGAGAGTCATGAACCAGTGAACGTAGCGCTTGTAAATGGTAATCTTACTTTAGCAATCAGTTACGACGACCAATGACAGGTTTTGATTTTCTGCAGTTCTTGGAAGGTATTAAATCATCCAAATCCTCTTGCAATGACGATTTATCTGATGTTTTGTCAACTTCACTTAGAGCATAAGTTGGACATCTACAGACGAGTATGTAAAAACAGGAATCGAGTCTACTACTTATAGCTTTCTAACTTTCTTTTCTTTTCATTCAGAACAGCTGAAAACTTCGAGAGCAGAACAATTTCCTTGTCATCTATCTGAGAAACCACTTCTTCATATTTCTGAAAACCATTAAGACATGATACTTTTTACCTTTACGGACATATCAGCCAAAGACTTTAGCTTCTCGTTTTCTCTCTCGAAATTACTGCAGCATAAAATCGATTCTTTGAGACTATTGGTGATTAGACTCGTTAGTTCGCAAAGTGATTCTAATGGATTATATGAAGGTTGTAAGTAAAAAGATCCGAAGATGATCTAGAATATCATTCAGAGTGTACGTTGATACTTTAATGCCTTTCTTAATTTCTTTGGACCACATGAAATTTAAATTCGCCCCTTCTTCTCTTAAATTAAAGTAGCTAGATGGGTCGGAAGAACTAAAAGACTCTGAGAGATTCTGTGTATATTGGTTACGCGTTTGCTTGACGAGGTCACAAAACTCATCAAGTTTCACACAATCAACTATCACTGGTCAAGACCAAAAATAATTAACGAACCTACTGCATGCCACAAGCCGTTTTTAATGGCTGTGATACAAATAGAGTTTTCTTGATGAACAAAGATAACTGTATAACCATTAATCTTCGCATCTCCACAAAGCTTGATTTGCACCCCCATCATTCATAAGTAACACCAACCTTCAATTCTAAAGAATTGAGATAAACAAATAATTGGTGGGATGTTCCTTCATATTTTACATTCGGTAACGGAATTTCATATTATTCTGTCACTTGAACTGACGATAAATCATAAAGATAACTACTACTAGGAGGGCGAAAATAGAGTGCATCAACAGTATTCTTCGAAAGACATTACTACGTAAAATTATCTGAACAGTGAAGACAACAACAGAAATTATTCAGAAATCTGCATTGTACCTCCAACGTAATAGCGGCTTGGGAGTTGTGCACCAAATGACTCGGTCAAGTTTGGAATGACCTCCTATCAATTCAGGGCCACTATATCGCCGTTTTCTACGGACTTCGTTATAAATGAGACAACATAAAATCGCCTATGTAGATGATTGAGCAATATTCTTTTCCACCAGCGAATAGGCAAAGAAGCTGGTTATGCGATAAAATGAATTAATATACAGAAGAGCTTTCAAATTTAAGAAATGGGTAACCGATTCGGGAGAAGTAAAAGCCTTTTTGTCTGATGTATATAAGGAAGAGTCTTCTATGGATATGGCAACAAGTTATAATACCACTTATGAAACTTATTGTGACATGTATATTCAATGATTTTTGTGACAACAAAATAAAGATCACATTTTTTATTTGTTCGTCACACCTTATATGTAATCACATCTATATCCAATATCAATTGTTTCTCTGTATCAATGGTAAAGAAACGGACATAATTGTTCAGTTTTATATACGCACACTACCGTGATTGTTGAAAAATAAACTCTATATACGCTGTCTGGTCTTCTGCTTTATTAGCTCGTTAATTGAAGATTATCATAGGCCCTCTCACACTACGTTGGAGATTCGGCCCGGATTATTATTAAATAATACGTTGTATGTCAGTTAGTTTATGTTGCGGTGTTTCGAGGAATTCAGAAGGGGATCTATGAACCCGATGAGAAGATGGAAGTTCATTATTTCAGCGATGTGTCTGAAATTTGGCGTGGAGCAGTTGCCCACGGGTTAGTTATGTTCAGAAACCACCGTATTGTGTTTTGTTGTATACTTTTTGACGCACCGAACACCTGTTAAACATATCTTTGAACCTCTTCATTTCTTATTTCTGTTTCAGCCGATTTTGAGATCCTAGATTAAAGACATTGAAGACTGCAGTGCAGGTGATCTGTTTGAATTTTCTGGGTCCACTCTATAAATCACTAACGTTGGTGGCCTACTCGAGTTAGACGGAACTGGTGTTACCGACAGCTAACGTAGGAGTCACGCCGTGCAGTCAGCACCTAACGTGGATTACTCCTTCGTCGTACCAAGGTATTATGGATCCTTTGAAGACCGTAAAACACAAAGTAAGTTATTAAGGAAATATATTAGTAAGAGAGAGTACAGAAAAGACAGTGAGACCACCACCACATGGGCCAGTTCATGGCATACGATTAACTGTTACTTTTTGGCTGTCCTTGACTTTGACAGGGACTGATGATCTTTTTGACATTCAGTGACCCAACTACCGGATGACATTTCATTGGCCCTACAACTCGACTTGGAAGGGAAAGGTACAACTGTACGACCATTGGCCTTTCTTTAACTTATCCACTTGTATAACAACTGGTGAACTATAAGGAAATTGAACTTAGTAGTCATACTGTAGGGCCAGTGAAATGTCACTGAGCCCTAGCCAAATCATCCGGCAGTTGGATCACTGAATGTCGAACAGATCATCGCTCCCTGCCAAGGTCAGGTACAACAAACGCGCATTAGTTAATCATACGCCATGGACTGGCCCATGCGGCAGTGGTCTTACTTTCGCTTGTATCTACTTTAACTAATATATTTCTGTAATAACGTCCTTTGTGTTGTACAGTCTTCAAAGCATCTATAGTACCTTGTTACGTCAATGGGGGTAGTCCACGTAAGGTGCTGACCACGAGGTGTGACTTCGACGTTAGTTGGTTCGTCACACTATTCACGTCTAACTCGAGTAGGCCTCCAATCATTTCGACATAGATCATCTACGTTGGTGATCCACAATACCTTTATTTTTAAAACACAAATGACTTTAACTCACCAGTCATCAACCCTGTCTTTTCTGCTAACAGTACTTTTCTTTTTCTTTTCTTTTTTCAGAACCGTCGAGACGCAACACCTAAAACGCATCAATAAAACAGATAAAATCGTCCTACGTCTTTTCTAATACCTACTATATTTCAGAAGGATTTATAACTATCTCTACTAGGAGCCTGTTAAATTCGCTATCTGGCAACAATATCAAGATGCCTCAAGTAATACAATGAAGTTGAAGTTTCTGATCTACCGATTAGGCATTCAACCCATATTCATATATGGACCACTCTAGACTTTTCTTGGATTAAGTTCCAACCACCAGTTGTTCGTCACAATGCAGCTTCCATAATGAGAAACAACTTTTAGAATGAATACTTGAGTCTTAAGTGAATAGATTTATATTCCTGTTTCAATGACCACTGTGCCTTTGATCATATCAGCCTAAACGAGCAGCTTATTACGGTGAATCCTGTTGCATTTTTAACATATTGATATTACCATTAAACTGGCATGCATCACGTAATATATTGTCATCTGAGAATAAATTATTATTATCGAAAATTAACATGTACGAATCTTGTATGACATCCGTATACTATGTCTACTATGATGACTACATCGAATAAAGTCATATTATTAAGAATCGTATTGTTAATATCAGATAAATACAGAGTGCAAAAGCTGTTGCTCGGTCCAGTCCATGAAATCCAACTGACTTATCCAAGCTAATCGTTTGCGACCGGATGGCTAACTATCGGTGATATATAGTTTAACAAGTAAATGGTTTAGCCAGTATTGTTTTGCCGGTATTTTAGGCTGGTGAGTCGATAAAACGAAGAAGCCAAAAATTCTTTTCCTCGGTAATGTTGATTCACCATTCCTTTCACACAAACTGAGTACAGTCATTTTTGTTTTATTCTAAGAAAGGTGTTCACCACCTTGTCGGCTCAATTGTCTGGTTGCACTCCCAATATAGCTTTTTCCACAGGAGCATCTGAATTTGTAGATACAGATAAATGTGGCAGAACCATGTAACTTGTACCTTAATTGGGGAATCACCATAGGTCGGGTCGAGAACGATGGACAGTGGTTAGCTGCATCAAGCGTTCTCTTCACTGGTCTGATTAGTCTATCCTGTAGTACATCACCAGTTATATCAGCGTTGGTTTGTAGCTTCAGGAAGATGGGTTTCCTACTAGCTGTGGACTTTGTTCTTTTCCTGTTTATTGCATCCAAACGTTTCCACAGAAAACCTTGTAAATAACATATTTCAGTCAACATTTTATGGATAAGCTCTAGTTCCTTGTTAACAATGTCGTCTGAGCATATCTTTCAAGCTTTATTTGCAGGACATCTGATTAGGTTTCTCTTGTAATGAATGTATACACAGCTGATGAAATGTGTGTGCTGGCTTGCTGAAGAACTTTTCTTATACACATTTTTACTGTTAGGACCACTTTCTTTTCTGTTCAACAAAACGTTGAGGAGATGTAGTTTGTGATCGAGTTGCTCTTCACATGCAAATGTGATCGCATAACTTTAGTTGTTAAAAAGCACTAAGAGTTCTTTTTTCCTAATGTTCAGATCAACGATAATGAAAGTGTCAACAATGTAACAGTAATAAAAAGTTTATTAATTTTTTATATGCGTGTAAATTTTACTGTATCTTAGAGTAAAGCCTGACGAGGATTTAAATAAAAACGATATTGTTGGCTTGTGCATGTTGTTCCAATTATCAGTAACAGCACATGGCAGTCTCTGAAGCTATTAAAAGCATCCGTTGACTTTCCCGCGATGGTCATATAACGAACTTTTGCACAGAAGACCTCAGCAAGCTAATAAACCATCAAAGAACAAAATATATTTACTTACATGAGAAGTAATGTATCCCTAACGAATAAGGGAAGTTATTTTGCCATCTACCGTTTAAACGACTCAAGCACTAGAAATCAGACAGTCGATAATTTGAATAGACCTTGTACTACCGTATTATGAAACATTATGTAATTTAATAATTAGGAAACACGAATTTAGTTGCTTGTCGAGATAAAAGTATTTCAAACAGGCAAATAACTCAATTCTATCATAAATAAATATCCATCCATGCAAAAAGGATTTCACATACGACAGTTTTTAATTTCTACTCTTTTTCACCTCCATGCCTGACTCCGATATTTATTCGTTCCCAATTTAATATATAAGCGGATGACTTAGTATTCAATCTTAGACTCAATAAGGCGGACAACGCGATCTGAAATGTCACACACAGATTGTTATGGGGACGATATATTTCATGTACATGTACCAACAGACAACCCATCAGAGTAATTTAGTGAACACAGTGTGGGTACTAACATACTTCCTAAATCAAAGTACGACCCGTGAACTGTATGTATATATAGTTAGAAATTGACAAAAAATAAAATAAATAACTGTATAGACACATATATACTAACAACTATACAAGCATATATAAAGGTATGAAAATTGAGTAAGTACATATATTAAAGTAATATATGGTCAATATGCTTAGCAATGACAAATGTAAAAAAATTTACCCGTGGGCATGGTCACAAATAAATAAATCATACTAAACCGGGTCGTTTGTCCCATACTATCCGCCTTTTGTTATCTATCCGAACAGAAAAGTTACATAGGCACGTGGGAAGCCATCACCGTTTCCGCTATAGCGAAGCAAGCTGAAGTTACAGTTTCTATTGTTGTTGTATTATCCCCAAACATTCGAATTACTTTACTTTTATATTTCTCTACTTGTAAGCCTCCGTTCGACCTACAAATTGTTACTTTACACTTTGGCTATCACAAGTTGTTCTTAATTAATTAAAGACCTACCACAGTTCGCTCTCCCTGATGCGTAGTTATGCCTGTAACGTGATTTCTAATTAGATATCTGATCGGTATTTTACTCTATATTACTGTATGATATGAATCACAAACGTGAAATGTATGATTAGGAGTTACCTACTTGCTGGGTTATGTTCTATTCCGGCTACAGATGTTTACGGTGATCGCACAGATTCTTTCAAAAATTGCACAATACCATCCCAACTATCAGACAGACACAAGGATCACAACTGCTACATAGAGTCAATTGTCTGCCAAAAATGAAAAAAACACTACATAGATCATCAAACGTGTTAACTACGTTCGGCAAAGCTAACATGTTTACAACAAAACAATATAATTTGAAACCTTTGAAAGTCCCCACTAAATATCCTATACAAATGGGATCACGCATCTTCTTTAAAAACATCTATTTTTCCGTTCAGACCCTGATGTCGAAATGTTAGTGATATGATAACTTTTAGCTGAACAACCATACTCCATAAGCTATTTAGTATTTGATGTAATCGAATATTAATGCATATCCTCTATCTACTTAAATACATCTGCCCACTCCATTCTTATGTTTATTTTATTAGAACTATCAAATGACCAGGGCTATAGCCAATGACAGAATACACTTTAATAAAACTTGAACAAAGAATTTAATTTTTAATACAAAATCTGCAACGTTAGCAGAATGAATCCAAACTGGGAGAAATGTAGTTGAAATAAAGTGTGTATGATTGTTTTGTTTACCGTAAGAGAGAACATGGTCCGTTTTGGAAGGGAAGTGTTTGGTTTTTAAGTGAATAAAGTAATTTAAAATTGGTCACGATACATATTCAAACATCTCTGTGCGGTAAACCTGTAGTGCACACTTACGATTCAGGCGATCACATAAAATAAAAACCCACAAAACATAGACATGGAAAAGTTACGGAATAATACTCAATAGGTACTCGTACCCAGTTGAAGAAGTGGAACCTTGAAACCCTAGAATATACGATTCTGTAAATGAATTTATAAAATCAACCAGGTTCCAGATTTATTTTTAAAATAAACACTGGATTTATCTATGACAACTGAAATATGTATTACGAACAAGTCATCAAATTAAAGAAATACACAACATATTTTTCTCTCAATTAAACATATCACAGCATGATGAAAGATCGAATTGCATAGCAGAGAATCCAAATAAACAGATTAGAAATAGTAGGATACAAAAATGCCTGCTGAACAACAAACAGAGAAAGAAAAAAAACAGTACTTTTCTCTCTTTTCCTTAAAAAATTGGGGAATAACAATTGAAAAAAGTATAACACATTTAAATCAATCATATTAATACAAATTCATGAATAAGTGCATATTTCATATTTGTATTATGAATAATCCAGTATAAAGGATTTCAAAATTTTCAGCATTATAATAACCGCATTAATCTGAGGGAAAATCAAATATATACAAATAAACACAGAGTTCCAGAATCTTAACACAGTCAGTAGAGAAAATGCATGTGTAGACATTGGGCAATCATAAGAGATAACTAATTAGAACATTAAAATCAGCATCCAACCACCATTACAGTCACAACAGCAAAGAGCAGAAAGTAGATATTATTTGAAAAAACACTATAGGACGAATAATAGTTAGATATATAAAAAGAAACACGGAAACACAGTTTCTTGGCAAACAAAAACAAAATTTTAAGAGATGCACAAAGAAATCAGCAAGAGAGATTACACTTGAATAATTTTACAGAGAAATAGAGAGAGAAAAATTCCGATAGACAAATATTTCTAAACAAGAATTACACAAACAAAATGAAGTTCATGTTTGATAAATAACGGGAATGTATGTCTGCATATATGTAAGTATGTGTAATATATGTACAATATAAAACTGTTTTTACACCCAGAATTTGATTAAGAAGATGGAATTACTTCACGATTTTGTGGTGCTTGAATTAATTTTAATACATTATGACATGACTGACAAACTCGAACTGGTTTAAACAACCTTAGTCGATATATTTCACTCTCAAATCGACTACATCTATATTTATCAAAACAAATACAAGGGAAAAAAAGTGATAAAGGATATTTGTTTACGTAATAATGATTACAAATATTTGGTTTAAACGCTGAAAACTCCAACATAAATTGCGCAACTTATATCAGTATAAAATTATATATATATATATATATATATATATATATATATATATATATATATATATATATATATAACACTGATAAGTAGAGTATTGGTTGAACCAAATTATTTTATTCACCAAAAATTGTACAGGAAGTGAAAAATAGCAAACCTTTGTGTTCATTACCACACAACCTTCAACAATAATAGTCATTAAGTTTAATAAACAGAAAGGGCAAAGAGTAATGACGGTCTTCAAATAAAATCTTTAAAATCATTAGTAAATGTTACTGATATTCAAATTGGCTGATATATCAAGAACAGTGTATGACGCTATTGTTGTGTGCTAGGTTCCAAGAGAGTTTTATGTCATATTTATTCACTACACTCCGTTAGTTTTTCTATTTCCTCTCATCGCGTTAATTTGGTATAGTAGCTTGAGCAAACGCAAATATCTATCAGGCTCTACATTGATTATGACTAAAACTGTAGTAGGAAAATAAATCTCGATTTTCTGACAAGCATTTACCTACTACAATCTGATGTAACCAAGTGGAAGGTAGTTCTCAGCCTCGAGCTACACTGGTTGCGTGAGTATAAATAACATTACCTAGCTACATTAATCCTTAGTAGACGAAATGGAGTTCGAACCTACAATTAATTGGTTAGCAGTTGAGTACATGAACAACTAAAACATAGCATTCATGATATTTTTTTTCCGACAACATACCAATTCAAATGAAATTTCAAAAATACTACAGATCAATGAGTATGGATACAAGATGAAAATAACTTTGGTCAACTTGAAAAAGTCAGTTCTATTAAAGTGTATATAATAAATCATGTTCGCAATTTTAAAGAGAATTCAAAATCAACTCACTTTGAACAAAATACTTTGCCACAATTTCGACAATGATGTTTTCTTTCAGTTAACGAGAATCGTGTTCCACAACCATCAGCTGCACAATTTGTAGCTCCTTCATCCTTAACCCATTGATCAGTCATACCGCCACGAGAATTATCTGATGGTACAGACCAAACAAATACTCGACCGATAGCATCACCAACTAGGACGGAACGATGATCTCGAGATATTGCTAAGGCTGTAATATCAGCTGGAGACTTATTATCGGAACGTTCATAAGCTGTATGCATGGTAAGTTTACTGCGAAATACTAGAACTCGAGACCATTTCTTAACATCTAAAATTATATGAATTTCATAACAATAGAATGTTTACGATATTAAAATCATGATATTTAAATAAATGACACTGTATTAAATGGTGTAGCTTATAAATAATACAAAATACAAGTTAGTTGTACTATTATGATGAACTAAGATGAAATATTAATAATATACACAACTATCAGAATAATGAATGTTAGTTGATATTGGTGAAGTAATATTATAATTTGCATTAGCCACATAAGTCAACAAAACATGAAGTTCTAGTGAGAAGCCGTGACCAGTGAAACTAAACTGTGACGATTGCGAGGCAATGGTAGATGACCGCGCAATGTTGAGCATGGATTTGTTCTATCTGTAAAATCCAAGAATTTTCTACATGATACTCAAAGAAACAATGACCATTTAGTACATTTTATAATTACTCTAATGTAACCATAGATTAGTTTAGGGCAGATTGACGATAATACGCAACACACTTCATATATGACAGTCTTTCTACATTGACAGCGTGATGAATTAAGTGATTTATTTTATTCGAAAATGTGTATGTTAACACATTGTAACTCTTAACATTCATTATTTGAGTGAGTTTAATGGAAATTGATTTAAATTTTAGGTCGTATTTGTCACAAAATGACTTTATTTAAAGTACAAACGAAAACCAGAGTGCACTTAACAGCTATTTTGTCCCGGTGTGCACCCACGATGCATCGAGTTAGTTTTGGTAATAGATTTTTATTTTTTCAATTTCAGAAATGACAGAAATATTTCAGCTCATCAAAGCTATCATGAAGAAGAAGAAGTGAAACAATAAAGAGCTTATAAAAAGGAAATTCTGAAAGTTCATTTCATAATGGTATTTCGAATGTACTTTGATTTTTTGGCCTCAAGAAAATTTAACAAGTCGTTGGTGATCCTCAGATAAATTTTAACATTTAATAAACAGGAAACAATTACCTTAAATAGTTGGCATAAGATTCTTCTTAAAGGTGGACCTCAGGGGTAATTTAGAAGAATTAGGTCTCACTAGTGACCTGTGATTGGTCAAGGATTAAAGACAGACATATACAGTCACACAAAATATATAAAACTATCCTATATGGTAAAATTTATTGAACTTATTGGCTCTCTTCTGTATCGTATCTCAATAAACCCTTGTTACAGTCTGTCTGAATCACGATCGAACGGTCGGATAATATAGTAGAGCGTACCACGCGGTCAAGTAACGTGATCTAGTAAGATGGACTATTGAATGCTAGTTCAAGAGCACCAGTCACAATGAAGTAATATCAATTAGAAAATCCACAAAACCATCTTAGTTAATAACTGTTTCTTAAATGAAACGCACAACATTCTAGTCAAACATCTAATGCATTTTCAATTTCTCCGACTTGAAAAAACCCATGAGACTATTTTGTCCCATCACTTTTTACTCACAATATGAAGTAAGATAAACTTACTGGAATCTTTCCGAATTATTCTCTTCGACGTTAAATCGGTAGACAAACAAGGAGAATCAATACTGTCAGATGAATCTAATGATAAAGTCTATCAAAACAATAAAGACAAAGGAGGAAGGTTTAGGAGAAAATAATTTTTTAAAATGATAATGCAAAATGAATAATACGAAAAAAATATTGAGTTATGCCTAAATTGACCATGGTAATACCTAGTTAGGTGAAATATGTGTATAGAGAAATTGAAGTTCTACTTCTAAGCTGTTCATTTAGTGGATTTTTTCTCGCTGTGGTGACGATAGTAAAATCAGCAGTTGTATACTTGTGCCAAGCCCCATATTTACTAAGATTGATTAACTGACCGAATTTTAATATATGAACTTCAATATAAAAATAAACAGATGGGTAAATAACAGAACTTTAAAGTTTGAAGATAAGTTTTGTTAAGGACTGATATCAGCTACGGAAACATTGGAAATTATAGAATATTGAACTATCGAGTCTCCCAAATATGACAGCAATTACGGACATCCTTCAGGTCTTACATCTAGCGCGTTACCATCAAATCAATGAGTTAAAAGTAAGTGGTTCATACTTACAACTCTATTTAATTTTTAGTGTACTGTGACAGTCACTCAATGCTCTCAGTGGACAAATGTCTCATATCTTCCAGCATTTTCTAACTTCACCATAATTCACATTTGAATTTCGGGAAACGATATTGAAACCAATAAACAGTGAGCACAAACTAATCTTCAGATGATGTCAGTCCCTGAAGAAAACTATCTTTTAATCAAAAATAGTTTGAAAGGCGAATGATCGTAATTGTCATCAATATGGGTTGCACCACTGTAGAGTTAGAAACTGTAAAGCTTACCGATAAATCTTTGGTTCGAGATTCATCTACAGTGTTTTCATCTGATGGATTAACAGGGGAAATCTCCTCTTGATTACCACTATTATCAATTCGATTAGCATTCAAGATGTTTTTGTCAACTGCATCGCTATCATTATCTGTAGAGTAAACATGTTTCAAGCACCACATTCGTACTACACCATCTGAACTACCGGTTAAAATAACATTCTCAGCATCCCAATCATAAAGCTATATTTTTAAAAAAATAAATGAAAAAAGTACCGTAACATGACATCCGATATATTAAAAAGTAAGAACAAGAATGATTCAGTATCATATTTAACACATTCACAGCCTATGGAATAGAATCACTTGGTATTGTTTTGCTTGTATCTTCCCTATTGAGGTTTAAGACTGCAATTGATCAGTCTGTTATTGGCATATGTGCATACTGTGCACATGCCTCGATATTGCCTTAATGCACACACTCTTATAAGCAAAGATGGGTTAGAAGTTTCAAGAAGATACATTTTGTTAAGTTCACCACCTATAGAGAAATTTACTAATCGAAGGTGAATGTCATCATCATAAATCGAAAACAAATTACGAGTAGAGACACTTCGATAGGCTTCAGTTTTTATCATAGAATAATTCGGTCATTATAGTGTTCTGGACTATCATATTTTAAAGTTTTAATCACGAGGTCTTAGTTTGATAACCAAATACCTCGATAATAAATTACTAAGGACTAAACAAACATAAAATTGATTATTACTGTGATGATCAATGAGAATCTTATTCAATTCATACAAAATGATAAAAAAATACTCTAGAGAAAATGTACATAGTTAACATAACTTACTGTACTCATACAAACACAAAGAATTTGTTTATTACGGCCAACTGGTGTATCAATTGAAGCAATTGGTTCACCATTACAATTCCACAAATATAATTGTGTACCAGCACAACTTACAATATCACCTGTAGCTTCATTGATACAAATAGCTGCAATCGGTGCAATATGATTAGGTAATTGTCTTAAAAAGCATAAACGACTTAAATCCCATAATATACAACTTCTATCACGACTTCCACTAACAATAAGATTGAATGAATCAGATGCAGTTAGGCAAGTTATAGCATCGGTATGTCCATAAAGTGTTGCACGAAGTTTAAGACGCGAATCTCCAAAAGACTGACATGCGTAGACTGATGATGACAAACCTGATACCATTCCAACACTGGAAGGATTATTTGAACTTGCCATATTATTGCCAACCTCATGAGAATTAAGCTGTGAATTAGTCGAGAAGAAAAGATATATGTTTGGGAGGTATGAAATAAATTTATGTAAATAGATTGCTTTTAACGATTAAAAGTTTTCTAAGCATAACATACATAGATTGTGCCAGAAAATTTCAAAACTATGGCAGAATACTTATGTATAATCAATTTGAAAGTCAAAAAACGTTCACGAATCATCATTACACATTTTTTAATCATTTCTATCAATCTTTAAAACGAAAATTCAAGAGCTAGTCATAGAAACGTAACTGAATTAATGCATTCACTATTAGTTCTGATTAACTTCTTTGAAGAAGACGTATGACACCTAAATCTATCGAAATGACATCGAATAGAAAAGTTAATATATTTTTTTAGATTAACATACAGGAAGCAAAGTGGTTAGTTAATTTTTGTATTCGCTGAAATAGTTGTTAAAATTTCGTTTGTAAACCAGATAAAAGTTATATCCCATTAGGGATTGCCATTAAAGATGTTATCACTAAGTACATAATGTTCATTAATTTAACTTAACAAGATGAACTGATCATTTCAACAGAACAGTGAGTCGATTGAGAATTCACAAATAGTTTATATGGTGGTGTGTGCCACTGATATCGACAATTATATGTAGTATGTATCATCAATCAAAAGTTGAATGCCTGAAAGCAGAAAGTTGAGATCGGAGAGCAGAGAACGGAGAGTGATTGGTATGGAAACGAAGGAACAACAAAGTCTGAGACAATTGATTGATATTTTGCAAATGAAGTATTTACTGTATGGGTCACAAATTTTACCAAGATATTCTGTAATGCTGCATTAAAACATATTTGATTGCCGCCGCCTGTGTTCTCGTTCATTACAATATATTTAATTATCTACTATTATTGTCATTATATTTTCAAATGAGTGAAAATCTAATTCATAATCACAAAAAGTAATATTCTACATACATTTAAGTATATTTCTTCTGACACAATTTTGATATAAAAATGAATTTAGTTAAACTACTTCATATTTTGCTTGTTCGCTCAGTTTGGTCTTTTTATCAAGCAGATACATAAAACAACATACTATCATATTTATAAATATACATGAAGTCAAACTAATGAATTTCACATCAGCACATTAAGAGAAAAGCAGTTAATCAGTCAATTATCAGTAATGAAGAAAATATCATAAATATACATTGGTTTTAGTTTCCACATCGTATCAACAGAAATAGAATTTATTAATACAAATCTCAGAGTAGTAGAACAAGTATCAGTGGTAGAAGATAACACTAAGTATAAAAGATATTATTTGAGAAGAATGAATCAGCCAAATGAAAAATATCAAATAGTTCTGAAACTCAAGACTTAAAAGAAAGCAAAAAGTGAATGTATCTGTTTCATCAAGTCCCCCTTTAAGCAATGTCATCTAAAGTCTCAAAACATTAATTACGATAATTGCGCGAATCCCTACCTGATATTTTGAATTTATTTACATGATTCAGACCAAAAATAAATGACTTCATGAACTGAAGCTACATCTCGGTTTGGCCATCCTTAACTTTTTTGAAACCTACTCATACATCATATATCCTCGTTCGTCGAGATAGACGGACGTTTAGAATACATAATATATTATCATGAAGAGAAACGATTTCAGTCTTAAACAATTTGAACATATGGTTTAAATCATAAACTCTAAAACCAAGTAAATTAAGATATAATTCACTGTATTTGAACCTAATAAAAAAAGCCATGAATTAGACAGAGAATAAAAATACAGTCACAAAGAAAATACATTTTAAAATTGAGAAACAGAACATATACAGGAAAAGTAATCACTTACAAACCACACACGTACTACAGTACTTAATCCAGCTGTAATAATCGTATGCCTATTTGGTGATGTACAACATAATATTTCATTTTGATCAACCATCTCAAATATACATCGTGCACGTTCATTGGCATCGAATAAAGAGCCTAAACGTAAACTCCCATCTGTAAAACCCCATGCAAGATAATGTGTATAATTTGGTGGTAAAAGACATTTATTTTGTTCAACTGCAACAACTGGTCCACCAATTAAAGTTGTAGTCGATGTTTGATAACCACCTCCGGAACTTATTCCTAAATTGCTATTCCCAGTAAAATTAACATTATCATAATTCAGATTATCTGAATTTATGTTTAAGCTAAGTAAAGGACGATTCACTGTAGCTCCTGTATTCATCATATTCATATTTGTACCGCTCGGTATAAATTGTGGATCTAACTGTACAATTTGACCAACTGCATGTTTTAATTCTAAATTATAACAAAATGAAATTTAATGGTGAGAACACTAAATGAAAAGTATATAACTGAAATGAAACTATCTATGTGAGAAAAATACGCAAAAAAGAAAACAATACACAAATCGATATATAAAGAAGGAATGATAAAACGTTCCTCTACCAGGTTTTCTAAACACGATGCCACAAACCAACGTCTAAGAGGCAGTGAGGTATTTACAAGTGAAATCTCTCAAGCATCTGGTCGATAGTAGAATTACTGAGGATATCTGTGAAGCGTTCTAAATCATTAACAAACAGCTAACGTTAATTTTACTATAGTTCCCAGAAACAATTACTATTAAACTTTTCTGATCTGACCTATATGAACAATAGGAAAGCGAGATAAGTTTCTCTTTGTCATAATGAATGTGATCATAACCATATAACTATTTATCTCTTACACAATCTCATGAATGCTGATAAACTAATTTGAATTTGGTTCCAATTATATTAATCAATTGTGTAAATATTTATTACTTTTTATTACAGCTGAGTAATATCATATGATTGTGACTATGCTGAATGATATTTATAATCTAACCTAACCCTCCTGTGTATGACTACTTAGAGGCATGAAAATGGATCAATCTTAGTAAGGTTTAATGATAAATCCTATGTCCTATTGTTCTTATTATGATTTTCAATAATCTACCTCGTCACCAAATAAATTATATTGAAACTTTGTTTTTGTTTTCATTATTTCTGGAAATAGAACGAGTTCATCTTTTTCTAGAAATCTAGTTTCTTTTACTTTGCTTTAATTTAGCTTAATTTTAGAATTCTCACAATTGATTGATCACTGAGTGGTGATCAATGTTATGCTTGTCTAGTCCTTATTAGTGCAGATCGAATGCTATCGATCATGTTGCAATGTGGCCATCAGTCTAGGTGACTCGACACTGCGGGCACTATGTATTGAGATTTAGATGGTGGTTGGAGGTAGTCAACAGGAAACCCTGGACCCGGGTTTCGTGCTACTTGGCACTCGTCAGCAAGGTGTACCTGTAATCTTGAGGGAACTGGTGCTCCCTGGCGGATCCGATCTCGTGTCACCCAGCCTCACAGTCAGAGACGTTACCACTGAGCTATCCGAGCCGCGACTGACCTCCTGTAGAACTCTCTTCAACACATGTGCATTGAATAGAGTGTATAAGATAAATGACATAGGATAATTGATGTTTACGTAAGTTAATTTAGAAAAGCGCCAAAGCAGCTTGTCTATTACGAAATACAAGTTTATGAAGTCCACGGTTCAATTCCAAAAATCACTAGTTAAAAGTCAAGTGCTCCAACTATTAAGCTTCGGTAGGATTAATCAGTAATAGTTATGTTACAATTTATTGAAATTAACTATTTCCCATACCGAATAGGAATGAGCTATATCAGATAAACGCAGTTGATGAGTGATACAATAACTATGACTCCAAGAGGAATGGGATCATAAAGAATATTTGCCCCGAATGGATTTTATTTATTTAACAAACTCATATCATTCAACTGTCACCGTTTACACTCTCAGCTAATCTATCAATATCACCGGGAAAGATGCGTATGTAAACCGAAGAACCAGTTCTTATTCTTATCTCATACTCTAACAAGTACTATGTATACTTCTTCAACATACAAATAAGTTTACATAAATAGAAGTTCTAGTGATATTATCATCGTTATCCCTCAATGGTTTAGTTTTGACACCTTTTGGTTATCGCCCTTCATATCATCACTCTTTTTTAATTCAAGTAGAGTAAACTACAAGTATTCTCTAGCATTTCAGAAACATTAGTCACTGGACAGATAGTAATGAGGTATAATAAATAAGAAACAAAATAACGCATAACACCAGTACTCCCAACCTTCCATAATCGTCCTATTTACATGCGATTTTAGGGTAATTAAAGAATGATAGAAAGCTTCTGAAAACATGGTAGTCAAGTTAATCTGCAAAAAATAAACATATCGACATAGACGCTAATAATCAACCTGTACGGAAATGGTCAACTAATCATATGAGCAATGATCGACACACTAAAGTGCTTAAGAGAAATTCAAAAGAAAGTTATATTGATAGAACCTCTGAAAACAACGAGACCCAGACGAATTCGTCAGGTTTAACACTTATAGATTAATTAAATAGTTCAATTCTATAGGACTTATGAGCTTGTAGTGTTATGTGAAGCCCACATAGTTTATTCCAGCTTCCGGATATGTCAATCTATTCATCCTTCTTGAGCCACATTTTGACCTTGTTAATTATTCGCTTATCAAACTTGACTGTTTATGTAAGCGTATGTGTGTATTTCTTATCATACTCATTACATGTCTGTAACTAATTTCGTTAGGCTATAAATATCGATTCACACATGGTTAAATTGAGTTGGCTCACATTCCTCCATTGTGCGTCATTTTTGTTCGCTCTTCCTTCTTTGTTTCGTCTCCCTCATTGCCTGTTCAAATCAACGAGTGCATGAAATATACATATTCAAAATCAATAAACGCATTTGGCTTTTTTTAAATTCCGTTATTCAGTAACGTGGATTAAGTCGATAATTATATACGACGATAGACGACATGGGTATTTCAATAAAAAGCAATCATACGATATTATTGGAGTCAGATCCCGGGCCACTAAAGTGGTGAGTTCGACGTGATCGTCCGATCTAATTGACCTCAAAATGAAGGGCCCCACTAAAAGCTAATGATGTGATCCAGAGTAATAACGAAAGCTATGCAATTTAAATCACCCAGATCAAATGACATAACGCAACCAAAAGCTATTTTATCTTTACATAGTATACGAATCATAATTCAAATTGGATGATATTTTTTTTTATTTATTTGAACATATGGAATATTGGTACGAAGTAGCACCAAAGACGAATATGTCACACAAGTTACTTGATTTGTATGTGGGCTGTGATACTGCCCGGGTGCCCAGACCGAATAATAAATATAGAATTGTACTAATGTTCAATTAAAAAGATAAAATATAGTTTATGTACATAAAAATGGCATGATACTAAAAAATTGATCGCTGTAAATTAATCAATCGGTTTTTAATTGGATTTATACACAAATGAAAAATAAACAAACAAGTTTTATTGATATGAAAAAGGTTTGTTTGTTTTTATCACAAATAAAACTAACCTTTAATAGGTTGAAGACTAGGTCTTAAAATATCAAGATTTCGATAGAATAATTCACATGCTAATTGACTACCAGAATTAAATCCTATTGCTGAACTAAAAAAGCGTGTAGATGGACGTGGAATAATCACACGTCGACATGGATGTGGTTTTTTAAATAATTGTTTTGGTATTTGACCAAAATTATTAATAAAACCAATTACAGCAGAACGTTTCAATGGATCATCTATAGAATAGATATCGACATTACCTTCGTAGAATAAATAATGAAAAACATTAGCTGCTTGTATTGCATGTTCACCTTGTTGTTTATAACCAAAAATTAAATCAATCCATTCATGTAAATGTGCTGATACATATTCACTCTCTAAAGCCTAAAAATAGATTATAATCGGTAAAATATTACATTTAACTAACTTTGTAATATAAAATTTAATTTATGGTAAAGTACATTTGAAAACTTAGACAAATAATATATAAGCTATTTTGTATTTGATTAAAATATCTTAGAAGTACTCAGTTGAAAAAATCGTTCTAAAAGACCAGTTTAAATGTTTCAGATCAGGTGGTTAAATCACAATCGTCTAACCATTGTTACGACGAGGAAGATGACGATGATGAATGGAGTTTAGAAGTCATTATTTCTGACGTTAACATTTAAATGGGATAAAATAAAGACTACTCACTTATTTTTACCAATTACTGTATTTTATAGTTCTACATTTAGTTGACCTCATATGGTAACAAATTTGTAATAAAATGTCGAAAACTATTAATATCAAGTATATTGTTAATAATCGATGAAATATCAAAATTAGTTATTTAAATACAATGTGACTGAGTGAACTTCAACTTTGAGAATAACAAAATTACCTACTACGGGAATAAGGTAGTGCTCACAACTCTACCGTGCAGGGAAAACTAAAACTTTACACTTAATATACATTAAATCCTCTCAGAATTTCACAGGGTCGATTCTTGCATGAAATTCAGTATTGTAGAGTACTCGGAAAATTGATAAGAATTTCAAACACTTAAATGTAAAATATTACTTGTAAAAGTAATCAAGTTACATAGTAGTTGATCAGTTCTTAACCGGCATCATTGACTTAGCAATATGACAAACATTTCAATGAGTTATAAATAACTGTGAAACCTAGATACCTTCAATCTATGCTTCTAAAAGGTTATGTTAACATCTTTTCTAGCTTTTACCCATGTTCGACCGATGAAAATTTATATTCAAAGTAGTCTTGAAACGAAATGCCATGTTTACAAAAGATATCAAACACAATAATCCCCAACACAAAGTAATTATTTCTCAAGCTATATACATGTGTATCAATCACTGAGACTAGTAATTAGAAATTAGATACACCCATTTCAGTTTATCGAAGTCAAGTGGTATTATTAACATTCACTATAAAAATGTGAATCAATACTAAAGGTTATCAATTGTCAGAACAATTACAAAAGAAGCATGAAAAAACAATAAATAAATAACACAATTTAGGGGATAAAAATAAACAAAACCTCAATAACGTCAAAAGAATCGATCACTCAACGAAATAAATATAATAAACATTTAGATGAAAAAGAAAAGTTAACAAGCAAGCGTACTTTCTCAGACGAAAAAATAACTTTCATTAAAAAAGAGACGAGAAATAATGTTTAAGCTAATTTTAATATAAATAATAAATGAGAGGAATTAACCAAGAAAGCTTTTGCTTGTAGAAAAAGAGAAATATGGAAAATGACATGACGAAAATGTATTCAATTTGTTGAATTCAAGATAAGTATTTCACAATACGACCAAATTCTTATTTTTATCTATTTAAACACAAAAACATTGGTACAAGGAGACACCAAATAGATGTGCGCCACATAAATCATTCGATATGTGTGAGGGCTTGAATGCGGTCCGGGTGCCCAGACCGAAGCAGGTGGTTGTCTTAGGGGGTCACACTCTGAGCCTTCAACCTAAAGATATGATCCACAAGGCAGTGAATCATCGTAAGGAGATGCAGTCCCATGGTAGCCGTTGATCAACGATTGGTTCATACGCCATTCGTTCCCTCAGGATACTGGAGCCCATGTGCACCACTGGTTTGGAATCAGGGTTTTCCAACTCCCCTAGGTGGACACTCCGTGTCCACCAGCCCGGTTAAAGCGCCGGACATTCGTTTCCCGTCGTTTCAATTTCGTAAACAACACTCTCGCCAGGCATTGAGTAGGACTTCCCTGGCAGTGGTTGTATGCACGTGGCCACGTGAAAGCATTTCGAGAGGGAGAGCGGATTCTACCCACTCTCGGCCGTACCAGGGCTGATATAAGAAGACAGTTAATAGTTCAATATTATTTATCTGTAAAAATTCAATGTTAAATGTGTATTGTTGTCAGCAATGATGAAATACTGTAAATTTTAAATGAATTAGTTGTACACTCTCAACAATGAAGTGGTAAATGCATTTAGAAATAATTGTCTTAAAATAAACCAAAAAAATGTAAGGAAAATACTATTGTAGTGGAGAAGAACTCAAGTAGGGGTAACCAACTTGTTACGTAATACGAAATAACAGTTCTTTTGTCAAATGTGAAAAACCATACATTAAATACATCATTTGTAAATCTCTCATGAATTATACTTCACATCCTTCATGATTCTTCCAATTCTCAATTCCTTCATGTTTCCATCCCCGTTCTTTTCGATTCGATCTTCTTAACCGTCTGCTTACCAAGCATCCCACTTCTAATTGATGTTACATAATACTATTTAAACTCGACTATTCTGAAAATCAGATGGTTAAATCTACAGTGTATCATTTCTTTTTGTTGTAAAAATAATTTTCGGAATAAAAAATTCCAGATGTATCGATTGGTAGATTTTTCTAAGAGATTTTAATAAATTTATTGGACCTATTATAAGTAAATCATTTTGTAAAAAAAATATCATTAAAATACAGATAACGGACAAACACGTTAATATATGAAAGCTGAAATGTATGTATGTGCTCAAACATAAACATGTTAATTTGTATATACTTACCTCACGATGAACACGTATAAATTCACGTGGATCAGACTTAGCCCATGGTGGTAATACTACATTATTCACTTCAACACCATTCTGTTTAATTCCCATTTCAAAATGATTTGAATTGATAAGAAAATCAGGTAAATAGAAAAATTCGGGTATTAATTCACGTACATCTGCCATATTATGTCGGCTTGCACTAATCCAAGTATCTCGAACACTATGAAACATTCTATCGGGTAAATCGAAATGACCACCCTTAAAAGAAAACATAATTAAGAGGATAAAAACAGTAAATTTGCAATTTTTTAATAAACTGTAAGGTTGCATTGTTCACAAAAAAATATTATTTAGAGTAATGTATATTAAGATACATATACAAAGGAATTTACTCGACATTCATGCATTAATCTGATATAAAACTGAGTAGTTAAACTTATGCAATAGCGATGTTCCCATTTTATTAGTATACATATCATTTATTTCTTAGATAAATTAGAATTAACTGAAAATTATCTTTGGAGCATTAAAATAATTTGTTTACAATCATTTCCAATCCTTTTTATAGTCAATTTGATGGAATACATAGGTGAAAACCGCCATGAAGTCGCTAATCACTAAGGTGTGTAGTCCTTACAGATGACAGTTTTATCACTTATAAGCACGGAGTCGACAAAAAAGAACAAGAACTCCTTAAGCTTCATCAATGATAAATGCTCCCAAATACCCTGGTATGGTCGAGAATGGAGTGCGCCCGCCCTCCCACTCGAAATGCTCTCACACGGCCACGCGTATACAGCCTCTGCCAGGGAAGTCCTACTCACTGCCTTCTCGTGGCGGGGGTGTTATTTACGAAAATGAGAGAACGAAAAGCGGATGTCCGGCGCTTTAACCGGATCACAAACCAATGGTGCACATGGGCTCCAGTATCCTGAGGGAACAAATGGCGTATGAACCAATCGTTGACCAACGGCTACCATGGGACTGCATCTCCTTACGATGATTCACTGCCTTGTGGATCATACCTTTAGGTCAAAGGCTCGGAGTGTGGCTCCCTAAGAAAACCACCTGGTCCTTCTCGACTCACTGGCTAGGGTCCGAGAGATGGTGCGACACAGTGGCTAGAGACGTTATCAGATATAGCTCAGAATAGAAGCCAGTGGAGATCCTGCTGTAACGTTCTTTTACTTTATTCATAAAAAGTGGTTGTATCTTCCTGAACTGAAAGAATTCTTTTGGTTGTACCTTTCCGTCTCCCCCATTATTATTATTAGTAGTAGTAGTACACTACCTTACACTAATCTGTTCGTTATTGTTCTTTTTTTTTCATTTACACTTCTTACCTTCTTTTTGTCTCTTCCCATCCTCATTGTTTTGTGTGGCACATAAATATTTGGTGCCCTCTTGTACTAATATTTATGTGTTCAAATAAATAAATAAAATAATAAATAAGCATCATAAAACCTGACTATAACTGACTAAATATCTGAAGCTAGTAGAATATTAATTTTAAAAAAAATAAAGATAAACTTAACTGCTTAATTTTAATAAGTGGCAAAATTTAGGCCATGAGATGTTTAGAGAATATGTCAAAACATGTAAGAAATAATAAAAAATGAACATCTAATGTAGGACAACATACCTGAAGCTTGAGGAAGTGTTGTGCAAAAGGCTCCATTCGAAAGAGATAAGATGCTACAATCATAGCAGATGAATAGTGTGTACCATAATGATATGGTGGTGTTTCTCCAGTAGGATCATCCCATTCTTTAAAACGACGTTGGAATTGAGCTAGACGATCAGGTGTTTGTGCACCCATCGGCTTCGATAAATCACGAAATGTCTCTGGTCTTGACAGATCTAATTCCTCAGATTCATAATCAGCAAGTACCCATGGAAATACAGGATACTGGATGAGATCATTATATGAGCGACCAGCTTGTGTATTTAAATACATTAAGTATTCGAAATTACTCAATTCCCCGTGCTACGAAATGTTTTTAAATTATAAGAAATGAAGAAAATTTGACTACTTTATTAATGGAATTATTTATTTAACCAAGAATAATAATAGTATTCGATTATCTTCAAAGTTTCGTTGTATTGTGCTACTAATTTCGCTCGTAGAAAACACCCTTCCTTTAAACTAATGCTAAACAGAAATTAAAGGTTTCGTTAAAAAAAACTATGTATATGCTTGCACTTTTTTTCAAATCATTTCACCTTCATTTCCAGATTTTGATAACTTAGGAAGAGGAATCCATTACTGTGATCGTTATTCAATAATTATTTCGTCAAGTGATGTATCTATTTTGCAGAAAGCTAAATCTCACAACAAATCTATTCCACGACTTTAGTCCCATTGATTAACATTTTTCGAGCAAGAATAACAAGGATTATGAGATGAGGTAAATTTCATTTCATTTCGTGTACTCTAAATTTTCCACATATTAATCAAGTTAGATAATTATCAGCATAGGTTCGGGGAGATTGTTGAGCTGTAACTGAGATCATGAACCGATCAATGCTAGACCACTATTGAAAACTTGAAAGCACTTGAAGGCCGTTTCGTCCTAGCGTGGGACGCCTAAGTAGCGTACATCCACGATAAATGTTTTACATATCAAATTATATGTATGACATGTATAAAGTCGTGCAGTTCACCAGTGAAAAACGATCATAATACCACTTTCCATATTCATACAAGTTAAATTTATAAGTGACTGAATTAGGCAACAAAGAGTATATGAAATAATCGGGTATAGGAGACATGTGAAAATTGTTGCGACAACAGTGGACAGAATGATGAAAGTGATAGTAATTAAAAGTAATTATAATAGTCGTGATAATAACATTACTAACGATGATGATAATGGTTGGAGAGGGTACGAAAAAAAGACCAAAAAGATAAATGGTCAAACGTTCCACAGAATCATGTTAAAATGATAGGACCAGTCTTCATAAGTATAAACTAGGAATGAAAAGATTGCTCACATGAACAATAAATGTTATTGTGACCAAATGAAAATAAGGTAAAACCAACAAAGGAAGTTTTAAAAATTTGATGAGAAAACAAATAAAGAAGGGAAGGTTACCAATGAAACGGTCACCATGGCAGTGCCAGGTGAACAAAATAGTTCCTGTTGTACATATAAATTGAGATGAAGACGAAATAACGTAGATTACATCATCTTGTTTCTCTCGTTTAAATTATTCACCCGTAAATTGAACTTGTGTGAATACAGAAAGTTCTATACGAACATTTCCTTAGTGAACTAAGTGACTTGATATATGTTGCATAAAAAATTACATTTCAATCTTTTTAAACTTATTTAAACAAATCAATGCATATAAAATGCAGAGTACATGAGATGAAATGAATTTACTTTATCATACACTGCCTATTGTGCTTGCTTAACAAAAGTAAATCTATTCACACAAATCGAAAGAAGAAAGATTCCAATCGAGTATGTTTCAACTGTAATGTAAAGAAATATCGTAATTTTAAATGTCTGAAGAAAATTTATCAGACAACAGAGGGAATAATCATATGGTTTTTTAAAAGTGTAGTCAGTGTATGAACGACGTATATTCAACAGCTTCTTGCATCTTGGCCAATCTCAGGCCCGATGAGTGAATAGTAATCTTAATTACAAGATAATCCAATCTCACTAATGAATCTAAACAGTCTTCCTTTCAGTATTTTCACAACTTGAAATTATCATACATGTAACCACATGTTGATTTCTCTCACCCTACAATAATTTATCATCACTGAGATCATTAACCGATCAATGTTAGATTGTCATTGAAAGCATGGAAGCACTGGACGGCCGTTTTGTCCCAGTATGAGACTCCTCAGCAGAGCGCATCCACGATCCCGCATGAGGGACTCGAACCCTGAACCTTCAGTTTCTCATGCAAATGCCTAACCTCTAAACTACTGAGCCGGTATCCAACAGTGTTAATGTCCAATCCCAACCAATCCACGATATTGCGCGACCATCTTTCATTGTCTTCGGTCGATAACTTCCTCATAACAGACTAGGTTGAACTCCACTGACCACGGCTTCTCAGCCGTTGGAAGCCGTAGTCAGTGTATGTAGTTGTATAACTTCAGAAGTTCAGAATTTATTGAAAAGGATATTCTCGACTCGTATCTATGTCATAAAAATTTTCTTATGTATTACAAATGCTAAAAAACAAAATATAAAAAAAAGGATAGTAAACTAGAAACTTACTTCCCATCGTTGGACTACTGATTTTACACCAAGTAAACTGCTGAAAAAACTTTGAGAGCTAAAAATATTGGGAGTGAAACAAAGAAGCAGAGAAAGGTTATATTTTCAAATACGTTTAGAAATATAATACAACTGATATCTCTCTACAAATGATGTCACTTAAAAAGTGTTCAATAAAAACATTCACTGTAAGTCACACCATTGCGTAAATTAATGATACATTTTAATAGATATTTCGGAATTTCGAATAAACATTTATTCACAAAAAATCTCAATATGTTAAGAGTTCACTAGTGAGACAGTATACTCATAGGTTTACAGAAAAAGCAAAATCATATCCGGTATATATCTAAATTACAAAAAGAGCTTGATTTAATGTAATATGCTAACACAGGTTCGTGAACTCAGTTTCCAGTCGTGTAATTAGAGAAAGGATTGACGATACAAACGAGACGCTTAAACCAAAGTAGAAATCGAATCTATCTCTACTAACAGTTGAAAGTTAAAACTATCAGCAATTAAAATCTATCTTTAAAAATTTATGATATGCTACTAACTGATAAATACGTGTGAGATTAGAGATAGTCAACAAAAAACCATAGACGTAGGTTACGTACCGGTTCACAATCATCAATAAGGCGTACCTGCACCCTGAAGGACAAGAATCTGCATCAACCAGCATCAAGTTCTGAGACACTACCACTGAGAGTACGACAAGCGACTGATCTTTAAGACTGCGACATTTATGGTTGATCGGTTGCTACGTAGCAACAAATGTCATGTTTGTTTAGTCTACTAGTCATGATTAAATTATTTCTTTCTCTCTCTATAAATATATATACCATCATTTCTTAAGAAAATGTTTTTAAAAAAAACTATTTTTAGGATATGGGAATGCATAAAAAACTGAATAATAAGATAAATATAAAGCTTAATAAGTCGAATTCTATTGGGTTAAATAGAAATGTTGTTATACATCAGTTATCCTTTAAAACGATGAAAATACTCTACGCTTAAGTGCATTTACTTCTTACTAGAAAGTATTAAATTTTATATAATAAATTTAGACGAAGTTAAACTATTATTAAACTTGTTTAAAACATTAGAACAATTGACTTAAACGAAATACATATTGAAATTTGACTAGTTTTTAAAGTATTATATTAGGTTAGTGCGAAATTACAGTAGTTGGAAACTCTTCCATATCCTAATAAAAAGAGCGTATTTTTTACTACTTTTCATTGAATATCATATATTCCATCAGCCTAGATCACGCAAATTTCAATCGAAATAATCAGTAAAATATGTATTCATAAAAATAGTAATAATTCGCTAAAACATAATTTATTTTCAAATTGTTACCACTCATACCCATGTGATAATAAGGACTCATATGAACAACTAGATGAGCAAATAATCAAAATATTAGTATTAAATTTATTGTAGAGAATGAATTATAGTGGTAAAACTAGATACAAAACAAGAAATCGTAAAATTGATGAATAATAAAATTATTCGTGTTTGCTGATAAAAAGGTACAAAATTAAAGCTGAAAGGACACAAACGAAGATTGAGTACCTAAAAATAGACAACTAGCTATCATTGTCATACAATAGTTTCGGTGATAAAGCTTTGGAATTTGAAAAACTAGGTAATAATTCTCAAACATACAATAAAAGCATAAACATTCAAATGAAAGTGTATCTACATGACACGTTTTCGATAGAATGGAATATAAATAGCCTATACTGGACTGTTGGTAGTAAATAATATAACATTGTAAGGAATTATAATGTTAGGAAATTTACATAAAATTACGAGTTTCTAATATAAACTTAGGAGCTGGATAACAGAAGCAGATACAAGTCCATCCGATGATCGAAGGTAATAAACAGAAATGATGGAGTTATTGTACGAATTTCGTTATCAAATAGTGCACAGACAAAAATTATAAATAGTAGAAAGTCACTTCTATTCTACACCATTTAAACTTTAGTTAGACAAAGTATGAGTAAATCATACTACTCCATTTACTCATCTCCTCAAACCTCATACATTATATTTAAATCGACCAGAATAATAAACAACACTACAGAAGACTAGATAGATGGTGATACTTTTTAAACAGCAGCAGTAGGTCTCAATGTACACAAAGGGAAAAGCAAAATCCTCCGATACAACACAGCATGCACCAATCCAATCACAATTGACGGAGAAGATTTGGAAGATGTAAAAACCTTTACATATTTGGGCAGCATCATTGATGAACAGGGTGGATCTGATGCAGATGTGAAGGCGCGGACCGGCAAAGCAAGAGCAGCATATTTACAACTGAGGAACATCTGGAACTCAAAGCAACTGTCAACCAACACCAAGGTCAGGATTTTCAATACAAATGTCAAGACAGTTCTACTGTATGGGGCAGAAACCTGGAGAACTACAAAAGCCATCATCCAGAAAATACAGGTGTTTATTAACAATTGTCTACGCAAAATACTTCAGATCCATTGGCCAGACACTATTAGCAACAACCTACTGTGGGAGAGAACAAACCAGATCCCAGTGGAGGAAGAAATCAGGAAGAAGCGCTGGAAGTGGATAGGACACACATTGAGGAAAGCACCCAACTGCGTCACAAGACAAGCCCTCACATGGAATCCTCAAGGCGAAAGGAAAAGAGAAAGACCAAAGAACACATTACGCCGAGAAATGGAAATAAACATGAGAAAAATGAACAAGAATTGGATGGAACTAGAAAAGAAGGCCCAGGACAGAGTGAGTCGGAGAATGCTGATCGGCAACCTATACTCCATTAGGAGCAACAGGCGTAAGTAAGTAAGTAAGAACCAGTTCACTTAAATCCCCATAAAACATTTCTTACTTCAACAACTTAATATTAATATAAATAAAGTAAGTGTAACAGTGAAAGAAAAAAACAGTAATAAGAAATCGAATTATGTCCACCTGAAACTTGGACCAAATGAAATATCAAAAAAAGACAAACAGATGAGTATAAAGTACATTAAATAGAAAATACCCCAGAAGTTGAATAAATAGTTTCCTGATCATCACAACAAATAATGTTTAGTTTAATTTGAAGTAGACAAATTACAATTGATGTCGCCTCCTATTGTATTTACTAGATAATATTTATCAATAAAAAGAAATTACACTAAAAGAGCAGAAACAATATCATTTGTTTCTTAGGTCACAAGCATTATAAGCAAAGATGGATGGCGGCTAGCAGTGGAATCCAGAACGAGTGTTTCGTCCTATTTGGCACTTGTCAGCTGGATGTACCTGCACCCCAGAGTTGATGTTCACTCTGAGACTCGAACCCAGTACCGTTCTCTACAAACGCCATCGCATTATCCATTAAGCTACTAGGCCCAGATAGCCACTAGCTTTTGCAATGGGTGGAGGGAGTTTTAATTCACATTTGAATTGTTTGTTTGAATCTTCCCATTGATGACTGCGACTGCGATCGATCAGTCTCTCTCTATCCCTGCTCATAATGTTTATGACTTAAGGCAATATCGAGGAAATCTGCACAGGATGCACATATACCAATGAGAGATTGATTAATTGTAATCTTAAACATATTTCAATAAGATAAAACAAAATATACGAACTACTGATCCTACTTCAACTTACAAATACCATCTATAACAAGGTGATTTGAACGTAATTCTAAATATTCTATTCATTATTTAATACTCTGTAAGTTAAAAACACTACTTTTCGACTACCGAATTATTCTTAGTCTAACCTATCTTAACCAGTTTATCCATTATTTTTTACACATACATTTAGTCAGTTAATCTATCTGTTTACCTACTTTCAGAAACCTTTTAATCTTAAATGTGAACACAGCAAAAAATCTAGTCTTTATCTGACAGTGAAAAAGATGAGTATAAATTTACACTTTTTTATCTTTCGTATTCAGACTTAAGTCCGATTTATAGTATCCTTATAGTTAGTTCATGTACTTATGACTTCAAGAATGCTTATTATAATTCGGGTTATTTTAATAATGACGATCGATTAAAACACTAGCCAGTCAATAAAAAGAAATACACAGACTAACAGTCAAAATAAGCATTAGGAAGGTAAGAATGAACGAAGTCACAAAAAATTACAACAGTAATAAAAACTAATAAGAATGAGAAAGTAACAAAACCTGAGCATAAAAAGCATGAAAAAACATTAAAACTTAAAGATTTAGAAAAAGGGTATATATATATATATATATATATATCTATATATCTACGTCGTTGAACTGATTTCCATTTATTAGTTCCTTAAGGTTTTCAACCACAAAATATGAACGTTTTGTAGACCTCCATAGGAAGCTATGAATTGTACCATTATGTAAGGCAAAATAAGTTACATTGAACTATGTCATGTAACATAGATAGTACAAACGAATTCGAATGATTTAATTACTTTTTACGGAAATTCAATTGTTAAACACACCAAACATGATCAGATTACAGCACACACATACACATCATAAGCTTATAATCATTTTATTAAGTTTATTATTTATTTGAACACATAAATATTGGTTAAAAAAAAGGCATCGAGTACATACATACAAGTCACTTGATTTGTGAGTAGGCTTATAATCATGAGACTTTAATGAAGCTTTGAAGAAAAAAATCAAATACAGTAGACAGAAGTTTACCTAAGAAGAAATTAGCTTAATTTGATTTTATAACGGATACTACTACTAATGATAATGATAATAATAATAATAATAATAATAATAATAATAATAATAATTGCTTAACTAATAAAATTAATCACCTCGAAGGATGTCGATAAGTAACTATAAGAATCAGTTAACAAATGTGGTCATAAACAACTACATAACAAATGAGAAATTTAAGCAAATAGACTGACCATATATATTATTTAGTACATCAAAATGGAATATAAATGAATTATGATAAATTGAATCATGAGCACTGCCAGCATACAGTTTGAGAAATATTATATGCTGAATGAACTATTTATTCACCATCCAATAAATAGAATCTCTTACACACCATGTATTCTCCGTCTTATTATTATTCTAATTCTACAGATTGATTTGATGAAGCATGAAAAAAGTTAACTCAAGAATGGATAGTATCGAGCTTTGGTTTATTTTCTAATAGAAAATAGCTTTATCAGTAGTAAGAACTATAACTAAATCATACATTTTATTAATATTACCACAACTATTTACAGAATAATCAGAAAATAATATTCAAATTGGAAATGTTGAACAAAACTACACTAATATAACAATAAAATGTTCAATAAAAAGCATTCGATGAAATCGAAAAACCGGAATGATGAAACATAAACTGCGATAAAATAAAACTCAGTTTTTATCGGCAAACTCACAACCTTACGAGATCAGAGACTTTTTAATGCATTGGCCTAATTATTTTCCCAGTCACAGAAAATGAATCATTAAAATAAACTCATACACGACGGATGTTCTTCCAGTCATATATGGTGTATTAAGAAGTGTTTTCTGTCTTTTTCTGTTTGTAACTTATGTGAACGATAACTGTAATTGTTTTTGTATATGTAAGCTTTTTCTGTAAGGAGATGATCTTAAGACAGTATAATCATTATCTCCTCATGAGCTAAACCATGCATAAAAGTATATTAGTATGGACCTCAATAAATAATTTGAAACTTAGCACTCCCAAATGTGAATAGAAATACTTTCGCGACCCATTTATCAATTTTAACTTTACCATAAACAGAATGGTGATATCTAGGTTTAATGCAGCTTTAGATATGGCACTTGGACATTTCCATAATTTATTTTTCTCAGGACACGTTTCAATGACTTCTGGGCTGTATACTATATAACCTCTATAACAATAACTAACCTACTTTGATTTAAAAATTACGTCTACAAATATCGGTACGACAGTGCACTTTTATTATAAGCAGAATAAGCATACGTCGAAGTCCGTCGGACAACAAATCCAAATGCAAAACGTTTGAAGCTGACCCTTTAAGAAAGCATAGACTTGAAAGAAATCTAATCTTTTGCTTCAAAATCCGTAATAAACTACCTTTTACATTCACTGTTGCAATCAGATATGCAGAAATACCTAGGTATAGAATTTGAAACTCTATACATCACAAGTTAAAATATTTTATGCTAAGTTTTCTATCTATACAAATTACTTTATTATTCAATTTTTGAGACTCTGGAATACTTTATTGTAATCTGCCCACAAAATCAAATCACTAGCATCATTTTTATGCTTCATTGGTGATTATCTTTATTCCGATACCATCTTAAAACTGCTTAAACCAGTGACGACATTTCACTTTATTAGTGAAATTATAGGAATACTAAATGTTCTATTATTGTTATTATTGAGCACAATTATTAACCCTCTTTGTTTGCACATATTTTACACATACATAAGCCCTGGTTAATTTGATTGATTTAAGTAATATCTACCTAAATCGGTAGATTATAAAACAACTTAGCACTTGTATAAAGACGAACATATTCCAGTAATTTTTGATGATGTTCCTCTGTGTTCTCTATTTCAATTTTTTTCATTCTGGTTGTAGATAACTACAATTACTCTGTAATGTCACTGGAAATGACTTTCGATACAGTATTAGTACATCAATAGGATGCCTTGATCTCTAAACTAAGAATTGATGATTCCCATCTGCTAACTCACATTCCTTATGATAAATGCCCTTCTAAAATATTGATTAAGCACATCCTTTCACACAACTTAGCATTATATACCTTCTCTTTACCTATAACCATGCTTGTCGAATAAATCAAACTATATCTGTAAATTGAAATCCACTGTATAATTATGCTCAGAACATAATGAGAATTTCACTTAATATATGCAGACCCTAGAGTGACTAAAACGTCAACCAATAGATTCTTGTCTTACTAATCAATAATATATATAAAAAAGAAATTACTATCAACGATAAAATATGAAGAGAAGTTGCATTTACCAGACCATTTGACTGTAAATCAGTTGAATCAAAGTACTTTACAGATATACAAGCAAGTGTAAGAGAAGTAGGAAACATTAGTAGCAGTAACATCCCATTCAGAAGTCTATATTCCACAATAAATACTCTCAACTCTCTTTATAGAGTACTTTTTAACGAAAAAAACAAAAACAAAACAAAAGGGTTATTGTCGGATTACCTTTTCTGTTGATTGAAATCAGAATTTGCAGATGCTGCATTTTGAAAGCTAATGAACAAAAAATAAATTAAAATGTATAATATAATCAGATTAATTGTTAATATATTTATTCAGTGTAGCAACAGTTTCAATGGAAAATTATGACAAATATATTGTTCAAGCCAATTTCAAGTCCCACTGTTTATTTGATGACAGCTGGTAATAAAACTCAATAGTAAAAGTGTAATGGACGCTACTCACAAGAATGTTTGTAAATAGTGTGTAGTGGAACGTTGCATCAAAATCGCAACAATTGTGAAAACTTCCAGAGCATTGAAAGTATAGCGTTAGCAGAATACTTAGAGACCAGACGAGAAGACAATTCAGAGGGTAGAACATCCCGAAAGGTGAAAATAGACAATTTAAGGCTATGTATATGTATTATGTAAATATTAAGTAACTTCTCTCAAGAAACACACATTCCTTCTGCTTGTTGTCTCGCTTTACAACAATGGTAGAGAAGTGTAAAGAGTTAAGAGTTAGTTAAATGTTTTCATTGTTTAAATCGTTACTTGCTTTTTACAGGCAAACACAGTAATTCAAGATTTGTAAAGAAGAATATGTATATTAATAAATCAATCAATCAGATGACACGTAAAAATAAGAAAAAGTGGAAAAATTTTTTATCATAATCTGAATGTCATACATTTTTCGATTTACTTAACGAACAGTTTTTAATTTAATAGTCATGCAAAAAGGTAATGACTTTCCGAAATAATCATTCCAAATAAATAAATAAATAAATGAACAAATCTACAATTACATATTTTAAAAACGAAAAATATATTTATTTTTAACTATAAGTAAAACATAAATAATTTGAAAGCAATGTATCTATAATACCATTGAAGTGATATAGTTAAGGAAAAATTGAACTACTGAGTGGATGAGTATTTCATTGTAGATTACGATGAAAATTACTTCTGACTTGTAATAAATAGTTTATAAAACCATGTGCTAACTAGTTTAACTAGTAGAAGACTGAACAATAAGTAAGTTAGGCATAGGGTAATAGGTAAAGAAAGCAAATCAGTTGATCAGATGGTAGAGAACCTTCATTAACGGAGGCGGTTGAGACACATATTAAATACACTCAACCATCACTAAACTCGACACGCGATGTTTAGTAATTTAAGTCTAGAGTGGAAGAAAGAGGTAATCAAATTAAAAAGGTGATTTATGTAGATGAAGTTATTAATCATTAATCTGATCAATGCTGGTGAATGCAGGCCACCCGGTTGAGCTTAATGAGATAATCGCGATCAGCGTTTGAAGTCGTTGGTTAATATGGCTTACAACAGGACATAAGAACCCAAAAGCATTCACTGTCTATCTTGTTCTAGATTTTTAGTCCCAATACTCCTTCGTAAATACTTTGTCATTCCAAACTACATTCTCAATGTTGAATCCTTCTCATTATAAATGTTACTGGATTATTTCGACTCCTTTATTACTTAACCTTAGATTTATTTCCTTTTATTATTGTGGCATGGTAGTAAAAAAAGGAATACTAACGTTCTACTACGTAATCACAAACTATCAAAATTAACCAAATCAGCTATTAGACGAGAAATTACAGGACATATGGAATTGAAGATGGCAATAAACGATAATATACCTCAGTATCACAGCAAAGAACCAGCAGACTTCGCTACGAGACGTAAAGCCCTTGGAGCTTCAACCTGTAAAGGCATTCATAAGAAATCCCTTCTTATAATGAGATATTGGTTTAGTAATCTCCAAGTTTTTATCAGCTACGTAGCTGATATTAGTATATGGAATGCATTACCTAGAAATTACATAAAACCATTCATAAAAACACTAAACTAAACGCACTAAGTATTCACATACCATTCATAAACTTTATTTTGTAAACCTTTACTAAATGCCAGCAAAAAATTACGCCCATCCGAATTAAACACTTCTAATGCGATTGGATGAAGTAAATAACGTCGTTTGTGTACTTCTTGAATATTTTCATATGGAAATTTGAAATATCTGTAATTAAAAACAAAACAAACGACTGCATTAACACACAAACATACAAGACTGATAATCGAAATATAGACAGTGATGATTTTTAGGGTTAAAATAGACTGTAAAAAACTATTCAATGATTTATATTTATTAAAATAAATAGTTCAGTGTCAGTGCATTAATTACACTGAACTGATAAACCGGGTAATAAATGTTTTTTAGGTTAACATATCCAAATGATATTACACACAGAGTTAAGTGTTTAATTTATAACGATGAAAAAGAAATTAGTGTTCGTTAAACCAGTGGAGCCCAATCCGTGTCGAGTAGAGACAAAGTTGCGCAAGATCATGGATCAATTGAAGTTAGACATTAATACCCTTAAATACTGACTCAGTGGTCTAGAGGTTAGGCGTTCACGTGCAAGACCGAAAGTCCTGGGTCCGAGTCCCTCATGCGGGATCGTGGATGCGCACAGCTGAGTCGCATACTAAAATGAAACGGCCGTTCAGTGCTTCCAGGTTCTCAATGATGGTCTAGCTTAGATCGACTCATGAATTCAACTATTAAAAAACTAAGTCTTATCAGTTCATTGTTATTTAGTTTCATAATTAGGAATTATTACCATATAAAAAGTGGAAAGAGCTAAAAAGGTAAAATTTTACAAAGATTAAAAGAGAGAAAGAAAAAAGTCAACATCCATTTATTTGAAGAATTATCATAGAATATCTAATATCCACAAAACCAATGCTCGAAAGGGAACAAAAAGGGTTAACAAAATTCGTACATAATACAAAATTTAATCTTTATCCAATCCGTTCACTGAAACATTATTTTAAACTAATGACATTTTCAATAAATTTTGCCGTCTGAGAAAATATAATGTGCTATATTTATAAAATGTATTTTTTTTACCGAAAAATAACCTCTGAACGTGAAAAGAACATTTGATTCTATGTTTATGGTAGAGTTTGTAAATAAATTGATAGTCGTTTGTGTAATGGTGAATCTTTTCAAGATTATCCTAGTTTGAAAGTTGTAAAGCTAACTATGATATAAAGTAAGCAATTTTACTTTCTACAAATATTATTTAGCATTCCAATTACGGAAAACGGTCGAAATTAAGTCTACTAGTGTTTTGCAACTTTTCTTGTTCAAACATCAATGAAACACATAAACTTGTTTGTTTGAATACATTAATAACAAGGAAAATTGAGTTTCCAGGAAAGAAAGAGTAAATAATAATATACATAGCATGTTGAGAGAAGAAATCAAAGATAAGTGAAAATAACAAAAGATGTTTTTTATGGCATTAGTAAGCTGAATTTTTAAGTACTAACATTTATTTCACGTGGCTTACTCATTCACTAAATTACGAGCTTCCGTCTAATACATAGATAATCGTCACATATTTCACCCATAAGTTATTGTGATTTGAATATGAGCCTTGCTTACTAATTTTGTTTTATATATATATATATATATATATATATATATATATATATATATATATATATATATAGTGCTTTGTGATCCAATAGTTAATGTTTTTATTCACACCCCTTTTGAGTTAGGACAACACATTTTATTCTGATTCGGAAATGTAGTTTTTCCATTAAAGTCGTTTTTCGTCCCCCGAATAATCGGTGACCATTTGGTAATCGGCCCACAAGGCCAAATTAGTCACGACCGAACTCGCGTACCCAGTCTCCAGGTTACGTCAAGTAGGTTAGACTATCAAAGACGTTAACTAGTTTCGTGACAACGTTTCTGTATATCTAATGCCTGGACTGGTGGGCAAACAAAGGACATAACAAAGCAATATGTTCAAACAGTGAATTGAAACTCGTAATGTACACATCAAGATTTTTGAAATGATGCATCGAGTAAAATGCTAGGTTGCAGAACAGTCGACAGGGTTTTCAATGTACCCAAAAAAAGACCAAGGTTTATGCATGTCCGATAGTGAAAAACAGATTATCTAGGCTAGCCCCAACTCTGTGTAATCATCGATTCAACTGTTTCGGTGTAAAGCGTTATGTAGGCCAACGTTCTAGAAATTGATCTTCCCATCCTCGTAAAAACGTTTTAGAGCATAGAAAATTGTAAACAATTTGATCCCATTGCCCATGTCTTACAATGAAAAATCAATCATTCTCAATAATCCACCTTCTTCATAGTAACCAACCCATAGCAATCACGCTCCCATTCTGTTAAATGGGAGAAGAAATAGACATCCAGGTTATAGGGAATAATAAAAACAAGAATAACGCCTACTTTCATAACTCTGTCTAACTCAGCTATTATTATTTTCCCTAAACATTTGAATAATGTATTTGGCATTCATTTCATTTTTAATGTCTCTTACTTAATTCATATTATATATACATGATATCATCCCTGATCGAACAAAGGTATTGATTACTTCTGTCACCCTACATTACTGATATGAAGATTCCCATTATTGTTACTTTATTTGATTTACGACCGGAATTAGGCATAAATTACATACTTATCAAAACATTAGGAAACGTATTCACTTTAAAACACTAAATTCATATTTTGCATTTATAATAATGTATTTGTCCTAAACATATTTATTCCCTTAGACCAATAGTTTGAATTTCCACATGTAAAACCTGATGGAAATTTATTGAAGAGAATGTTCATCGTTCACGAATTTGTGGGTCTGTAAATTAATTTATAACTAATGAAATATGGAAAACGCTTCTTAATTAGGACACCTTTTACTAAAGAGCAAACATATGTTGTTGTTCGCTTCACACTGATACTTAGTCACAAACATAATCGAAACAGAAAGGTCCTAATAATAACACAATAGTGAATCCTGTAGAACTAAAGTTGAATCAAGTATCGAAAATGTAATTACACTCACTAAAAGGTAATTCAATCATTTACTTTTCTTGAACTGCCTAACAAGTTATAGTCATTGAATATTAGTTAACTAAACCCTTAGTTTTTTTTAACTACTAAACGATTTCGGATATCTCATTGTAGTCAATCAAGTAAGTAATATCATCACGTAATGCTGGCATTTAAATATTTAAGACCAAATGAAAATAAACTAGGTTCCTTATCTGATTTATTTGAACACATAAAAATTATTACAAAGGGGCACAGAATACATATGAGCCACATAAGTCACTTGATTTGTGTATGGGCTGCCGGACGCCCAGACCGAAGCAGGTGAATTTCTTGAGAAGTCACACCCGGAACCTTCGACCTAAAGATTTGATCCACAAGGCAGTGGATCAACATAAGGAGATGTAGTCCCATGTAAGCCAGTGATCTCCTCAGGATCTTAGGGTCCATGTGCAACACCCGTTTGGAATTAGGGTTTTTCAACTCCCCTAGGTGGATCTTCCGTATCCACAAACTTGGTTAAAGCACCGGACATTCACTTTTCATGCTTTCAATTTCCTAAACAACACCCCGGGCGCGAGAAGGCAGTGAGTAAAACTTCTTTGGCAGTAGCTGTATACGCGTGGTCATGTGAGAGCTGACTCTCCCTACCCTCGGTCGTACCAGGGCACTTGGAGGCGCTCCTTATCTGCTTCTCAATGTTCAATGTGTGTGAGGTATAAAGTATTTTTGAAGATTTATTCGTTCATTTATTAGATGAAAATGGTATGTAAGTACACAATTTTCGCTGAAGATTTTATTTCAAGTTCTAACTTTCAGTTTAATTGCTTTTTCATTCAGCAAGTTAAGATTATCTGGTCGCACAATATTGTGCTCATAGAAGATATGTGTAAACAGCTCTCGATGATCAGAATGAAATCTCTAGTAAAAAACCATTCTTTATATGCAGCAATAACCAACTGATTGGACCAAAAACGAAAATGCTAGATATTTCATTTTTATTGAACATTGAAAAAAAGATAATCTCAGACAAATCTAATCAATGAGCCACATTTGAATAGAAGCATATCAGATACAAACCATTATGAAATTCATTGAAAGCATGGAAAAAGAAAACAACTTTATTTGGTAAAATAAATAAATCAATAAATCAAATTAGAAACTTACTGTTTTCCAGCTATTTGACTAACAGCTCCGGAACTCCATAAATCTGTTGAACTCATATTTGAACGCGTAAAAGATGATCGAGTCAAAGTATTATTATTATTGCTTTTTTTTGTTGCCATTGTACCAACTAAAGCACATGGTACAATTGGTTCATGAATAATATTTGATGGTAATGAATCGATCGCAACTATTTCACGTGTATTTATCAACGTATAACCATCAATAACATAGAAATGAGCTTTACCAAATAATAATAAACCTTCATATATATCTAAACCTAATATACGTGCACAACGATACATAACATGTAATCTTTCACCAGGTTCTAATAAACGTAAGATAGCTTCATGACCAGCTAATTTATCTTCATTAGTACCAATAAAATTATTCATAGGATTTGGTATATCCTTTATAACATTTTGATAAGTATTAGTAGTATTAGTAGCATTACTGCTTGTAGTGGTATTATTATGTATATTGATATTTGAAGTATCTTTTATTAAATGTGACTGCTGCTGATGTTTAGTATTTAGATTTGGTGAACAACGAATATCGTCAGATTGATCTAATTGTTGTTTAGATGATGACGATGATGATGATGAATCGACGTCATCAACAATATCACAATATGAATTGAATTCATCCGGTTCTTCAACAAATGATTGCGTTGAAACAGTCACTAATTCGTCAAGATCATCATTTCTACGCAGATGTGGATCAACGCATACAGAATTTCGTGTTGAACGAATTAATGAAGCTGTTTTTTGTAATGATACTGAGGACGAGGAGAAGAAGATAGAGGAGGAAGGAAGAAATAAATGGAAATAAACAAGAACTGTTCGATTATACGTTGATAATAAAAATAATAATAAATAATCCCTGCATTACATATCAAAGATGTTTAAAGATAAATGAAAGCAGTTATTCGATACATATACTTTGTAAATTGTAAATGTTTAGCTAAAATACTTAAGAGTTAACAGAACGAACTATGAGGAACACAAAATGGTTAATCAAGTTGAAATTATATAGTATGTAAATATATTCTAAGATGGTGGAGATTTGTAGCTCAGTTCAGTCAGTAAGTCAGCTACAACGTAGTTCAGGTGAATGATTTTGGTGGAGTTCCGGTCTCTGAGATGGAGGGTTTGGTCATGGAGCTTTCATCGTTCATCTGAACGACATCATCAGCACAAACGTCTACCTGAAGTTTGTGCTACTGTGTAGTCAGTTACACGATGCAAATTATATTACATAAGTATGGGAATAAGAATAACAATAAAACAATAGAAAATAGATCTACAATCTCATTTCGTTTTCTCATTGGACACTAGATTACAAGAAACTCAAAGATAAATAGGTGTTTGTTTCATGATCATTGGATCCTAAAGGTAATAAGCGGGACAGTCAATAAGCTGGTACAATAAATAAATGCTCTTATAAATTATCTAACCGATCATGAAAAATCAAAAGAAATGTATTCTATTTTTGCAGATATAACAATAATCATGTTCATACTGAAATGGAGGCATTTTTCTAAAATAAACTTATCCTGTCAACTTTGCTTAGCAAATAACTGACAAGAAAAAAACCCTCAAAATATAATGAATAACATTTTTATTGACAGCAATAAATTTGGGGAGAAAAAAAGCAAATCAAACAATCACGTACTTCAGAAAAAAAGAGCAGATATTAAATCTTGTAATTAGAGAGAGTTAAACTATCTACTTCTAGTTTTAATTCCAATATTGTCTTAATCTGAGGCTTGTGTTACTGATGTTTATTGCCTTTCGTAGTAGATGTAAGTGCATTGTGTGCACTTGCTGGGTCATTGAACCACCTTTTCTTTTGTTCTTGTTTTTTCTAGACTTCACATTACTCTGCATAGGACGTGAAGTAACTTTTCGTTAGACGCCAACTGCTACAGTAATAAATTATCTATACTTACTGAATACAAATATAATTTTGTGATTATAGAACAAAAAGTTATAATTGGCTCTAATTTATAAACTGACTGATTCAGAATGAAAAATGAATATCACTTGTTAGTGCAATAATTCTGTCTTTTTACATACTTTAATATAATTATATCATTCAGGTATTACATACTTAGTTTACATGTTTATATTTTAAACTTTGACTAGAAAACTCTGACGAAGAGCAACTTTAAAGAAAAGGTAAAAGCTTTTTAACCAGTAATAATAGATGAACATTCTTTGGATAGAAAAAACTGATGATCTTGATCTATAATGCAAGTACATGTTCCCAGATGGTATGATTTCTCACCTTGAACTTACAACCGACTGTTTTTTTATAAGCGGAAAATAATCAATCAAGTTTAACGGAGAAACAGAATAATAAAATAAATGATAGTCACGTAATGCGTGATATATATATAACTCACATTCCAAACTCTCTGGATCCAACGACTGACTTAATTCAGTAAATTCAGAATCTGGTGTTACTGTTGTACAACAGTTCAAACTATCGTCATCATCTGTATGTTTTTGTTGTTGATCAATATCAGTTGAAACGGGGCCATCAAAACATGATTCACTAGGCTGTGATGTTTGGCTTGTTGCATTATTGTCTGCCTCCTCTAAAATGTCAATGATTTCTTCCAGTTTCATAGATTTGCTAAGTTGTAACCATGGCGTTAAAGGACCGTAATCTTCATGAAGTAAACTTTTTGACTTGTAATTAAGGAAATAAAGTTTACTATCACGACTACGCGGCTTTCGCGTTTTGGTTAGTGTTGATGTATACGGATAATAATTCTGCAAAGAAATAAAACATTGAAAAAAATTCTGCAGGCGGAAAAAAAAACAGTTCAACAACACGCTAAGAATTTGAAACAATTAACTTTGAAACTAAACCAATTACCAGTGATTTCATGAATCCATACAATAACACTTAAAATTCTATTATATAAAAAGTTTAAATCATGAAATAACACGAGAAAAAACTACTTTAAACAGTGCAATAACCAAATATCACTTGAACACATGACACCAGGTCAGGACCTTGTAATCTTTCAAGCGCCAGTCTTCTGAAGTTTCATTCTTCAGTTACGACATAGGACCAGGCACATATATACATCGGTCCAAGTTGCCATACCTCATTAGCACAACACGATTAACACCGGATTCATAAAGTAGTTAATTCAGTGGTGATAATATATAAAAGAAAGATTGCATATAAGGACACAGTACAGGAAGAAAGAATTAGTTCGTAGAAAGAAAGATATGAAGCGATTCTAATCTCTTAGTTTAAGGGAAGACAAATAGTGTGTACACCGATGCCACTGAGATCGATTCTGAGCCATGTCACCAAGAGTCTCCAACCATCGATTACGAAAGTCACGCGGACCCCAACCAAATAGTCTACATCTACTAACATGGTTCAGACTACAAGTTAGTGACTTCAAGCACTGATGCCACATTTTGGTTTGGCCGACCCTAACTTTCTTCCAACCATCTCCAACACGCGGTTAGCATTGCACGTCGCGGTAATCGGTGTTCAGGCATGCGTAACACGTGACCCAACCATCTCAGTCGATGAAGATTCATAACCTCATCAACTGATTTACCATCATTCACTAATAACCTGTGTCTAACCTCCCTATTACTTACCCGGTGATCGCCATAAGCTCTGACTCGACTGGTAGTGTTCGAGTAAAGAGCCTTCATAAGGTTTATGTACTTCTGGGGTACGCCTTTCAATGACAAATACTGCCACAGAATTTCGCGGTCTACCGAGTCAAATGCTGCTTTTAAGTCAAGAAAGACCACCATTGTCGGACGCCGGTAAGTATGTCTATGTTCTAGAACCTGACGAACGGTGAATATGTGGTCAATGCAGCCACGACCAGGTCTGAAGTCAGCCTGATTTTCTCGTGTTTGTCGTTCACGAGTCTTAGTCAGGCACCCGATAATTATTGCTTCTGAAGTTTACCAAAACCAAGTATCAGAAACCTGCTTTGTTTGTTCAAAAGGACATTGATTTTTCTTTTCTTTGCGGTCACAAACATTTTTTAATTACACCAGAAAATTTTATTCAATTCTTTCTTCATTTAAATACATCATTATGTCTTTTTATTACGACTATCTTTTAGAATAGTAATCTTGTTTTAATTAACTGAGTTCTATTCACTTTATTATTATCTATTATTACAGTTTAATCATTACATGAAACACTAGTTCTTAGGCTTTTGGGCTCTTGTTGCAATCAATGTTTTAGAATGTCCTTTTATATAAGATATACATTAACAATATGTTATTCAGTCTATAAAATTTATTTACACCTTTGCTATATTTATGCTGATGTGTAATCAAAGCAACTACCAAAGAAACTCTTTTATGTATGTAATTTGAACCCATTTTTTTAATTATCACTTTAAATATTACAGGTAGTAAACAGCCGACGATAAATAAACGAAGTAAAATGAATTCATACTACTTTGCTAAAGAATTTTCTTCTTGCTTTCTTTAATATGAATAAACAGTCAACATTAGTGCTTAGTAATGATAAGTTAAGAAAAACGTTCCATAAATTAAACTGTTGAATATATTATTGTACGATAACAAACAATAATTGCAAGCAACTGAAGGCGACGACTTAAACTGACTCTGACCTTGTACTTCAAAATACTAAATTACCTGTCGTTTACATTCACTGTTTTAATCCAGTATGCAGAATCACCGAGTTATTACCGTTCGTAACTAATTATCAAAGTCAAACTGTCTCCTCCTAAATCTACCGGTTATATGAATTACTGTGCAAATAAATCTTCGAGGCTTTGGAATGATTTAATACAATATATCCGCGGAACGAGGTCATCATTATCGTCGGCCATCAGACACAAAAACGACTACAGCTTTTTTATCAATAACGATAAATCTTGTGGGCATGAACATAGATATCAAAATAACGGTGATTAGTTTGAGTGTCATTCATATATGTGATCAAATGTCTACGCGTACTTTTTTTTCTCCAAATATATAAAAATATGACATGCTTAGAAACAAATTATCTCGGTCTGTAACTACATTTGAACTTGAACCTAAACTATTGATAGCGTGATTACTAGAGCTCATTGTTATTAAAAACATAGTGCACAAGTAATTGACTTTAATATCCATTTTAAGCAACCAATTACATCAATTTTCAGATTATCAATTTTATTGGGGTGACAGTTTTAACGTTTGAACCCCTTTACCTAACTGTCTTCAAAAATAATTTGCATTTACATTTAATCCACTCTGGACATACTAATTTGTTATCCAGAATGGTATGATTCACATTGTTATGCTTATCTTTGTTTTTATCTAATCTTTCAACTTGTCTAGTTGACGTATATATTTATATATATCATAGTTTTAGCGAACTTCATAGCATTCCCTAGAATTTTTTAAAATCAACTTCAGAATGAAATATTAGTCAAAAATGATCAATTTGCTCAGAAAGATTATTTTTGATGTGAACTTTATCAAAGGTCAAATGTTGAATAATAATGAATAAATAAATAAACAACACCTCAAAATAACACTAAAATTAGCTTTATGAAGTGTTCATATTCAATAATATATGCATGTACATGGAAAAAATTGTGTACATCAAACGGGTTGATCATATGATTCCATCTATCATGATAATTAACGAACTGAATTTTTTAATATCATTCTGTATTATTAAAACGTTAATTTTGAGATGTTTTAGAGAGTTTGATACTTCTCCAGTTAATTGATACAGTGGTACATATTAAGTGAATTTGAATAAATAAAAAACCTCAAGCTATGAATCGTATTCCATCAAATATGTCGCCAACTTGTTATCAACGTCAACTACTAGGAATGATCAATTTCTTAACAAATTTTTCCGATTCTCTTACTACATACAATGTAATCTATCAATTTTAAACAGAAATATTTCAATTTAGTGATCACTCAATACCGCTGAATATCATAATGATTTTAATCATTTTCATCCTTGAATTACTTCGTTAAATATTCTCCATCATTGTTATAGATAACTTTAACGTTTGATAATGATATCAAATAATATATCGCTCTGCCGAAAATAGTATCATTTCTTGACTTGAAAACTAATCAAGAGTATCCAGCCGGTTACACACGGACATTGATGACAAAAAGAGATGAGTGAAGTGTTATAATAATAATAATAATAATAATAATAATAATAATAATAATAATAATAATAATAATAATAATAATACGATTTCCTTTATTCAATACTTTGAATTTCGCTACTACGATGAACTTTCAACTTCGCGTGTAGCCTCACTAGGAGATAGCAACTACACTTCGTAAAAAACATACTAACCATAGGAAGGAAGTCCCAGAACCAATTACGTAGTATTGCAACAAATGTTTACGTAATATGCATTTATACATTGTGATTATTAAGAAATAAACTTAATAAATCTAATACCAATAGTTATTTTCAATAGCGAAATAAGCCTACCAGTTCAGCTGCTGCGACTATCTTTGTTTTTAACCATAACATATATGATGTATGATACACGAACTAGTCGCATCCCACTTCTTCGGAGAATAGATCAGAAGGAAAATGAGTCAGCAACTGTGATGCTTTCGTTTCAGGTTTTTTAATATTTAACGTTGCAACAACCTGTAAAGCTTTTTATTTGAAAAATGTGAGCCAATGAAGTTACTAACTATAATTGTTCGATTAAAACAACTATAAACCAAGAAGTTTGGCTGCAATATTTGTAATTAGAAAATAGGAGACCGAAAAGTTCAGGTTTGTCTTCCTAATCAGGAAACAGTTGATAAATTCATCGAAACTGTTAAACAACAAGTACTGATCATAAAGTAAACATTACTTACATCACGATTTGGAGAACGAAGCAATAGACGCGTTAAATAACTTGGTAAGTAAGGATAACGTGAATTGAATGATTTATTCAAAATCATACGCTTTCTCATTCTTAAAGGACCTTCAGTTGGGTCTAGTTCCCATTTAGCTAAAGGATCCGGTGTAACTCTGCCCCATAGACCGCGTTCTCTTGTCAGTTCGTTTTCAATTTTTTCCCATTCAATTTCAAGATGACGCTGATTAAAAGATAAATTCTGAAAACAAAATAAATGTTAATTTTATGTGATACGATACATATCAAGGCAAAAAATAGATATCTGGAAACCGCACACACATATATAACTGTCAGCGAGTGACCTTTAATTCAGTGGACAAAAAGTTTACTTTTAATGTGTGATTGTGGAGATTGATAGAATTGAAGTCTACAGCACAAACAGATTTTAGTCACAAAGATTAAAGACCAGAAAGTGTTGGGTTCTAACGTCGACAGAATTGCGCATCGACATTGATGTGAGGACCCATACTAGAATAAGACAGATGTCGAGTGTTTCCTGGTTTTCAATTTTTGTCTAATTTCGGTACGTGATATACAATACAGAATTTATTGGTTTGATACGCATATTGATATATCATCCCCAATCTCATAAATTCCCTATTTAATCAAGTCTAAAAATAACCTGACATATCCGTGCGAAACTTGATTAATTGATTACTAATTTTAGAAAATAACGATAATAAGACTACAATCAGTTATTTAAGTCGTTAGATGATAATTTTTCGAAAAGTTCAACAGTGACACGCTCGTCACGAAATATTAGTCTTGGGTTCATTCCTGTAGAGATTCATCATTATGAATTGAAGACGAGTATAAAACTGCATACGAAAATGGACCTCTCGAAAAAAGTTGTTGATAAACCTTACTTTTATTGCCGTTACATTGATATTTTCACTATCGTTGGCTTGAACATTGGGAAAAAAGGACTCTTAGTGATTTTTAACAACTAAAGTTATGCGATCACATTTGCATGTGAAGAGCAACTCGATCACAAACTACATCTCCTCAACGTTTTGTTGAACAGAAAAGAAAGTGGTCCTAACAGTAAAAATGTGTATAAGAAAAGTTCTGCAGCAAGCCAGCACACACATTTCATCAGCTGTGTATACATTCATTACAAGAGAAACCTAATCAGATGTCCTGCAAATAAAGCTTGAAAGATATGCTCAGACGACATTGTTAACAAGGAACTAGAGCTTATCCATAAAATGTTGACTGAAATATGTTATTTACAAGGTTTTCTGTGGAAACGTTTGGATGCAATAAACAGGAAAAGAACAAAGTCCACAGCTAGTAGGAAACCCATCTTCCTGAAGCTACAAACCAACGCTGATATAACTGGTGATGTACTACAGGATAGACTAATCAGACCAGTGAAGAGAACGCTTGATGCAGCTAACCACTGTCCATCGTTCTCGACCCGACCTATGGTGATTCCCCAATTAAGGTACAAGTTACATGGTTCTGCCACATTTATCTGTATCTACAAATTCAGATGCTCCTGTGGAAAAAGCTATATTGGGAGTGCAACCAGACAATTGAGCCGACAAGGTGGTGAACACCTTCTTTATCTTTATCTATTCCTTGGTTTAATTAACCTTAATAAACGATTTTATTTATTATTTTACAAAATCTTTGTTCGTTTATTTTTCTTTGACCTCTAGGTTTTTCAAATATACGCCTAACTGTCCAACTATTTGAATGCTTTTTATCACGTAATCCTATAGTCATTATGGATGTTATTTCAGCATCTATATTTTTCAAGTCATTGACCTATTTCCCATCATGAAACATGAACTCAAGCCTTTGCTATTCTTATCACAACTAGTACACCTGTCATCATTCTATCGATTTGTACATTTTACTTATTATGTTTATTTGTGTAATCTATTCCACGTTTATCAGTGACTTAGAATTGCTGTGATTGGTTTAATAATTTCGTATATACATATAAATATTGCAGTATATTAGACTAAAGCCTGATGAGGATCTGATTGAAAACAATATTGCTCTCTTAAATGTGTTGTTCTAATTAACGATCTGGGGAATCCTAGCAGTTTAGAAACACCAGAGAAAATCTCGAGTAATGAAAAATACGAAACGTACAAATTAACTTGGAATTCTAAAACAACTTACTTGATAAAATTGTGTTTTTTGTTGATCAAGTAGTTCGTGAATGAAATTTAGTTGATTCGGAGCCCATAATTGTATAGCCTATAAAACAAAACATTGTTAGACGGTTTTCAAGAAACGAAAACATATCAACAATTAAGAAAGGTCGGTTCAACAAAGTGTCCGTTTTTCGGCGAATTCATTTTCAAAGCTGTAAAATCGCAAATCATATATACCAAATTTTTAGGATGATAGTAATTACAATAGTAGTGACAATAAAATTCTGTTAAACATTGTAACAGAGAGGTAGAATAGTGTTCCTCATATAAAAAATAGTGTTTCAATACCTTTGTTGATTGTCAATCCACAATTATTTGAGAATAAAATCGTAAGAGTTTTAATTATTATACATCTCCTTATCTTTCCAATACCAATAATCTGGAAATTACTAATAAATATATAGATGCAGTTAAAAAATTAACACTAACAGCTTGTTTCAGACGCCTTGTCAAGTTTGAGAATATAGAAGTGCATGTCAACGCCCGACTTTAGTGGCGTTTTCTGGTCCTTAAGATAGCATTCGACTCTGTTGACTGATGTTTAGTGGGTATGCGTCATTAAATGAAATAAAAAAATAGAATAAAAACCTTGTGAAAGCTCTCTAAGAGAAAACTATTGGTCAAGTCAGAGCCTAAGAAAAATTGTTAAATTGATGTAGCTACTGACAAAATGCTAAGTCTGATGAACGCCCCGAATAACAATGAAAGTATGTTTGAGATATGCTTCGCTCCCTCGAAATACAGGAAAGGTCTAGAGTAGTTGAGTGACATGGCTCATAATCAGTCACAAGTGTGTACACCCGTTCACTTTTTTATCTGGAACACGAGTATCAATGTTTGTCCATATACACCTTTTTATTCTATCCTTTCAAACTTTATTCTCAGTATTTAGTCTTCCTCACCATGATCGCTACTACAATTAGTTCAACTCTTTCACTAATCATCGTGTAAATTCAGTATTGTTATGCTGATATGGTCTGACAAATTGAGCTAAAGTACATTGGTCCCAGACTCTTAGTTTATTACAACAGGCTGAATAATTAAAGTATGCAATGTCGTAAAAAGAAGTAACCATGACAACAAGAAAAAGTTAATATTAGATTGACTTCCAATTTTAAGTTTATTTGTAATACATTTTTTCTCGTCAATGTTAAATGATAAAATATCATAGCTTCTTCTCAACAATAATGTTCAACCTTTATTGACATTTGCTTGAGATTTATTTGAGAAAATCCTATTTGTACAACCCTTGAATAAATGGAAAGCTCTTTTCCTACTACAAGTTTGTAGACTGAGAAAAAGTACTGTTTTTATACTCTTATTAATTTTCTTCTGGGAATACCGAGTAAGTAATAGGGAGGTTAGACACAGGTTATTAGTGAATGATGGTAAATCAGTTGATGAGGTTATGAATCTTCATCGACTGAGATGGTTGGGTCACGTGTTACGCATGCCTGAACACCGATTACCGCGACGTGCAATGCTAACCGCGTGTTGGAGATGGTTGGAAGAAAGTTAGGGTCGGCCAAACCAAAATGTGGCATCAGTGCTTGAAGTCACTAACTTGTAGTCTGAGCCATGTTAGTAGATGTAGACTATTTGGTTGGGGTCCGCGTGACTTTCGTAATCGATGGTTGGAGACTCTTGGTGACATGGCTCAGAATCGATCTCAGTGGCATCGGTGTACACACTATTTGTCTTCCCTTAAACTAAGAGATTAGAATCGCTTCATATCTTTCTTTCTACGAACTAATTCTTTCTTCCTGTACTGTGTCCTTATATGCAATCTTTCTTTTATACATTATCACCACTGAATTAACTACTTTATGAATCCGGTGTTAATCGTGTTGTGCTAATGAGGTATGGCAACTTGGACCGATGTATATATGTGCCTGGTCCTATGTTGTAACTAACTGGCTGACTGACTCTTATTAATTTCATAAATACAAATTTTCATACTGACTAATTAGTATACAGTGTTAAAGGTTATTTATTCATTCAATAAATAAATAGATAAATAACTATAATACTAATTAAGTGGTTTATTCACTGCTATCATTGAAAGGCTTTCAAAGAAAATACTTTGTGAATACATCAGCTTAAGCATTCTATAATAAATCTCAAAACAATTTATTCATTTAACAAATATTGATGATTGGTGAATATTTACTGAAAAAATAAAACACAGATCTTGAAAATCCAACATAATTTTTAGATCAAATTTAGTCAGGATAATAAAATGTTTCGATAATGTTAATGACAAATCGAAACGATCGATAAATGTAAATTTACTAGTTAGTCATGAACTAATGATCTAAATGAAACAGAAAAATCATAAAATCAACCGAAATAATAATTACCTCCACAGCATTTTCTTGAATCATTCGGAAACCAGTACCATTAGGTTGACTCAAATAGTTAATTTGTATATTATTATTGACAAGTGATGTATTTGTATTCATGTTGGATCTAGATATTTGTTCATTCATATTAGTTTGGTTGGTCAGAGAACCTGAATGAGAACTAGAGCCTAGTTTAAACACATTTCCTGAAACTTTACTCAATTTCATTGAAATTTGGTGTTGTAATCCTGATGAGGTTGAAGCAGATCCGGTAGTCGTTGTTGCAACAGATGTAGGTGGAAAATTTTCCTGTTTTATCATATTTAAAACATAAAATGGAGTACCAGGAATACGACCCCATAAATTGTTAGAAGAAATACCACCTAATCCTGCCGCTTCACAATCAACATGTTGTGCCCAAGCAATTAAACATGGACCTTCAAGGATTGTAGTCCAATCATTAAGTGAAGGTACAGATAAACCACTAATTAATGGAGCTTCTGGGACAAGTTTTGCAAGTACCTATGTAAGCAATCAAAACACACGAAAAAAATAAAGACTGAATGCACTTAAAAGGTTCCTAGGTTCACAAATAATTTAACACAAAAACTATCTGAAATTTTTCAATGATAAATTCATACCTTAAAAAATTTACCCAAACTAATTAATTAGCTGAAGATTCAATAAGACATTATTGATAATAAACACTTTTAATGAATCGATGATATTGAATAAACAGTAAACACTTTAAACAATCAAAACATACTTCTGAGATATTTTAATGTATATAAAAAAATAAAATTGAATATAAGCGATAATATGGCGGTGCGTTCAGCTATTTTAATGAGTCATTTGTTTAAAATAAAATAAATAAAGAACATTTATATGCGATTCAACGAAAATCTGAAACACAAATGGATTAAAACAAAATAAATTTTAAGTTTTATTTCGATATGAACTGGTGTGGACAATAAAGTTGTCAATATTTTCAAATGAAATGTGATCCGTCTCAGTTGGCATATGTGGATCCTGGGTGAACTGCCTCAATATAACCATTGGGGCACAGGTTGGTGCGGAATAGGTAGAATGTGACTAACAGTGTAATCCGCGACGTGCGTTTTGTCTTATTTAGGACCAGTCAGCTGAATGTATCTGTATCCCAGAGTCGATGTTCACTCCGGGACTCGAACTCAATGCCGTCTATTTCAAACCTCATCACGTTAACCCATGAGCTACTGAGTCAATGCGCCTCAAACAGAACGAAATATGTGTACTAGATTCCATCTACTATACATCGACTTTTAACCTATCAATATGCTGCTACTCAAAGTTAAATGAAAGTCAAGACTCAAATTGTTGTTAACCAGTTAGTAAAGATGTACAATGACGTGTAGACAATCTAGTACCTTATAAACAGAATCTAAGCAAGACTTGAAGCCACCAGTCCACCTCTTCCTCTCGTTAGTCTTGTTGTATAACCTTAAGGTTGAACAAATATGCATTTCATTCGATGATATTCCTACTGCATTATTAAAAAGTACATATAAAACTTTGACCAAATTGTTCATATCGACAAAAATTCATTGACAGAACACAGAGAAAATATTTAAAAAATTCATTCAATGTTGAAAAACTCGATTCAAATTTATCAGTTTCTCCGAAGAAAATTATTTTACATTGTTAACCACCACTTCTAAAAGATTAATTGACCGGATTCGAACAACCTGAAAAAGAAATCCATAGTTCTAACCTTAATCTCATGAAGATATACATTACTCACTAGCTCTACTTTTAACATTTAAACACAGCCGAACTCATTCTCAATCATATTTTCTCTTTCTTGATATAAAATGAATTTCATCAGTTCCTATTTAGAAAAGGATTATTATTACAATTAATACTTGATATCATACCCAATGAGAAAGCTGGTAATTAACGTGAATTAGATGTCTACGTGATCACGTTCCGGCTTTTGAAATGATCTGTACTAGATTCAAGCGCATTAGTAAAAAAATATTAAAACTGAAATACTGATAAGATCAGTCTGAACAAACCCAAGTAAACTAGAATGTATATTCTGAATTTCTCCCCTGACTACTATTTAAAAAGTGTCATATTTAGTCAAATCGTTAATAATCTACCATTGTTGTTCATTTTTTAAATATGATTTACGTTATTCCATTTCGTCCAGTAAGATAATTTTACAACTAACTCGAATAGTATTACCATTTTAATGAAGTAATAATCAACTGTAAAATTTCATTAAAAAATGACCAAGATCTGATTGAGTTAAAATTGTAGTGCCTTAGCAAATAAAAGCAGTCAAAAAAAACTAAAATACATTAATTAAAGATAATATAAAATAAATCTCTTATCATTTCAATCTGTCATTTTAAATTACATAAACATGTAAACCAATAAGTAACTTGAAAACTGTGCATGGATCTAAATTTTATGTTTCCATAGTCGAATTTAGTCGTTTTCATGGTTTTTTTCTTTAGAAAAAATATCCGTTTGCCTACTACAATAAGAAACCAAATTCTTTTTTTAAAAAAAGGAATGAGTACGATAGAATGAATCGAGCTTACTGATTTTTTAGCTAAATAACATTTCGACCAAAGTGTTAAAGCAGCTAGAACAATTTCTTTTGTATAATTACCAATTATTTGATCAGACTGTTGTCTACTATTTACATTTGAAGATTTTGAATAATTCAAAGTAGTACTTGTACTGTCATTAAGTAATTCATTATTGCCTAAGTGAAAATTTGTGAATTGTTTATTTACTGATGTTGTTATTGTAGATGATGAGGATAGTCGTTGTTTTGATGCTGGAATTACGGTATTATTCTCTGTTCCCGTTGTCACATTTGATGAAGATAAGATTGTATCATCAAAATTATTGTCTAATTCATCAAATCCAAATGTCGTATGATAATAATTAACAGAAGATGATTCAATTGGAAGATTATTATTATCATTATCATTACTATTATTATTTGAACTGTCATGATCAGTTTTTGTACATGAAGTAATTGAAGAAATTTGACTCAGGGTCGAAGATTTATTAATCACTGATGTTGAATTATTTGAATAATCTGTCACATTGCCTAAACTTTCATCGTGTTCATCATTTAGGTGTATAAGTTGAATTAACAAGTGAACTAAACACGCTGGAAATTCAATATCTTCATTGATTGAATTAAATATCAATGGAATGTGCTCATGACAATGTGTAGCAGTAGGCCGAAGTTGATCAATCTCAATATAACCACGATTAATATCTAGATTCAATTCTTCTATAGGATTAATATTTGTTATATTATTACTAGTACATTGTACTGAAGTATTATTTAATCGGTTCAATAAATTAATTATTTGTAACTGATCAGCATTTGTAAGAATCGGCCGAGATAATTGATAAAGTATAGTACGATTTAAACTACGATATAATGAATGGATTGTGAATTTACTAGCCAATAAGTTATTGTGATTATTACTGACTGAATGATGTTCAAGTTTATTAGTTTCTGCCGTCGTTGTAGATGAAGAAACAATTGTGGTAGACTGATCTGGCCAATAAGTGATAAGATGGATCAAAAAGTCTATGACATGATTTACTTCTTTATTAAAACAACCCTGAGTAGATCATAACGAAACAGATAATGAAAAGGATAAAAATTGTACACAGTGGAAGATATTTTAATTTCTTTTTAATATACATAAATAGTTTAAATGGTTACAAACGAATAACACCCCAAGATTCATCTGAACAAAATATCAGTGTCATAATAAGGAATGCAAATAATATCCATCTTTCCAGAAGTGATAAATATAATGGGTTCATTTAAGACCGCGAACTGACCTAAGACAACAAGAACACACCTGGAAGTAGTGAGCACCTACAACCTCACCACAGGAGAACGAACCTTGAACCGTCGAGTCTCACGTAAAAAGAGCTCAGTCTTTAGACGATTGAGCCGGGATCCAATATTGTAAGTAAGAACCGACGGAACTTGTCATAAATACTATCTGATTTATTGAAATGGAATTTTATATGACGAAATATATCAGACAGATAAATATTCTAATTAGTGTGAAAGCTCAAAACATTTTTATATTTCTTCCAGATTTATTGTTTACTAATTCTTATTAAAACAATAATAATGTAAACTCGTTTCATATATTTATATTTTCTCGATTATAAGCGGTTGACGAGAATCGATCATTTGTTTGAAACGCCATGGAGTTCTGGATTCCATTGCTAGCTACCATCCACCTTTGCTTATAATGCTCGTAACTTAAGGTAATATCGAGGCAAACTGTACAGGATGTACATATGCCGATAAGAGACCGATCAATGGAAATCCTAAACATCAATGAATACATCCAAACAACCGATACAAAAATGAATTAGGAAATTAGTGAGACTATAATTAATGGATGATCTTTGAAAGATGCTCCAGTGACTTTGAGAATGATTTTCGTCATGATCTGACATCAGTCAAAATGCTATTTTGACAAATGGGTGAATAAATTTCGCGCCAAAATCAGAGACCTGTTACTCTAAATCTGATTGGTTCGTTAATAAATTCTAATCACACCAAGAAATTTAGGCATTTTGAATACTATAAAAAGGTATTTCTGCCTGTTTTTACGTGATATAAGATAAAGGTGTTATATCCTAGTGAAGATTAAATCACGAGTAACTTCCGAGAGCTATTAATGGACTAATATTATATATATTCCTATCGTATGACTGTTCAGTAACTAGATTATGTATATCTATATTCCTCTTATTATAGGCCTATAGATTAATATTATACGATTTACTGTTCTTATGTTCAGTTTATTGATTACTGTCTCCCACATTCACAGCCACTTTTTGTCTTGATCTTGTATAAATGTTATTCCTTATTTTATGGTATGATGAGGTCTATTTGGCTGGTATATACACTATGTTTAAAATAAACGATTAGCATAGTGGGAGTTGTTACTGGAGTACTGGACTCAACTGAACAGGTTAGGGTAATAGAGGACCGATAAGGATACTGGGATGTTCAGAACGGTCGAACGTCATTGGTTTAGCACAGTACTAAGATTGAATAAGTTGTATTTCAATTGGCGAATAAATCACGTGATAACTAAACAGGCTTAAAGCCTCAACAAAAGGTTATTCTACTTTGAAGTCCATGCAAAAACTATAAAAGTCAATTTCTCAATCTTGATTAACTCATTCCTAAACTATACTTTTACCTCATAATGTTATAAATATGAACAATTGTCAGATGTAGATTATTACCGTTTCTCTTATGATGGCTGACGTAATAGCTAGGCAACGATTAAAAATCACAAAATATGAATAAATAATAGAATAACATAACATTTTACTTTATCAAAAATAAACTGAACGAAGAAAGTAATTAATATGAATAAATGAATAAAAACTCAATAGGATTAGGTAAGATGAACTTAAAACTACCTGCCACAACTTATCAACAATACGTGCAGAAAAATATATTAAGTTAGCTGGAATATATTCAATATTTCCATTGGGTCCAACACATAATGATTCATCATTTAGTATATCTGTGGCTAAGAAATGATCCATTAAACTGCATAAAATCAGTGTTTGTAAAGTTTGATGTTGCTTTGAATTACACTGATCAGACCATGCCTGATTAGATGAGTCGAAAAAATGGAAATTAGTGTTAATAAACAAGACAATAGAATAACAAATACAGAAAGTAAAAAAGGCAGATCCAAAATAATTATGTTTAGTGTTTATACGTCGACCAAGTAGTCGATGATATTACCATTAGCTATCTAACATGCACGCTCCTTCTAATTATATCCCAATGGTTCGTTTACATATACTGAAATCCTGCTCTTATCCCGTATTGTATGCTTAGCAATTAACGGTGATATAGCCGTTGAGGTATTCAATCTCCGAACAAAAAGCTTTAGGTTACAACATCACTAACCTAACCATTTGATTTGAGGAGCTGGGTAATGTACCCACTAGCCCCCGTACCTAGAATTTGAATAAAAATCAGATACATGAATCTGTATTTAGCTAGTGAGTTAGTTACACATTTCACTCAAATGACCAAATAATATAGTATTGTTAACCCTAGGCAGTGTAGAATGCTTCATTATCCTCGTCAAGTTGACGCTAATAGAAAAAGATATGTGAATAAGCAATAAACAGCTTTTTTTAATTATCCTTCACTTTTTTGTGTATCTGCTGAAAATATATTCGAAACATGTCATATGAATGTTCCAGCGAATCATGAGACGTGCAATGTTCAAAACTACTCATGATTGACGTGTGCCTATAAAAGAACTTAGTAAAGACAATTAACATCTAGATGAAGATATTTACTAACACAAAGTTATAAATACAAAATCCTTTATTTCTTGCCAGTAGGAAACCTATCACAATGCACTTTTTCTTATGATTACATCAATATTTAATAAAATTCTTGAACATGACCATAAAAAGATGTTAATGATCGATTACTCATTGAGTAGTGACTGATGTCGTTTTAATCTAGTCCTTCTTAATCTGGATCGAATTCCATAGATCAACATACAATGTCGCCACTTATCTAGGTTATTCGACATCGAGTGTATTATGTTGAGATGTTACGTGGTCGGAAATGTTCAATAGGAATCCTAGTCCAACGTTTCGTGCTGGTTGTCAAAGGTTAGTAAGGTGTACTAGCAACTCCATCGGCAAACATGAAAATGGTCACAATTATACGACAAGACAGTTGTAAATATCTCAATCTTACAAAACGTCGATCGCTCCTCTAATATCTCAGTGGTAACATCTCAGAATGCGAAGGTGGATTCGAATATCACTAAGAGTATCAGTTCGCCTAACATTGCAGCCACGCCATGCTGACGAGTTTCAAGCATTACGATACCGAGGTTACAGTTTCCTGTCGACTACTTTCCAACCACCTAACAGAAACAGATATTCATCAAACTTAGTGAGATATGAAAAACCTGAGATTATCACTTCGACAAGATGATAATGACAACTGCCAAAAACTGATAAGATATATATAATAAATAAGCTATCAAAGTCCACTCAAAAGAATCTCAGCTACATTTGTGTTAATACATACACTTGGTTTTAAATAATCCAGAATAAAAATGTCATAGGAACACATTTCTAGCACACTAAAGAAAACTAGACAAAATTAGTAAGCTGAAACAAAAATAATTCGCCTACACCTACAAACAAACAAATGATAGAATTGCATACACAAAACTTACTTCTAAAATTATATCCACTATATGTGTAGGCTGTAGAAATGATGGATGTAAGGTAAAACTATCGGATACAATTAATTTAATAAAATCTAATATGATTTGATAGATTGAATTTCTTGACGATTGTATCGATGATGATGAAAATGATAATAATTGATCGACAAGATTTTTATGACTTGACAACTAAAAGAAAAAGTTGGTAAACAAAATAATGACACTAATATCAATATTTATTGATCAAATATATGATTTTTTTCTTCAAGGAAATATCAAAAACATGAACCTGCAAACTTATTACTAAGAGAGATATGAACGACCTCAGGGTTATGGATGAGGGCATAACTGGAAAGTTCTGAAATTAAGATGATACCGTTGACCAGTGTTACTAGATTTTCAATCGTTCTTTAACTTGTGACAACCGCTATGATAATAACTATCTTTGAATTAGTTTATCTAAAACAAGCACGATTCCTGAATGCATTGCCACGATAGTATAGTTAGATAAGAGCTTCTTTATCCTAGTAATGTTGTGGCTGGTAGTAAAATCTAAGATGCATGTTTGATTTTGAGACTGGCCAGCTCGATGATTCTGTATCCCCTATGTACCACTTCAAACATACTTGACTATTAAATGATTGGCGGAGAAATATTGCATAACTATCTACAGTGCAAGAAACGAATACTATCCAAATATTCTCAAACCATACCATATAAAACGTCCTGCTATTAATTTGCCCTCAAATAATTTAGAGCATTTGGTAAAACATCAGCTCAATGTCTTCAACAGTCAAAAAGGATATTTAACCTAAAATGAGAGACAGGTAAATGGTATTTCAATTGGATTGATTAAACGGACTAGTTGTAATAACAGCCTGATTATAACATGTGCACCCAAGGATACTGTGTAAGTGGATGCCTATTATAAAAACAAGCCAATGATGTACATATTACAGATATATATGCTTTTGTGGTATTCAATCTAGGCTCTCCTTGGTTAATATACTACGACTTTATAAAAATATAGATCAGATTTTTACCAGGTTTCGATCGTTATCGTACTGATGCATTTACGTTTATCGTATATGGTTCACGAAAATTCAGCATTTATAATAGGAAGGATCGAAAAGTTCTAAAGATTCTGAAAACTGAGACTTCTTACTATGACAGTTAGATAGTTAAATATAACATAGTAAAACTCATATTCATTCTTGATTTTGTATCTAATATACAATTTATATGTATCTTACCTTGAATGATAACCGATGCTTATAAACAAATTTCTGAGGTTGCATTAAAGACATTAACTCGTACATAAATTTAACGCTCTCTCACAAAAAAGCATTCAGTTTAAAATGTACTATCGTATGAATAAACAACTGTTTTGTAAAACCAACGCAACACAAATAATTCACTTAAACACAATTAACGAATTAGTTTGGTGAGAATGAATTCAAATTCACATAGTTTATGTATTCAAATAGATTGTCACTGAAATTACTGAAATACAAATACTATTAACAAGTACACTACTGGTAGTTAATTAAACAAGTACTTGTTGTTGTACTTAATGATTTTCATTGATTTTTACATAATAAGTAGATCCAGTACCTTTTGTCAACAATACTTTTATGAAGAAAATAAAATTAAAGCTATACATTTCACTATATATAAAAACGAACAACATTGATTTCTTTCATTGTTAATCTTGAAAAAGGTTTAGAAATATGATTTCAAGTTACTGGATTATTTTATGGCTTGTTTTCTTTTCTTGTTCTTTACTTCAGTTCAAATAGTCGTGATTCTGTAATACATATTTACACACGACAATTTTGTAGTTTTTCAATGTCGTTCTTATAATTTTAAATAAATACATATTTTAGGATATCTTTGTACAATAAGATTATAAAAATACGTTATATACATAAGAATATCTAGGTTATTACAGTTATTGATATATACATATATGTAAGGTGGATGGATCTAGTCAACAGAAATCTATGGATTACGGCTTCTTAAAAAGCTGCACACGTCACCGAGGTGCATCTCCAATCCTGAGGGGCATATTGCACTAAGTACTAGATAAACGTGACATAGAATACTACTAAATGATCCACAATCGTAATTATAATTAACAACTTGGACAAAGACTTGTTACAATCAATGTTGTAGAATGTTCTTTTACATAAGATATGCATTTACAATATTTTATTCAGTCTATAAAATTTATTTACACCTTTGCTATAACTATGCTGATGTGTGATCAAAGCAACTACCAAAGAAACTCTTTTATGTATGTAATTTGAACTCATTTTTTAATTACCACTTTAAATATTACAGGTAGTAAACATCTGACGATAAATAAACGAAGTAAAATGAATTCATACTACTTTGCTAAACTTTGTTCTTGCTTCCTTCAAGATGATAAAGAGAACCATGTGAATAAGGGCAAGAAATATTTAAAAAATAACTAACAAACCAAATTCCAAACCAAAACTTACTGAACGTTTTAAAGGACTGGAATATACAGATGGATCATTGTTGGTATTTGTAAAAGGAATAAGTAATCCAATTAAATTAATTAATAGACCTGGTGTTGTGAAAACTAATCGAATTGCCGGTTTCGAGTGATACAGATAAATCATAAATTTAAGCATAACGACAGCAGATTCTATGTTCTCTAATGGATTATGAGTTTTACTCTCTACAAGATTAGTGAATTCTGTTATTTTTAAACCCTGCAACGATTCAGGCTGAAAAGAGATTAAAATGGAAACAGGAAAGATACCAGAACAATAAATACTTTTCAGTTAACAACGAGAAAATATTTAACCTTAAATATTTCATTCGAAGAAATTGAGTAAAATAAAGTCTTCCTATAAAGGACTTGAAATGTTCAAAATTTAAAACGTAACATGGAAAATGGACGCTGCATGCATAGTTACGACTGACTGGGTTATTGATATAATTACACAAGAAACAAGAATTGTTTAATATTTAGCCAGTGAGTTATTGTCTATCTCTTAGTACATAAATATGTAAATAGTTTTTGAAATGAAGCTTTGATCCACATATATGAAAGTTGCCTGGCATTAAAAATAATTAAGCACAATGTGTAACAAACTGATGATGACTGCACTGTAGATGAACACTTGGGAACTAAAGAAAGAATGAATTCGTGATACTATTTCCTTCCAATAAACCAGCTTTGATACCATTAATGATAAACACTTTAAATTTAATATATTTTTATTATAGCGTAATAATTATTTTCCAGTTAAATAAAAATAATGAGTACCTGATAAATTAACAAACGAATAAGCTGCAAGATAAGTGTACCAGCTTCAGGGCATACGGACTGGCTTGAATTTTGATTGACAATAGATCCTGTTAAATTATTGCCTACAAATGTAGATGGTATTGACGACATCAATGAATGAGACATAAATGATGTATTTACATTTGCATTCCTTGAAGGAAGTACAGGTGATTTTGACATCATTGTATTAATATTTGGAGTATGATATGCATTACCTGAACGATTTCCACTAGATTTAACAACATTAGAAGATGAAATGAATGATGGAGAACGAGTTGAACGATTAGTTTTAACTGGTGAACCAACAGAATTTACTATCTCATGTTTTATTATTGTAGGTGAGATACAATTGTTTTCACAAGCAATGAAGGAATAAAATGTATCGAAATCAAACTAGAAATACAATGAAATAGAAAAAAGAAAGACAAAAGTATAAACAAAATGGATGAATACCAAGAGAGATATAAAGAAAAAATGATGGTTATGTAAATATTATCAGAAAAATGAAATTCATTTGTCAATAATTAATTTCACAGACTGATACAAACAAAAATAACACATCGTACGATATTTAGAATAGTTTTATCTTCCAAAGTCATTTATTATGTACCCCATCGACTTCAATATCACTTCGCATTGCCAATATGCAAGATAAATATTGAAATAAATTTAAGCCAACTTCCATGGGGAAATAAATTTGATCATTATATTAATAGTTAGAGTAAAATGTAATCAAAGGTCATAGACTTTTTTAAACAACAGCTTCGAACATAACAACCATCAAAATACATATAAAAGGGTTAATCATCATGAATACTATGGCATAATAAAATGATTTTTGTGGAATTTTGTTATCTGAGCTGGATGGTTTGACAGTGGAGCTTTCATCGTTCTTCTGAGCGACATCATTAATACAAATCTCAAGTAGAGATGGAGTTTTCAAATTTCTTCATATATGACTCCCAGCTTGTCCTGTGAACCTTGATCTTGATTGGTTATTGTTGACCTTTAACCTGTAATGGTTTACTTCTATATTTTGAACACTCCATTTCTACTTGAAATCTGTACTGACGATTTCGTTCAGAAGAACGACGAAAGTTCCACGACCAAACCATCCAGCTCAGAGAACAAAACTCCACAACAACCATTCACCTGAGCTACAAATCTTTTCCACCGTTCTAAAATGATTTAATATTTATCAAAATTGTAAACTACTTTATCAGATAACAAAAATACATCATTATTACAGATATTTAACTTTAAGTCAGACCTACAAACAGATATGATGATGGCTAGCAGTGGAATCCATGCCAACAAAAGATTGATCAACTTTAGTCCTAAACATCAATGGGATGATTTAAACAACCAATACAAAAACGGATTTAAGGCAGAACTGTTTTCAGAACGTGATCTTGTGAAGACATAAGACAAAAATTCAAAAAATCCACAATATATGCACAATCATAATGGTTAAGGCATTTTACTGATCAAGTACGATTACCAAGTAGATTTTAAAAGAAATAACTTTGATATTGCTTATTAATCATAGAGAATTAATCTAAACAAATAAATAACTCTACCTATAAAAACAAACGAAAATGCAATTATACATATCACAACGAACTAGTATACAAACAAACTACAATATTAACATAATGTACCTTTGAAAACAAGAGCTAATGTTGAGTAACTCTCCATATTTTTTTTGATATAAAGTAGCTTAAATAATCATGTATTTGACGTGAGGTGAGGTAATTGAACTATCATTGAATGAATAGAAATCATTTACCTCGAACAAATATGTATTATCTTGTTAACACTGTATAGAAAAGAAATATCAGGTCATTTTGTACAGCTCTCACTACTAATCTATCAACAGAATTCATACAACTTCAAATACTTAATCGGATAAGTGTGATCCTGACTAAGTAAATACATGAAGTTGCTACTATAAAAAACAATATAAGATTAATTGTCGGATTTATTTTCTCAATGTTTATACTAAGAAGCAGATATTTAAGAGAAAAACCACTAGACGTGTAACTTTTCACAAGAAAGAATCATCATAACATTTGAAGTTGGTTACATTCCTTCGTTCATATTAAATTACCAGTAGTTATTCAAATGGATACAACTAATTTTCCTCAGCTAGATATCACATTTTCTCCATAATTTTATCTGATTGTTTATTTGTCTAACAAACTATTAAAATAATTGATTACGTAACAGTAGTAGTTATAAATAGTTCAACAAGCGAAAACAAATATTCATAGACAAAATATTACAAACATTGTACGCTATTTATGCTTTTACCTTTACATCTTTTGGCATACATAGTACTGGAATTTTTAATAGTAGAGCAAATAGGAATAAGAATGTTTCAATTAAATTTAAATGATACGGCAGTAATATTTGCAGCATAGTGAATCCTGGTTGTTGACATGTGGATAATTTCAGATCACGGAGTGCCGCAGTATAACGAAGTGGAGGTTTACGTTTTGTTAAACTTTTGGAATTATCTAATAAAAAAAGAGAAAAGTAAAACGATTTATTAAACAGTAGAATGTAGAACACATTAAAATTGATTAACGAAGAAAATAGTGTAATAGAAAGCAAGTTGGATTCATATAAATATATATTTAATTTTATGAAGTCATTGATTACTGTGTCCTAAAATGTTTGATGAAAATGATAGTGCGAACCAAATGAACCACTAGTGTACTTATGACTTTGATTTGCTTAAAACTGATCATACATCATCCTACAAGAATCACTAATTACTTCTCTGAAACCTTAAACATATTTTTATTTATTTAACCCTAGTTTGTTATATTAGGTATGTAATTGTGAATAATGGATAGAACACAGAAAATTTCGATCCAGTTGATTGGTCAACATTATTTAGTCATTCAAGTAACAAATAACTTCAACAACAGTATCAACCATATTTGTGTTACACTTTATCTAAAATAACATACCAATTAACAGACCATGCCGTTTCTTTAATAAAATCTCACATCCACGTAACCATCGTCCAGCAGGACATCCTAGTCGAAAAGCAATTATACAATCATTTTCTAAACATTTCTGAAGATTAGTTGTAGTGGGCAATGATTCATTGAATGAAGAATCAGAATTTGTTTCCATGTGTGTTAGGATAAATGATAAATTTTGTTGTAATACCGTAGAATTTGAAGTGATTGAATGACCAGGATTTAAAATTATTATTAATAATAAATGTAATGCATAGGAAATAGTAGACGAATGTATATTTGGGCGTAACAGTAAATAGAACCAATCAAAACCCACTGCTCCTAATAATTCACTACAAAATCTAAAAGAAAAAAAAGTAAAATAAATTGGAAAAGTATAAAAAACAAAGTTATCGGTAGGTTGTATTTGTTACAAACAGGTTATAGTTGAGATATAACCGATAAATAGAGGGCACTAGATAGCTGCATTATTCCAGAAGTGTGTACCCAAGAACACCCCTCATGTGTTGAACCCAAGACCTTCAGGTCTTGAGGTACATACTTAGCTACCCTTGAGGGGCTAATGAGGTCCTATACTTGAACGTAACAGTTTTCCAATGATTCATGATTTTCAATAGTACGCTAAAAGAGGTCAGTCCGAGATGAACACTACATACAAAAGTCAACAGTATTTTAAACATGAACACAACAAAATTCGTAAAAAGATGAATTAACGAAAAAGCCTACTGCAACTATTTAATGAACTCAATATGAATTCTTAACTGTGAACTTGGTTTTGTAGTGATAAACACTTCAGATATATGATACATTTACTTTTAAAACACTCATGTGAATAATTTTTAGCCTGGTTAGTTAAAAGTGAACAAAAACCTAAATAAACAAATCGTATAACAAGATCATCTGGTCAAATGACCATGACTAAAGGATTTTTCTAAATACCAGGTCAATATTGACAACAATTTTTGAAAGAAGTGAGGATAAGGAATTCATTTACATCAAAATTATTAGCATCATACAGATTCAAGCCAAATTTATTCATTTCAGAGAAAATACATACAATCTATATTTGTACAGTAAAAATGAGGAAGAAAAGTTTAGCAATATCACAACTAACTATAATACAATAAACTTACAATAATCTGCTTTAAATCATTTATTAACTATACACATAAAATTATCTTCAAAAACTATGATCATAACAACTAGCATTTTATAGTCGAATTCAATCCGTCACACTGAAAACCATTCCAAAATATTCTATTAATTATTCATGAATGTATAACTATGCAACTAATTAATATTACTAAATAGAACATATCTTACGGATACAGAAATTTCTTAGCTGCTATTCCTTGTCTTAATATGATCAAATTTTCATCGTCAAAAGTAGTAAAATAATAAAATACTACAGTTATACATTATTCGTTTTTGTAATTATGATTTCGCATTGACAATGCCATTTGTTTTTACTATGAACATTATGCACAAAAGTAGTTGGATGTATTTAATGTTAAAAAAAGGATGAGGATAAACTCCATTATCACTCACAATTTTGACAGTGCAATTGGCAAGCAACCAAAATGAGGCGCGAACTATTTACAGTATCTTAATTCATGATGCATGACCTGTTTCCTTGTCTGTCGTTTTTACTGGCTCACATAAAAAATATAAAGTGTTCTACAGAGAAGATATAACTCCATCAGGTTACAGACATGCCGAAAGCAGTGCATTTAGTCATAATGGATGAAACATTACAACATAACAAAATTCATACCTCCTATTAATTCTGTAATACAAATTATTCCAAAATATCCACTACAACTCAGTGGTTAAATAAACGAAAACATAACCGTAATTACTGATTACGAAATACCTAGATGACTTGATAACGTGGAATTTATTCCCAACTAAAAAAGGCCAGGCAGGTATTATGTGATCTATTACATTAAAAACATTATAGAGATTATGAGCAAAGATAAATTATGGCTAGCAGTGGAATCCAGGACGCGCGTTTCGTCCCATTTGGGATGCGTCACCTGGATGTATCGCAAAGTTTGATTTCACTCCATTGCACAAGCTAATGGTTATCAAGACTAAGTAGCTAAGTGCATAACGCGATGGAGTTTGAGGTGAATAGCACTGATTTCGAGTCCAAAAGTGGACATCAACTCTGGAATGAAGATACATCCAGCTGATGAATCCCAGATGGGACGCAACGCGCATCCTAGATTCCACTGCTAGCTACCATCCATCTTTACCTATAATGCTTGTGAACTACTTGCAATATCAAGGCAATCTGTACAGCATGAACATACGTCAATAAGAGACTGATCAATTTCAGTCATAAACATTAATGGGAAGATTCAAACAAACAACACAAAACGGATGATAGAGATTTTTAATTAAGCTAAGCAAAATAGGCATATATATGAAATCAGCATTATGCAGCATTTAGATAGTAAGAGCTATCCGTAGTAATCAATAATAAATTATTACTTGAACCTACAAAGCGTAATACAATAACTTCCATCGGTTTCAAAAATTCAGACTGTTGCATTTTTTCTTTGTCTTTTGAAGTAAAACCTAGAATCACCGAGTAATTTGATTTTTATATCAGAACGAGGATTGAAAGAAATGGTAACTCCCAAGACTAATTTATGATTTTTATTATTATAAACATTGTTTTCGCATAATTATTTTCATGGTGTGATATAGTTTTATCTATTTGTATTAAAACTAAGTCCATTTCAAATATAATGTAGAAGAGGTTGGCTGCTGACTTTTGAACTCAAGGGCAGGTCAAAGAGAAGCTACAGAATCGTGAACCAATAGGAACTGCCTGTTGACCCAAAATTAATGTTGCTGGTCAAACGTGTATCGGTAAAATCCGAGACACTAAACCGTAGAGTAAATCAAGAACGTGAAATAGGTCAAACTAGAATCACGGTTCAGATTGCTGATTTGTCACATGATATAGGTCAGAGATCACCAAGACATAATAGTATTAACTAAATTTTCTTTGATTAAAGTGATATAGAATACAACAATAATTAGTAATTTAAACGTCAGATCATTAACAAGGGTTTGATTCTTGACTTTGCTGATATTAAGGACTGAATTTTACAAATATTTATTTTGTCTCAATGTGATCATCAACACTGGGATGGAAGCACATCAAATTAGCAAACCTCAAACAGCAAGTAATGTTTGTACTGGATTGCGCTGCTAGCTACGATCAATTTATTACAAATTATTCGATGTCATATACGAGTATTTGAACAAACTGTTAACTAACACATTACCGCCACTTATTGGATGTTTATAAACCAATTAATTAAATAGTTTTCATAGGCTGAATGATATCGGTTACTAATATGAACAATATTTATTACATATGCAGCTTTCTCACTAAATTCAAGTCTTACTATATAAAATTCACTTGACTTACTATTTGATGACATACTATTAAAAAAAAACATTTAACCAGTAAACACATGATAAACACTATGAATATAGTACATTTTTTGCATTAATATTGTTGAATCAATATTTACTGACGAATTTTGATTAGGACTAGATATATTGCCTTTAATGTCTTGTTCTAATCCTTAAATAATAAAAATATTATCAATGTCTTATTTATTTATTTTATATTAGAATCACCCGATGAACTATCGCGAATAATGGATTAATAGGCAAATATCGAAATTGAAACCACCTAATTCATATTTTGAACAAAATAATATAAATCAAATATCCATATACGTATATTCATTTTTTATTTTCCCCTAAATCAAACCGAAATCACCTTGGTTTACTGAAGTTACTAACCGATTTTTATAATACTATTTCCTTTTATTTAATATCGAGGTATCCACCTTATGTGAATGCGATATTTTGTCTCTCTGTAATTACTTAGTTTCTGGCATCATTCATCCAGGATAAAGTTAATGCTGATATTAATGTACAATTTGTGTTTTTTTTCCATTGTATAACTGCTATTTCGCGATTTGGTTTGGATTCAATACCTTTTGATTGAACTACCTTGAGTTAATTGATTGGAACTGTCCCATTTTTTGATTTGAGTGTACTTCCCGTTTGTTGAAAACACTTAGTATACTTGACAATATTGATTATTCATATTTGAGTGAAATAAAATGGACTATCCAATAAGGTAGAGTAGTGTTCTTTCCTTGCAAGAAACATCATTATTCTTTGACAACCTAATTGTATCCGGGTTTCACAAATAAACATTAACCATACAACCCATTTCCTGAAACTATACAGCCGCACATTTTCTAAGGAATCGTTGTTTCTTGTTACATTAACCGATGTACATCACTAACTAGAAAATTAGCCTGTATAGACTGCGATTCGAGAACTTGAGCATATCTGGATGCTAATATGTACATAAATACTTAAAATTAATTCAACTTCATTCTATATTTATTCAAAATTTAAGCATTTACTTCTTACAATGAAAATGAAAGTAACACTCCAAATATATGCGACACAAAATAGTCACAGAAATGATGCTATGATTAAATTTATTAGTGAATGAAAAAATATGCCTTCTTCATAAAGTATAAAATAAATTAATGCATTCAACAAGCACTTGGGTATAAGCCACACTCTAAATACGGAGGCTAATAATACGTCCCATTTGCCAAGAGCAAAGTAGGTCAAGCAGAGTTTGAACCTAAAAACTAATGCCTAGAGATCATACACTTTGATCATTGAGCATAAGTTACTACATTCACTAAAGAGAAAATAAGTAAAAAGTAAACGAATCTTTCGTTAGTTTACTTAAACCTGTAAAAGTGCTGCCCTACTATACATTGATACAATAATCTTACCTTTCATTTATGCCATTCTTTTCTATAATCAAATGAATCAGTGATTCCAAACAACGATTTCTCAAGATGATAAGATATCGTAACAATTCAGTAGATACTGTGAAAGGAAAGGTAGGGAAAATATATAACTTCAATTAAAATACAACAGGTAGATTAATGACAATCTCAAAATGAATAGATTAATAAAATTGGAACACTAAACGAAGGATAGGTAACTGTCTTATATAGTCTGAACCAGCTGTGTTAGTCTATTGATGAATCAGTCAGTCATAAGCGACGAGAAACTTGGAATGTGTACATTGATTCAAGTTCCCATTTAATGTGATCTAAAGTACTCTCTGACATGTATGCTCGACTGTCACTTCCCGGTCCCTCATGACATGGAGGGATAATCATTGTTCGGATGTTTGAAAAGTAAATTAGACTAGTAGGCGTTTACCACCGGCGACCGTAATCTGCGAGGCAAGGGTAAAATGTAGTATTTTTAGAGCCAGCTTGTTCTAACCACCACCACCCATTCGAATGTGGGAAAAAAGAATCACTGTATATACTAGTCGTCTAAAGGAAACATCTTAATGCCATTGCACCTCAATACAGTCAGCAGTACAGAGTTACTTTCGATTTTTAAGTTCCTGCTTCTAACCTCCCTTTTCTCCGACCGACCTCGCTAACATGGTAGGAATTTAGAAACGACCGTTCCAGCCAATATGCTTCGATCGAGTGGGCAAAACAGGCAATCCCGGCCACCAAGTCCTGGTAACAACTTGGACCATGTAGTGATTTGAATATCATAGGAAGCTTCTTCTATTTAGCGAACATCTCTTGCTGATAATTGTAATTAGGTTTTATGACTTTAACAAATTACTCTGAACTGTTCAATATAAATATGATTAATCAGTTAAAAGTAAGAAAAAATATTATAATTATAATGTAAACTTTGTACACTTCTTGTAGCGATGATAATATATCAAAAACACTCTCTCTTCTTACAATATAATATAATACAATATAGTCATTTTAGAAAGCCACCAAGTATACTACTATCAACTCTACGTTTTACATTCAATCAAAGAAATGTTATGTAACATTTGCGCAGTGAAATAAAATCACCCTTAAAACTACATTTATAAATCAAACAGACAAGAATTAGACATAGCCTTCGACCTAAAGGTCTAATCCACAAGGCAGTGGAGCAACGTCAGGAGATGCGGTCCCATGGTAGCCGATGATCAACAATTGGTTCATACACCATTTGTTTCTCCAGAATCCTGGAGCCCTTCAGCACCAATGGTTTGGAATCAGAGTTTTCCAACTCTCCTAAGTATACACTACGTGTTCACCAACCCGTTTAAAGCGACAGACATTCGCTTCTTTTCCTCTAAACTTCGTAAACAACACTCCCGCCGCGAGAAGGCAGTGAGTAGAGATAATGATACTTTCTTATTTAAAAAACTAACCGCTACATAGTGAAAATAATAACGGCAAAAATGAACAAATATCCAAAAAGTTATATACAATAGATAGAACAATAACGAAGGTTCGATAAGTAAGGAAAGACAGAAAGAAATTATAGTGAAATATTAATGAATATGCTTTACACACCATATTGATTAACGACAGTTTTACAAGTTGTGTAGACACATATACAAGCATCACTGTGGGGTTATGAAGATTGTTAGGTTTTTGATTGAGATCATGAATCAATGAATGTTGGGTTGGAATCCCGCGTGCGGGATCGTGGACACGCACAGTTGAAGAGTCCAATGCTAGGACACAACGGCCGTCCAGTCCTTTTAGGTTTTCGATGGTGGTCCAACATTCATTGTTTCATGATCTCCATCAAAACCATCTACAAGCATTGGATTGTTACTTTTATCGTTTTACTTAAACAAAGCATGTTCAACTAACTTATTTATACAAAAAAGGGTGAGAAAGTGACCATTAGGAGTTTGTTGGTTTAATATGGTTTAACAATTAAAAGCTGTCATGTGTAATATCTGACCGTGAACATCGTTTAAAAAAATATTTAGGCTAGTTTATTATGCAATTTTCATCAATATAATCTGACACTTCAATGAAATACATTTCACAGAGGCAGCTTACAATATAACACTTGTACATGTTGATAAGAAGCAGTTTGATGATAAATTATAATACTGATAAAAACAGCTCAGTAAAATTACATCAGCACTAAACAACTAGACAATGAGCAATTAACTATAGATATGTATCCTACAGGTCATTCGCTGCCTGAATACTGTGAAACTGGGTGACATAGGAGTATCAGTTCCCTAAATATTAAAGTAAGCCTTGTTAAAAAGTCACATATAGAGCATAACCTAGTTCCACAGTTTACAATCAACTACCTCCCAACCACCTGATCATTGAAACTGAATTAAACAATGTGAGAAATCTCATGATGAATTTATTTATTTACTGCAAAGAGAAAAAAACAAAAACACTTACGCATAGGTATCCCATCAGAACCATCAGTATTTGATGTTTGTATGTAGGATTGATCAAGAGAAATAAACGTTTCATTTGTTTGTGAATTAGTCGGTAAAGTCCAAACAATTAATTGACAAAATCTAATGAGAAAAATAATGAGTGTTGTTATATATAAATGGTGTTTATTTTGGTGTAGTTTTAAAAGTTTTTAATCTTACAAATGTAGACAAAAGGCCATTCGAACAGCGTATAAATGTTAAAAATCGACCACGGCTTATGTACATCTGAGGTCCATAAATTATTGTCGTATAACTACACTTATCATCGACTTTAACGAATTTGCGGAAAAAAAACCAAAAATTATCAGGTATTACAAACGCTTTATTGAATCCAGAAAGAAAGCGTATTTGTACTCGAGAAACAAACTTCTTTAGCGAAATTTCCGTAACAAGAATAAAATGAGAAAATAGACTACCAAACTTGAAAAATTCATAAACTTTATAAAAATCATATAAACGGCTGACAGAACAATAAAACTTCCACTCTGTTTTAGTTAACTAGAAGAAATCAACTTTTAAAAACTGAGGAAAAATTATAATCAATGTGCATAAAAACAAGTAGTCAATCTGAATGTGCCCATCTACGAACACTTAATCTCATTCAAAGTATTATTTTTACATTCATATAGGATCCACTTCTAAGTGCATTTTAAAAAACACTTAGAACTATTTCGTAATTAAAAATTTAAACTATTAATTTGAATATACACTAGATAATTTGAAACATATTTGAAACCTTGAAATATACAAAGAATGTTCATGTACCGCACTAATCTGTTGGAATGTAGATACTAAAAAGAAGATAAATATGCCTGATTAAAAATAACTAAACGTCGAAAGTATAATTTGATTTAAGAATAAAAAGGATACTAGATATTTTTACTTAATAATCTAACATAATCCTAGTGAAACATACTACTAATATTAGCAAATATCTAAGAATAATTGAGCATATGTTAGCGATAACAGCATGACTAAATATTTATTCACTAAATAATATTCACATTTCGTTAGAAAAAACAATAAAACATGAGGGATATTAATGTGTGTTCTAGAAAAATCCTAAAAATAATTCATTACAACTTAGTTGCACGGTAGGTAATATATGGTTTCCAACGCCATCACACAAATTAACACTGAATAGTTGTGAAAAAAAATCTAAGGAATACATACAGACGAACAGTTTTTAGACTGAATACAATGATCAGATAGAATCGATTTATTTAAATAACTTTCAAATATGATCTTTTTTATTAATTACAGTAATCTATTTCTATAGATCGTGACTTCCTATATTGATTTAATCCACAGATTTTCAGATTTCATGTAATATCGATAGGTATGTAGTACCTTAAAGGCTAAGAAGTTCCCTAATTAAAAAACAATCATTCTCTCATAGCTTTTTCACAGTTTCATTCAAATGTGAATAACCGCTTTAACGATAAGTACAATTTGTACTTTGTTACCGAACTGAAACATGATTTTAACAGAACACTTTGTTGGGACTGATATTCAGAGAATAACAACCTTTCTAAAAATGAAAGAAACTGGATTTTACCACTAATGTTTATAATTGTCAACGAATGTCTTATTTTCAAACATTAGATGGCTTTGAATAAAGTGAATAATTGTCAACTTAAAAAAGTAATAACTATTAGCTGATATGTAATTACTTATAAATGGCAGGAAATAGTCAACGATTGGCTACATTTTAATCTTTTTAACATATCATTATATTGAAATCTTTTTTAAAGAAACTTTCACAGGCATATCTCTTTCTCACTCAAGATTTTATTTATTTATTTATTTGGACACATGAACATTGGTACAGGAGAGCGCCAATATATATGCGCCACACAAAACAACGAAAATTCGAGAGGAATACAAAGAAAGAAAAAAAAAGCTAAGGAGCGCAACAAAAAAAGAGAGAACAATAACGAAGAGATTGGTGTAAGGTAATGTGCTAGTAATCAGGGAACGCAAAGGTACAATCAGAAGAAATCTTTCAGGTAAGGGAGACAGAACCACTTTTTATGAAGAAAGTAAAAGAAGGTTACAGCAGGATCGCCACTGGCTTCTATTCTGAGCCATATCTGATAACGTCTCTAGCCACTGTGTAACACCATCTCTCAGACCCCAGCCAGGGAGTGGTGAAGGACCAACACAAGCCAGTCCTTTGCAGCTTTCTTTCATGCCACGACACCATGTCATGCACTGATCACCTCTCCGCTTCTTCCAACCAGTCCCAGAGTCGGCAAATAATGCACGACGTGGAATTCTCTGGGACGACATTCGGAGAACATGTCCAAGCCACTGAAGTCGGTGTTTCAAGAGGGTGACACCAATTGCCCGAACACACAATGCCGAACCTCTGCATTACTGACATGGTGTTGCCACTGAATGTCAGCAATCCTTCGGAGACAGCGATGATCGAACACAGAAAGTCGTCTAACGTCCTCAACTCGGAGAGACCAGGTTTCACAAGCATAGAGCAAAACTGCTCTCACCGACGCCTTGTAGATCCGACCTTTTACAGCCAGACTAACATCACGAAGGCGCCAAAGGTGGTCCAGATTGGCATATTCCGCTCTGGCTTTCACTATGCCTGAATTGATCTCATCACTCACACTACCACCAGCACTCATACAGCTACCCAGATACACGAACTTCTCGACTACGTCTATCTGCCCACCATCCAGGGCGAGTACAGGATTGGAATCCTGCCAGTCTTGTAGAAGTACTTTGCACTTCGAAGGTGTAAAGAACATACCGTACCTACGGACACTGATTGCCAACTGGTTAAGCGCGGATTGCATGCCTTGGGCATTATCGCACAATAAGACAATATCATCCGCATACTCAAGGTCGAGAAGTCTTTCTCCAGGCAACAGATCCACACCACCACTATTTACACCCATCAGAGCTGTTTCCAGAATGTCATCGATGGCAAAGTTGAAGAGGAATGGTGAGATTGGGCAACCCTGGTCTAACCCCACTGCTCGAATGGAACAATGGAGAAAGGTGGTTGTATGCCCTCACTCTTCCTGAGGTGTTTGTATATAGGGCTTTTAGGATGTTAATAAACTTCTCAGGCACACCCTTCTTCAATAGACAATCCCAGAGAACAGTCCTGTCCAACGAATCGAAGGCAGCCCTGATGTCAAGAAACACTACGATTGTTGGCCTTTGATAAGAATGACGGTGTTCTAACATTTGGCGGAGGGTGAAGATATGATCAATACATCCTCGACCAGAACGAAACCCAGCCTGCTCCTCGCGAGTCAATCTTTCTCGGGTTTTGAACAACCTATGAAGTATGACGGAAGCCAATAGCTTGGACGCAATCGGAAGTAGACTTATCCCCCGATAGTTGTTACAGGAACGACATGAACCCTTTTTAAAGATAGGGACAACTATCGACTCATTCCATGACGTTGGAACACTCTCTAGTTCCCAAGCCTTTGTAAACAACGTCGTCAATTCCTTAGTCAAAAATTCACCACCATCTTTTAAAAGAGCCGGAGGTAAGTCATCTGGGCCAGGTGATTTGTAACGCTTCAGGAGTTGGAGTTCCTTGCGGACTTCCGCCTCACTTGGTGGATCAGGCGTCACCGGCCATGGAGGGCAGGACAGTCTGACCGATGTTGCCGGAGCAGCAGGCCAGTTGAACTGCCCTTCGAAAAATTCTGCCCACCGTCCAGGACGTCGATGGATGTTAGTGATTGGCATACCGTCATCCTCACAGATTGTTTTGATCACACCAGACTTCTTGCTGCCAGTGGCTCGGATGAGCTGGAAGAGCTTCCGGCAGTTACCAGATGAAGCTGCTGCTTCCAGCTCATTAGCACGCATCGACCACCAGGCTTCTCGGTCCTTACGCAAGCTTTGCCCAATTTCATTACGTAACAGCCTTCGTTTATGGTCAAACTCACGGTCACCCGGAGTAGACCGACGGGCTTCAATGAGTTGTAAGGAACCTGCAGAAACCCAGTGCTTAAAAGCGGGACGTTTCGCAAACCCACAACTGACTGTACCCGCCATTTTCATGGCGTCATGCAATTGCAACCAATGCTCATCTATACTTTTGGGTGGAGTGGTAGCTAGCCTAGAGGCTAGCTCGGTTCGATAATTACTAGCAACAGAAATTGCAACTAACTTGCTAATATCAATCCTTTAGTGACGATCACTTCGTTGACAACTGAAAAGTAAGATAAGATTGGCGCAGACCAAGGCATGGTCAGAGTCCAGATAGATACTCCAGAAGGAGCAGCAGTCTTGTACACAACCACGCCAGCGATAGCTGATCGCGATGTGGTCAATCTGAGTCCAGGCTTGAGATGCAGAGAGAGGACGCCAGGTGGCACATCGGCGATGACTGTGCCGAAAGTTAGTGCTAGCCAGAAACAGGTTGTGGTCTGTGCACAGTTGCAGTAGACGGTCCCCGTTATCTGACCTGCGACCAACAAGTCCTCATCGGCCACCTAAACGACTCTCTTCTGTGCCTAGACGCCCGAACTGAGCATTCAAGTCTCCAGCTAGTACTACAATATCTGTCGAACTCACCTTCTGGAGAAGAACAGATAACTGTTGGTAGAATTCATCCTTGATTGCAGCCGGGCTGCAATCTGTCAGGACATGGGCGGAGATGACGAAAACACATCGTTTCTCATGCCGATTTCTTATCACTTTGATGGAACTTTTTAATCTAACAGCACATAACCGAATGTTAATGGGGATCCAATCGATTAGTGCTGACTCAGCTCTAGCGCTTAGTGCTATAATCATACAAAATTGGCTAAATATTTGCACATAAATGGAAGATTTGATTGAATAATAAAAATTCGGTCAATTGGCTTAATAGATTTGTTTTCTGAAGTATGTTTGTGGTGTATGTTACTAATATCAACAGACATAAGTAGTATACAACACCAATCAGAAGTGGAAAACCTGGCAACAGAAGACTAAGAAAATCGAGTTGAAGAGAATAGAAAGAAAATTATGAAGGAATTGTGAACTTTAAAAATCATACAGAATATGAAATACAAATGGTGGAAATTTGTAAATGAAGTATTCAATGTACGTTCTTATATTTTACCAAGATACTCTAATTTCGTATGGAAATGCATTGGTCGTCCCAACCTGTGTTCTGGTTCACAGCATGTTCAATCGGGATTTATGGATTATTTTCATGAGTACAATATCTGTTCAGTTGTGACTACAATGTTGCCTCAAACCAATTTTTCCGTTATAACACCTGTGATCGAATATTTCATGAACGATTTTCCCATAGGAATAGTAGAATGATACATCTCGCTCCGAGTATACTTAAACTTTTTTCGAATGAGTAGTTTGTCGAGATCCGTACAGCTTAAGGATTGTTTTAATCACTAATTTATAGCAGTTGAGAGTTTTTTAGTGATTTATTAATTGATGTCAATATGTCATACAAACTAACTTCAACATTATTTTACTGTAAACCATGTCATGAAATAGCAAACTTACGAAAATAATAAATCTTTTTTGAACCAATGGTGTATATAACACTTTATCATATGAAATTAAACCATTCCATTTTCACATAATTTTTAGTTGAATGACATGCAAAATTTCCAGCCTTGTACTAACATGTAGCTTGTCTGGACATGTCTGATTTATCAAAAACTCAGTAATAATATAATTACCACTAACAACTCATGTACATTTCACAGACGAGACTAAAAACTGAGACGAAACACACTTTCAAAAATTGCAGCCCTATATACTATCGAAATATACTAGAATTCAACTAAATTGGACAGTAGAGAATGAGAGTAATAATATGCAGAACATTTTCGAATTCCTAGGACGTCTTTAATCATGAAATGAAAATTTACTAGTGATATTGAAGTAAACGAGAACACAAGTGGGGACAATCGAATGTATTTGAAAACAAAATTACAGAATATCCCATTAAAATCTGAGAACCATACAGTAAATTTTTCATTTGCAAAATGTCAATCAATTGTCCCAGACTTCATTGTTCTTCCGATTACACACCAAACATTCTCTGTTCTTGTTCTCTTTCCTTCGATCTCCTTAACCTGTCTCCAGGCATCTCACTTTCGATTGATACTACATACTACTTATATCTGTCGAGATCAGTAGGCACACCACAAGATGGATGAGAAAATACATATGTGTACAATATTTTACAGTGACATTAGATAATATCAAGCTCTAGTAGGTGATCGGTGCGATAATATATGTTCGAATCCCACGCTCCACAATATCCCAGTTTTTTTAGTGATAAACAATTGGTATGTCTACAGCTAAACAGAGTTGAAACCATACAGGAAGACTGGAAAAAAATTGATGATTTTCCATGCATATGCCAATAACGCAATTTTCAAACCACTAGACCATATGCACACAGTAGGTTGTTCCTGATGGTGTTTGGCCATCATCAACAACCGGCTGTGACAGAAAACAAATCAGCTTCCAGCTGAAGAGGAAATTATACAAAGACGCTGTAGGTGAAAAGAACACATATTGCAGAAATCATCAAACTGCATTACAAAACGAGCCCTAACACGGAATCCTGAATGCTAAAGGAGAAGCAAATCAAAGAATAGATTGAACCGGAAATTGGAGGCAAACATCAAAGGAATAAACAGCACTTGACAAGAACTGGAAAGGAGAGTGCATGACAGACTTTAATGGAGAAGCCTAGTCAGATGCCTGTGCTCCATGACGGTTGACAAGCATAAGTAGGTAATACTAATAACACGTTTAAGAGCATACTAATGATTATTCTCCAGAAACTAGTACTAAAAGATATAACAACTAACTAACACAGAGAACTGCATATCAACAAACAGACACACAGGCATACATTTGAAGGGATCAATATTTACTTTGAGAAGTAGGATACAGCTTAAACTTGATACGAATTATCATGTGGGGAAGGGAGAAATCCGGTTGCTACAGAACCCATGACATTGAAGTGCAAGACTATATTGTATCATATACACGATCTATAATTTATTCTAAAGTTCATTAACTAAATTTAACACCGAAAAAAAGAAACAAAATCGATTCCAAATAACCAAATAAAAATTACAATAAAACAGATAATCAATAATAATAATAATTTTTTCTTTAATATTTTACCGTAAAAACCATTTTGACGACGCATATGTCGATAAACATAATTGTATAAATGAAAGACATGAATTAATGAAATTCACTCGGCCAACTACATCAATTACTAAATGATGTCTATGATTTCCTTGTGTCCAATTTGAATGTGCATTCATTAATAGATAAATAACACGATCAAAGATGACATTCCATATAGGGTGAATTATCTAAAAGTTTTATTTGTATAAATGAATAAAGAAAAAAAAACATCAAAGATGAATTTATGAGTAAAACGTTTAATTTATACGCTACACGTATAACATTTTTAATAACTTGTTAAACAGAAGATCAGTTAATTAGGATCAAATGTTTAGTCATCATTAGCTTTCTTTTTCCAATTTGCTTCTACATTAGCAAATATATTTAGTCAGACAGAAAATTATACTTACCAAATGATTAAAATAGTGTGACGTATTCAACAAAATCATTCACAAATGTAATTTTGTTTTATTATTCTCTAGTGTCGTACAATATTACATACGTATACATAGTATACGAATCGCTGAATCCTATACTAGGATGAAACAGTTGCCCCGTGCTTGTTAAGATTTTAACGGTTGGCTAATGAAGACTATTTCATGATGTAGACAATAAACTTCAACAATCACTCCGAACGCATCATACTTATTCAATATAAAATGATGGAACAATAATAAATGAAACAAAATTATCCAGGTATAATTTACAAAGTAGAAACTCATTAGATGGTAGTTCATGTGCATCATAGTCGAACCAAAGGATAAATCAATTTAAATTTGGCTAATTTCCTTTTTTTTAATACAAAAATCAACCATTTTTTAAAAATCTTGAAGGTATAAAGTAAGAAACAGGCGTTTATGTTACAAGCATATACATTAGGACATAGAAAAAGATGTATGCGTTCTACAATTTATGACCATACATTACTAACAAATTACAATTCAAAGTTTCCAACGTCTATAATAATCTAATTTTTAAAGAACATATTGCCAACGTTTTAAAGATGTTTAAAACAACTAGTAAGCAAAATTGAGGTTTTCAAAATATTTTTCTGAAAGAATTGTTATTAAACGACTTAAAACTTATATTTTTATTCAGGATTAAAAGTTCATTGTCTTGTGAAATTTTAAATCATCCCTCGTGTTAAAAGTAACTTAACACTTACATAAACCACAATAAAACAACCTTGACCTTGGTCTCATCATATGATCTTCGCTCACAAATGTCTACAGATATTACGTTACTCAATATACCAGTCCTCGAAAATTTGTTCAAACCTAATTTTGTTTAATCCAATAATAACAAAACAAGGAACTCTACTGAAAACCCTTAAACACCATACCATCTATTACAAATAATAGATTTCAACTGTCTTTCGATTCTACCAACCAGTTTTTTTAATTAGGCTACGAATGTAGCTGATGAAAATCTACGAAATTTAAATGAATTTATGCTATTCTGCTTGAGATAATCTTAGTCAATAGAGATTTTTCCAAGCGAAAATTGCCGACTAATGTGACAAAATTGCAAAGCTGATTGTGTAAACATCAATACCGATCAAACACTTTTTTACATATGATAAAAAATGGTTTCATAATGACATTGATTTTTTAAAAATAGATCATGAAAACGCACAGAATAAGCATGCATATATATATATATATATATATATATATATATATATATATATATATATATATATAATGAATGAAAGCTTATGTTGGAAAGCTAAAAGTAACAGTATATCAGTTAATCACTTTATATACGCAATTTCAAAAAGCTTTGTCAGAAATTTATATTTATAGCACAGCTCTACAATCCTTAAATCAAATATTATAGTCCAGTCAATGCGTAATCAATTTCATTGTATGGGAGGACATCTGATTGATGAATATCAAATCACAAAAACACCGATTGATAATGTTGGCTAATATAAGAAGTGAGTGGATAAAAGTAAAGACTACTTCAAACTATAAAGCAGTCCACAAAATTAATGGGTTCCGTTGATCTGTATAAAAAAACAGTGTAACCTTCTTTATAAGCAAAGATAGATGGTGGCTAACCGTGGAAACCAGGACGCACTTTTCGTCCAGTAGCTAAATGGACAACGCGATGGCGTTTGAAGCGAACGGTACTGGGCTCGACTCCCAGAGTGAACATCAACTTGGGATGCAGGTACGTCCAACTGACGAGTCCCAAATAGGACGAAACGTGCACCCTGGATTCCACGGTTAGCCACCATCTATCTTTGCTTATAAACCTTGTTACTTGAGGCAATAGCGAGGCAGTCCGCACAGGATGCATGATGCATATATGCTAGCGAGAGAGTGATCAGTTGCAGTTCTACACAACAATGAGAAGATACAAGTAAATAATAACAAATGAGTGTAACCTTCTTCCTGCAATTTCTCAAAATAATATACATCAGTGTTTGGTTTCAGATTCTGAAAATTAGAATATGTCAAAAGTAAACATTCATTTTCGTCCATCTTTCTACAGATCTTGTTAATCAGGTTATTTTAAATATACTAGTTATACTACTAATCGTATAAATGCACTTTTGTTCTTGTTAAAACATTTATTGTTACAGTTCTTATCGGTATTTTCTTTCGATGAAGATGAGGCATGTCAATAAACTGAGACAAAAGAAGTTTGTTGGGAATGCTATGTTGTTGATTAGAGTTGTTTTTCCATTCTACTTGAAGAAATAATCAAATGGACCGAATAGTGAATATAATAAAATTCTAGAACACTTAAATTAACTCATTCATCAAGTAATTGGGTGTGAAGGATAATGATACTATCCGGTCCCCCAAAACGAAGTGAATAGAGCGGGTTTCGAGAGAGAAGTTTAGTGACTGAAAGTTAAACCCCCTAATTACTAAGCCACTGCTCTAAAGTATTATTTTATCTCTAATAATATAACTGTTTTCAAATGACAGTTAGATCGAATTTTGAACAATTATTATGTACAATCACTTTATTTCAGCGAATAAAGAAATCAACTACACACTTGAACATATCAGAAACGAGAACACATAAAAACAGAATAAACAAACATCAAAAGAATAGCTTACCAATTCAGACTTATCATTACTCCCTGTAGTCGAATTTATTACATCACTTGATGAATTGTTATTATTATTATTACCATTAGTATTATCATTATGTGGTAGATCTGGTTTTGGTAATGGATTTGGTAATAGCTCAATTAAATGCGATATAAGACTAGCTACTAATTGATAATCATCTTCGATAAAATGTGTTCTCTCATCATAACGTTGCTGTTGTTCGTGCTGGTGGTGAACGATTAATTCATTATTAATTGTTTGTCCATTTATCAATGCACTACGTCGAATACGAATATCTGCATCGTTAGTTAATTCACGTTCAATACGCCATAAATCAAGATCACAGACTAAATCTTCAAAAGCTGGATAATCAACGGAGGGATATGTCTGAAAATTTTAAATAAAAAGTACACGAACGATAAATTGCAAACAATTATTACCATCATTTAGAACAATCGTTTAGTGGCAATCAATGAAATTCAGGACTAAATGGTAATATAGATTCAACTCCCTCAGAATGCAAATATGCCAAGAGAAACTGGTCAGTTATACACTCTGACGAAAACAACAACAGGAAGATTAAAACACTAAAACACATCAATTATTATTGTTTTTAATAGGAATTAAAACACGAAAAATAATTTGCAATGGAATATTATATGACACTTAGATATTTTGTGAATCCTCTACAACTGCATACGAACTAGTGTTTTGGTAATACATATTGACAGAGGTTCGCAAAAATGAAATTTATAAAAAAAAGCGACAATAAACATACAAAATACAGTAGATGTATATACAGTTAGTTTTTTAAGGTGAACATTCTAGAAGAACAATTTTAAAAAGCATAAAGGCACAAATCATTGGAAAACTGATGGCACAAGTGAAATTCTAACAATTACAAAAACAGATTAGGAGAGTAAAATTAACAAAGCTTAGGTAAGATACTAAAATAAAAAGAGTTTATAGTCTGGGAGCATAGAAGTGAATGTTACGCAACAAAGAGTTGGTAACACTCGGAAAGTGTGAAAACCATTTTATCTGATTAAAATTCAATAAAAACTCAGAAACCTCTAAAAAGGGAATGGTTATGTATCACACTCTGACTACGTAATTAATATTTTACTAACTAAACTCAGTATCCTTCCACAAGTTTCTAGAATAATAGGGTTATCCATAAACCCTCAAATACTCTTGGTCACGATACACAAAGTAACAAAAGCGAAGCTATTGCTCTTACTTTGTATCTTCCTCCACGATTCCCGGCTCAACTGTACCAGAGGTTCAGAGATCCCGGAAGCAGCCAGGAAGTTATTATCAAGTGCTCTAGTACCAGATATCATCAAGTGTTTGAAACTAAAGTCACTAAGACATTGTGAGACTGGCAAAAATACTCCTTTGAATCTAGGGAACTGATTTCATTCCTCAGACACCGATGGTTTTACTGAAAAGCAGTATGTATTAAGATGTTTGTTTATTGACTATTTTGAATGATATTGAGATGTCGACATCGTGTACACTAATAAGTAGACGACGGGCAATCATATTGTTGAAAACTGTTGACCTGTTGGTTTCGATTTTTTTTGTTTTTAAAAAGTATATGTTTCGGTATGTACATGTAAACCAGTAAATATGACGAGAGTTCATATGAAGCGTGTATTTGTTATTTTTCACCAGTACCAATGGGGGATTTGTTTAATAAAATGAAAATATAGCAGCGGTATAGGCCTTTTAAAATGTAGATCTTAGTTCAGAATCAACTATACCAGCTATTTCATCACTTCTCAAGCCAGGTATCAAAAGGACAGGCTTTTTCTCGGCTGAAGAATATGCTTTTATATCGCATCTTCTAATAATTTTTGTGGACAATAATTGTTCAGCAAAAACTCAGTTGTTCGGTTAGTTATCCTTTCACACTTTCCCCTGAAAATCATTTCTTTACAACGGATCTTTGTTACTATTCCTAAATTTTTACAAGCTCTGGAAAATCTATACGAAAGACAGATTACTTTTTTACTGCAGATAACTACTTCAAATAAGCATTAAACTACGTTTATACACAAATAAACAAATAAATAAATAAATTATACACAAAATTTAATAACGTTCAAACAATAATCGACTTACCAGTGATATAGGAGATTTATCGGTCCATGAATTCATATTCAATGCTAAACTGAGAATAGAGTCCAAGATTCTAGTAGTAAGTAGATGACGTTTACGACGCAATAAAACAGCATATATCTATAAAATAAAGAATAATCATAAAACCCGAACAATTGTACATATTGATATGATAGAGAATATTTGTAGTTTAGGACGAGGATTTCAGTAGCATCAGGTTTTCTGAGCTGGATGGTATAGTCGTGAAACAACACAATTAAACCAACCATCAAAGAGAAAAATTGTGCAACTATACTTACTTGATAACCACTAGTTCGTAACATTTCAATCGATGCAGCTGTATTACATTTGATCAATGTACAGGCTGCTTTATTCGATGCATACAACGTTTCAACATCTTGTGCCATAGCAATTAATGCTAAACTAATTCGCATTCCTTCACCACCTGTTACACAATGAACTAGACGACAAACGGGACTTGGAGTAAATGTACGAACACCTTGATATCCAACAAGTACAGCACCAAGTGGTCTAGCTGAACCATTCAAATGTAAGGCTGAATTACGTAAAATACGTATAGGTGTTGCATTCTCTTTAGGTGATAAATAAAACTAAATAGGAAATAAAAATCAGAAAACAAAACAATTAAAAATTATTCGCCATAATAAAAGTAATAATAATAAATATGTTGTCTTTTTTGACAGTATAACCGAAAATAGAAAAGTATTACCATTTTTAAAAATAACAGGGGCTAATATGTGTAGAGCAAATAATTAACATATGTGTAAAAAGATAATTATGTACGTGAACTCAGTGAATAGATAATACGATTCCAATAGTGTAAGTAGTGCATTATCAACTATAGATCATAAACTTAAAATCATTTTTTCCTGTTTTTAGCTCAACAGTTCAGTTATTACAGTTATATACACCAAATACAATTCACTAAGTAATAAAAAATTGAAGATTGATATCTTCTAGTCTTATTTATACAATTTGTTACTATTAAATACAAGGATATTTTGTCATTTATAGAAATGTCAATAATATCAACAATACTCAGACAACTCATTTACCAAGTATAAATAATTACGTAATCCGGTTACAGCCACATATTTACGTGATGACTAATGATGTTAACCAACTCTGCATAGACCGAAGTACGTGCAACCCGATTTGAATCTGTGAACTAATGATTAAATGTTTGCAAGCATTAATCACGTTATCACTTCTATGAAAGTATTCAACATACATGGATTATTTATTCACGTGAAGAGCTGAGCAGTAAGATGATTTCGTACTAACTGTCTATAGTAGATTATAATCAATTAGTTTAAAAAGCATCGAATATTATTTAGAAAAGAAATTCCACAAAAGGAATAATTAAAATGATTAACAATTGAATTAAAAGCAAAATCCATGTGAACTCATAATTCATTCAAAAGTTTATCTTAAAACAACGGTCTCATAATTGTTCCAATTGACTGCTTATCGCCCCTCACAAAAAAAACAAATAAGTTCCAGTGGGAGCAGTTCAACTATTATACCACAACAAGCTAGGTATTAAAAGGACGGGCTTTTTCTCGACCAAAGAATATTCTTTTATATCGCATCTTCTAATAATTTTTGTGGACAATAATTGTTCAGCAAAAACTCAGTTGCTAAACAAAGAAAAGAAATTTATACGAATATTCGTCAAGATTAGAACGAATAGTCTGACAAAAATTGGGCGCCGAGTATAGAAAAGCTATTATATGTGAAAATTATATTTGAAATAATCTCAGAGATTGAAATTTAAAGTAATTCCAACATTTCGTTCAGCAAACTTGTCTGAACTTATTCAGAGTAACAATCAAAATCACCAAAGAAATATATAGCATTTAACAATCAAGTCAGGTCAAATCTATACTGTGTTAATCTAATCATATTTGGATGTTGACTTATTAAATAGGATAGCATGAGTCAGTTAAATGCGAATCACGTGAAAAGAAAGAATAAGGAACGAAATTGTTATATCCTGACGAAGAATAAATGAATGGTAACTGCTAAGAACTATTTGTGGGCTGTTATCACGTATATTTTTGGATAACTATCAAGTGACTATATTATGTGTATATTCATATTCCTTTTATTATATGCTTTCATTTGATTTATTGACTACTATTATATGATTTACCATTCTTAACATATCCTCAATCTATTAATTACAGGATCTCACACTCACAGCCGCTTTTGATCTGATCTCGTATAATTGTTATTTTCTATTTTATGGTATGGTGCGGTCTGGTTTCCATGTATGAACACTACGTATGTCTGAGATATTATTCATACACTGGAAGCTGAGATTGTGTTCTGGACTCGAACGGATAGAGCTAGACGAGAAGAACCAATAAGGAATCTGAGTTGAATCTAGGCTGTTTTCACTGGTTGACGCGTCATTGGTTTGGCACAGTGCCAAGGTCATAAAAGTCGGTACTCTATTGGCAATTTTTCCACGTGATAATTAATAGGGAAAAAGACATAAAAGAAAAAATAAATACAAACTAACACTTGGAATGGCCATTAGTAGTTCAGTAGTATAATGAAAAGATTTGAGATCTGATTGATTGGAGGACAAACTAACGATTACATTTTATATATTATTTTATAAAGAGAAAATTAAATACGAGGATTAGACGAAGACAAAGTACGTTCTTACTAGTAACAGAGGGAAAGTAACCGAAGAAAAAAAACAGGATAATACAACTAATGAAACAAAAGTTATGGTAGGGAGTCATTTACTTCAACAATTTAAGGAAATAAGAATTATTAGGTCTGGACCATTTTAATCAAATTTAATTTATTTCATCTACAGTTTACAAAGACAGACAATAAATAATTAATCAAATTAAATCTGATTAACGAGGTTATTACCACTTGTTTAAATACAAATAAAGCAAAAGAACGAATAAAAAGAAAAACACGTGCTATGATTTGATTCGGTGAAAAGCAATCACTCTATGGATAAATTGAAGTTGTTCACTTCGGTTCAATTAACGAAGCAAACGAGATTCCTCTCTTAAGAATGAACAATACTAGCAAACAATGATTAAATATCTTAGGTGATTGGAGTTAGAAGTCAGGATACCCTGTACCTGCGTTCCGAATTAGTAAGGTGTGTCTATGACCCCAAGGTGAATAAAATCCATTATATGTATGGTATGTGCTTTGCACCTTCGAAGTGCAAAGTACTCCTACAAGACTGGCAGGATTCCAATCCTGTACTCGCCCTGGATGGTGAGCAGATAGACGTAGTCGAGAAGTTCGTGTATCTGGGTAGCTGTATGAGTGCTGGTGGTAGTGTGAGTGATGAGATCAATTCAGGCATAGTGAAAGCCAGAGCGGAATATGCCAATCTGGACCACCTTTGGCGCCTTCGTGATGTTAGTCTGGCTGTAAAAGGTCGGATCTACAAGGCGTCGGTGAGAGCAGTTTTGCTCTATGCTTGTGAAACCTGTCCTCTCCGAGTTGAGGACGTTAGACGACTCTCTGTGTTCGACCATCGCTGTCTCCGAAGGATTGCTGACATTCAGTGGCAACACCATGTCAGTAATGCAGAGGTTCGGCATCGTGTGTTCGGGCACAGAGACCATAATGCAATTGGTGTCACCATCTTGAAACACCGACTTTGGTGGCTTGAACATGTTCTCCGAATGTCGTCCCAGAGAATTCCACGTCGTGCATTATTTGCCGACTCTGGGACTGGTTGGAAGAAGCGGAGAGGTGATCAGTGCATGACATGGTGTCGTGGCACGAAAGAAAGCTGCAAAGGACTGGCTTGTGTTGGTCCTTCACGACTCCCTGGCTGGGGTCTGAGAGATGGTGTTACACAGTGGCTAGAGACGTTATCAGATATGGCTCAGAATAGAAGCCAGTGGCGATCCTGCTGTAACCTTCTTTTACTTTCTTCATAAAAAGTGGTTCTGTCTCCCTTACCTGAAAGATTTCTTCTGATTGTACCTTTGCGTTCCCTGATTACTAGCACATTACCTTACACCAATCTCTTCGTTATTGTTCTCTCTTTTTTTGTTGCGCTCCTTAGCTTTTTTTTTCTTTCTTTGTATTCCTCTCGAATTTTCGTTGTTTTGTGTGGCGCATATATATTGGCGCTCTCTTGTACCAATATTCATGTGTCCAAATAAAATAAAATAAAATAAAATAGGCTTCGAACCCGTGCCATTCAGCTTGAAGGTCTGAGACGTTATCACTGTGGTATTCGGGTGGCAACTGACCTCCTATAAGACAGATATTTACAACTGATCACTGAGTAGTGACTGATATCATGTTTGACTAATCGTTTAGTGAATCAAGTTTCAATTAATTATATTTGTAAAGTATTTAACACAATATATCCCCTATGATAAATTTGGATAATGTTATGAGAAGTTGAAGTTTGACAGAATTAAGTGATATACTTGCGCAATACACTTCAAACAATCTTGTTAGGAAGATTTATACATGAAAAAATCAAATGGTCAACTAGACAAATCTGAAGGTAAGGGTAAACAAAGATAATAATAAAGCGCACAAGATGAAAACTACGATGGATAATAAATCAGTATTACCAAGGCAGGTTAAGGGGAAGACCAAATTGTTGTCTAGTTGACCTTTCATTATTTCATATATAAATTTTTTAACAAGTATGTGTGGTCAGATTGTTCGAAATGTATTGCGCAAATATAGCATGTAATTCTGATAAACTTTGTTTTCTCGTCGTGTCATAAAGTATAAAATTTACTCAAAAAACCAACGTTAATTTTGACACAAACTTTGAAAGGAAACTGAAGGCAATGATAACTGTGTACCATATGCAGTCACACAGTACTGAGTTCCATCCACAAAAGTCATAACTGTTCAACACATACAGAAATGAAAAAGCTCTGAAGAAATTTGTAGTCTTAAACTACAGATCTAGTTAAGTTTGAAAACCATTGAAAACTAGGAACCAATGAACATATGTTTTATTCTAGTATGGGACTATTCAGGAACGAGTATCCACGACAGTATCAGAGGTCAAATCCTAGATCTTCATACTTCCACCCCAAGTACTTAACATCTACACTATTGAGTTGGTAGACAATTGTTCATCTTCCTAACCTCAATGTAATAATTCCCAATATTTAATAGATACTAAAATTATAACAGATTTTGATGAAAAATAGATAAATATAGACATATGTTTTTTTGTATAAACTCACTTGTCGTGCTATCGCTTTGGCATCACACTGATTATAAACTTTACGAATTCTGCTTAACGTAAGAGTTGATATATTACAAGCATATATTCCAAAGACAAGTTTATCTTCTGAAAATAACGGAAAATTTGACTCATCCACATCTGGTCGTACAAATGCTTTTTTGTAGAAAACAAATTGAGAAACAAAGGAATAAAATATGAATAAACAAGTTGAAAAATGAATTTCTGATAAAAACAAATAGATAATATAATCTGTTCAATAATTTATCACAAACTAGTCTTTATTCTAAATAGTATTAAAATTACTGTCGAATCGAATGTCCTACTTCCTAAACTATCTAAAGTTGATCATAGAATTATTACTTAGTGGTCCAAAAAGTAATATGAACGTTATGAAACTTGAATAACAAGCTTTGATTTTATCTCTGTTGGAGTTGTAAAAGCATCCACACTTTTCAAGAATCCTTAAAAAAATGCAGCTGTCTAGTATTACCTGGCGAAAATGAAAAATAGCTAGACGTTTGATATTGTAAATTTTTATGTAGTGAAAAAGAACTCAGGTATGACGAGCCAATTTATTGTTTCATGAAAAACCATATACTAGCTTTGTAAAACATGAAAATTATACATTAAATACATTAGTTGCAAATCTTCATCCAGTTGTCTTTTACATACTTCATTATTCTTCCAATCCTGTTGTTATTCCGATTGCGCTTCCTTTTCTTTCCTCTCCGCCTTATCTCAATCTTCTGCTGGTAAGCATTTCACTTCCGATTCCTGCAACATATTACGTATATCTGTCAGCATAAGTAGCGCACAACACAGACGTATAACCCGTTAACCTCTAGACTAAATACTAACTAAACTTTAATTTCCAATCATACTTGTCCAATTCGTTATATAAATAAGATTTAAACGTTTTAGTTATGATTAGACGACTGAATTATATATATTCGTATATATTTAATATGAAATACGATACTTACATGGCATCGAAGGTATGGCTTGAAAACTACCCATATAGTTTGGTCCAAGTTTAGTCATGACAGCAATACGATTAGCTGTTAATGGTTCTTCAATAAAATGAAATGGTCCTATCTTCCATAACAGTTTGCTAGATCTACGCATAGAGGCAGGTGTACCAACAAAACCGCATAGTGATGAAGGCATAATATTACGTCCAAGTGCACTCGACGCTGAAGACGCCCCGATATAAGTGACCTGGAAGGGATATAATTGAGATTAAATTACATACATGTAAAACTGACGATAATATTGAAAACACTGCACTATAATATGTGTATTTAGAAAAATAAAGCAAAATGAACCGATCAAAAGTCATACATCTAGTATGTACGATGATTCAATAACATATGCACGAGTATGGGAATAAGGTATGGTGGGCAAACGGATAAACCATTGAACTACAGTTTAGCATTCGTACTGATACCATATGGGTCGTCTTAACTATCTTTAAATTCCAGTACCTGACAATTTGTAACGACTAATATTTAGTAAATAGAATCTCCGGTGCACTTTATCTTCTTTTTCTACCTGATCGAGGTGGTAAACAATTGACAGAATAGGTTAGCACCAATGGTAAGCCATAGATTATATTAGAAATAATTCTTAACTTTTCGCCAAATAACTACCAGATAAACAGACCTTAATGGTCAAAGCCCAGTAGGTATGCATTTCGTGTGATCATGCGACTCGATAGTTATATGGATTAATTTTCAGGTCAGAAGATTGGGTACATATTCGTCCTATCTCCTCAAAAGTTACGGCAACTTTTAAACCAACTGATATGATTCCAATAATTATTGTGTTTACTAAATAAATGCATACACTTTGATCTCGTCTACACAGAATTCATATGTAAGTAGTAGTGGGAAGTTTGAAAATGAAATATTAAAAAAAATCTAACATCCATGTTTATTCGATGAAATCTAGATTATTCAAGCTGAAAATTATGTTAGATTTTCACTAATCACCTTTCCCTTCAATTAACTAATATATTATTTTAAAACCTTTATTTACATTTCTTATTTGTATTGTATTGAGAAGACTTGAAAGATAAAGTAATAAAATTTGATAATCAATTGATCACAGCCTATGATGAAAATCCCTTTTAAAATTAATTTTTCCTGAGACCAGAACTGTCAAATTAAAATAGTGAAAATTAGTCCATATTACAAAAGACCAAAAAAAATTAAAAAACTGAGTACCCACTTTTTACAAAGAAAACCAATATCCAACTTACCCGACGACTTCCAATAAAATGACCATCTAGATATAAACTACATGAACTAGTTTTGATCATTCCAGCACGATTAAATACCACTACAACATGACGCCAAACATCTAAAGGCCAGTCATTAGAACTATTTGGTGGGAAACCACATGGGAACACTGCGCATGTACCAGTTGCAATCGCATTTTTCATATTTGAATCTGATTCGATAGTTGTGAACTGATCTGTGTTATTATTATTGTTATTATTGCTATTAGTCAACAAGGTAGAACAATCTATATCTAGATCACAAGACTGACCTATATATTTAAAACAAAAAATGAGAATCAACATATAATGTAAGAGACTGTAAAAATGGAATGTAATCACACTAATTGATGGATGTGTTATTTTAATAACAATAATAAGAACGCAATTAAAATACCTCTGTATAAAACTAAGCAATAATACACTGACTTCTCTATTTTAAATAAACTGTTGTCAAAATATTAGAAAATGCTCGTTACATAATAGACTAAACATTTTCTATAGTAATTTATATGATACATTACATTATTATGTCTAATATTTTGTAGTAGGCAATCAGTCATAAATGAGTGAATAAAAAAACACAATTCATTTATACGAACTATAGCAAATTAAGTAAAGTTCAGATCAACAAATTTAATAGCTGAAACTAATTGCGAATAACAATAAAAAAATAAACTATCTAAACTAATTATAGATTTTTATGACATAAAATTAAGGATTAGAAACAATGTATTCAGAAAAAAATCTTTTTTCTAGTTAGTTACCTGGTTGTAAAAGTCGTTCTTGAGTGGAAACGACTAAATAATGATTGACTGGATGTATATAGATTCGTAGAAATACTAATTGATCATTGACACTCTGAACTCCTCGTACAAGCGTCAATAAATGTACAGCTTGTGGTTGTTGAAATGATTGTTTCATAGAATCAATATCATAAGAATTAGTTGTTACACTATCAAATTGTGATACGGAAACCCATGCAGAATATGTAAATCCACAGGATGGAGGAAATGAGCGTTCTCCTGTAAGTATTAAATAAATTATTCAATAACAATACGTGTGCATAATAATCTAGATAGTCAAACTCAATTACGATATAATGTTATTTAGTAAGAGTAATCATCTTATAAAGTACTACAACGTTCAGTAAAGTATGCGACTTACCGGCTACTCATTAAGATATTTTATATTAGCGCTTGGTAGTAATATTTCTTAACAGGGATGTCAAACTACTGATATCTCTACATTAGACATTTAGTGTGGTGAATTTATTGACAACTAACATTTGAGATCATTGAAACAAGTGAACCTTATCAATAGTAACTTTCGTGATTTTCATTAAGCTTTTTAATAAGTGTGACCTAATATTCTTATTTCTTCCTTGGAATTAGGATATTCCCTAAAAAATTTTGACTGATTAGCTCCGAGAATTCAGAAGACACAGCTTTGTTAGTATCCTTAACCACTAGTTACCTCGATGGATGATGTTGGGTAGTGAACGAGTAATTTATAAGAAAGGCAAGAGTGATTAATTCAAGACATGACATCAAGTCATTGACTATTGGAATAAGATGAGTGAGTAGGTAAAGGCTAATTGGTTGGGATCTTTCTGATGATTGTAATCAATGGTTGGAGACGTTGGATGACATGTTTTGTAATCGGTAATAATGATATTGATAAACTTACTCTTTTTCTTCCCTTACTACCTGAGTTTTAAAATTATGTTATATTATTCTAGTCCGTGAATTGGCTTTTTCTTTTCGAATCACACTATTTAGTCTTTATTACTTATACTACTCTGACATTTGTCTTGATAATTTAATTGCACTGTATTGATATGGTGTGGCAACTTGAAACGATGGACATAATGCTACAAGTCTTTTTTATCTTCACACTGTTGCGGAAGCACTAATATCAAATAAAATTGGTGAGTAAAACACCTACAAAAGAAGATCGTGACAATTTTAAAAAGGGATAAACGCCCTCTACTGCTCGATAGTTGACCACATCAATCTATCCAAAGACTCACCTGGCCCAACACCCCCTCCTGCATTCATATCATTCGTCGAACTATTAGCTGAATTCCCTAAAGAATTAGCGGAAACAGCTCCGCATAAATGTGCAACTGAAGATGATCCTTGTGGTGCAATTGATGGTAAAAATAAACAACCAAATCCTTCAGTAGACATATTAAATTCAACGAATGGGGGTGATATAGATAGACCGATTTCTGAATTCATTGGTGAACTTGATCGGACACTAGAATAATTAATACGTGAATCACGTCGGATAATTTGTTTATTAAATTCTACATGAGATGGTGTTGACATAGCTATGAGACATTTAATCTGACTTAATGTCAATGGATTTAAACGAAATGATAAAGATTTGGATCGTAAAATTTTTGCTTCATCTGATAAACTAAATAATGAATTCAATAAATTATTATTTTCAGCAGGATAAATTAGACTGGCATCTAACTTTGACAATGTTTCAGAAAGCCGAAGAAATTCACTAGAAAAAAGAAACAGAAGAAGCACAAAAACAAATAATAAATAGGTAAAAAGTTTTCAAAATCCAGATTAAGTAATATAATAAGGTAACGGTGAAAAACTATTCATATAGCTAACGTTTACAACTGATTGATCGCTGATTAGTGACCAATATAATATTCGTCTAGTCTTTAATGCTGACTAACTTCAATATATTGGGCTCCAATGTGACCACTAGTGTGCATGACTCAACATCGCGCGAACTATTCTGAGACTTCAAAAGGTTGGAATTGGTTAGCATGAAACTTGGATTTAGGTTTCGTGCTAGTTGACACTCATCAGCAAGATGTACTATAGACGGTCATGAGTAGCTTAGTGGCAAGGTCGCAGACTGTGAAACAGATTGACCCAGGTTTGAATCCCACACTCAGCGTTAGTTTCTTCAACATTGCATATACTTTTTGCTAACGAGTGCCACCTAGCACGAAACCTATGTTCGAAGCTTGTATTTCCAAGGGATAAGTAGTACAACCGGAATGGTAAGTTCATCTATTTCCAATTTTGTTAAGCAAATTTATGAAAAATCTAGATCCCAGTAAGAAAAGATTCATAAAGAAAAGACTTGATTACTAGTAGATTCAAATGGAACGTAGCCATGAAATAATGTTTAAGGTATTCTTAATAATTGAATTAAAGTTACATTCCATGTAATATTTTAATCCAAAAGCTTACAATGAATAAAATAAATCTTAACACTAAAATTAGGATTGGTTTATTTTATAAACAATTGAAATCCGAACAAATCCTAGACATGTATGCCATATTATCAAGGTGATTTACATTCCAATCATGCTTCGTGTTATGAACTGTTGAAAAGATCTAGATCAAGGAACTGAAAACAATTTATTTTTCCAATTAGAAAATCAAGTGAAATACAATATTAACAGTAAAGTATAATTCAGTCGATCAGTAAACAAATTTTTAGTGAAATATATATACTAAGCACTTAAATCATTATCTATTGTTTATTTCTAAACACAATTAAGTTTCATAAAGAGTAAACCAGAGAAGATGTAATCCCAAACACGCTTACGGTATATCAAACAATAATAAACCTTGCCAAGAATTCCATCAAGCATAAACGAGACCAAATTTTTTAAGATAGTCCCCCTTCCTGAAGTAAAACTAATTGAGAACTAATGAAATTAAAACAAAAAGCATCTGAAGTGAACTGTTACTTTTTCTGTTTGCAAATCCCGAGTAGCACACATTTCTTAGCCTAACCCCACTCCTTCTAAGATAACGTGAAACAGCTCTCCAGAAATACGAAGCTTTTAACGTAATTTCCTACTTAATGAAACTTCAGTCATATTGGAATTAATTTCAATTTGATTGTCTGTCAACAGTATACTATATAATAACGACTAAATAGTCAATTAGGTTAATGATTAACTATACAATTTACTCTGCTGAATAAAAATAATGAATTCACTGAAAATACAAGATACTACATATGTATTTAATAGTACACAATTTACTTCTAAGAAATATATATGTACAGCCTAGTCCGGCATTAAAATCTTAACTAAAAATTATAGGAATAGTGACGAACATACCGAAGATCATTAGGAGTTAAAGCCTGAATGGCTAAGCATTCAAAAAGGCCACGAATTTGATCGTGTAATGGATGATTATCATTGGCTAATGGTTTGCGAAATAAATTAAGAATTTCACGAGGCATATACACATTACACATTAATTGTTGATTACGTTCACTGTGTAACAAATCAGTGATTACAGTTAATAAACAACTCTACAAGAAAAGATATGGGAAAATAATATACAGTGAAAAATAAATATGGTGGGATCGATCCCTCAAACCAATTAAAATGAATTATTAAACAAAAAGTATTCATTTAAATGAAGTTTTCTTTCTTTTAAGCACGAAATAAAATCAACCGGAAAACTATTGAAATCCACGAAGTGATAGATTGACAATACGTTTTGGTTTAGAACGATTTCGTCAATCAATCCATAACTATGATTGTCAACGACATGGAATCCAAGAACTACTAATATCTTGTATCGAATACTATTTCAATGAACTGTTTTGAATTTAATTGTTTAGATGTTCTAAATTTAGTCAATTAATGGTAATGGTGTAATATTCACTCATTGTTATGGTTAAGTAAATGACTTACTAGTATCGGCTAAGTTAGAGATTTCTACTGGAACTTGAAGAAATTTATCCCTAACTTAGTTATCTGAGTTTATAGCTGGAAACAGACAGTACACATCCACAAGGATACTGATGTTATAAATAAGATTAAGTCAGATGAATACATCCTTTTATTATTGTTGTGACACAATGGACATTAGGAGTGTTGTAAATTTAGTAATTATTTTATATTATATAATTATTAGATAACTGGATTATTATATCTGTTTCCCGTATTCTGAGTTTCCATTGAACCTACTAATTATTATACGTTATATTATTCCATAATTATGGTCAATTAATTATATACCGTTTGCTCAGTTCTCTCTGTTACAGTATGATAGTAAGGGATTTATTTAAGATGAGTTCCGGTCCGATAATTCATGTATATAAACTAATGTGTTTGAGATAAATATACTTCCTGAAATATAATAATAAAAGCCTTTCGCCAGTGTTCTCTTAGTCAAACTCAATACTGGGAAAGAAGTGCATACCAGTTGAACGATAGGAGTTCAGACTACCTCAGCCTCAACTCGACGTTAGTCGTGACAAATGAAGTGTATCATCGGTCACAGTTTAGGATGCTACTTTATAGACGAATTAGAACACATAGGATGGAGGAACATTACACAATTCGGTGGGAATATAATTTATGGACGACCTTCGAGCGACACTAAAGTGACCTTGATAGTGCCTACCTAATAACTAGGACCTAACGAGGGTTATAAACCTGTGTGAGGAATTAGAATTATGATTTACAGTTGATGGTTAGGGTTAGGAATTACATTTAGGGTTTTCACCACGAAATGACATCAGCCAAACAGATGGGTGAATTTCGCGCCGAAATCCGAGACCTGTAATCTTATACCTGATTGGTTCGTCCATAAACTATAGTCTCGCCCACAATTCTTATTGGTGGGTCATCTCTAGATATCGATTAATTCCCTACGCATTACAATTATGAACAAAACCAATGAAACAAGTAAGAAACGATGAAACTAAGGTACCCAAGATTGCTTTCTTTGATATCCATGAATAGAGTGAACATAAATTCATAAAATATGTACAATACAGAAAATCAGTTTGCTACACTTATACATAACAATAGATATTACTAGTCCAAATGACGTATCTTAAACAACAAATCTGTTTATCTACTAAAGCATAGTTAGTATTACTTTAAAATAAATTCATTATTAAATGCATGTGAATTTAACGTGAAGAGTACACTGAGAACGCTTTACGAAACGCTGTTTTTTTTATATACTACTCAATGACTTTGGATTTTCGTTGCCAAAACTTTCCAAAATCAATCCACAAGTCATTTTCAGTGAAATCTCACAAGACTAATTTACATAGATCCCGAAAGATCAGCAAGTGAAATAAATGAAACATCTAACACTCCTCAGTTTATATTGATCAGTAGACAAACGATAACGATTCGAAACCACCACCACCACCATCTCCCAAATCAATAACTGAATAACAGTAAAAATATGTCAAGCTATCGAACATTTTAAAATGATAATGAACTGATAAAAAATAACACGGAATAACCCAGACAGACAAAATAAACCCACTTGAAAATCAATACACAGATCATAATCACCATCATCCGACGATGGATGATAAAATTCGTAATTTAAATATTCACTTAAATCAGCAATAAGTTTTAAGAGACTAATAACTGCATCTGGATGTATAATGAGAATGTCTGTTACATTCGATGTTGTGTTATTATTATTATTATTGTTATTATTATTATTATTAATAGGTAATTTAGTAGTCCCAACAGTATTATCGTTATTCCCAACAGTTGCAGTGAGAGTTATATCACTATTATTAGGATGAAGAGTCGAAAAATCCACATTTTTATCCAATAAAATTGAACGGACAGAATCTCTGGAGCAGTTTTCGCAGAAAAAATGGACGTAGAAAGCAACGACAGAAAAAGACAAAACAGAAGTAAAGCGGCTTTATGATAATGCTAAAAATATATACAATAATCCAAAGCATTCTAAAAAAACTAAGTGCTAATTAGCAAAGTTCAAGGCCAATAGCTCACATCTTAGACCCATAATTTCCCCAAAATGTTAGTGTTTGTTGATGCCTAACTTGTCAACAAAGTATAAAGTAGTTGAATCTACTCGTTACCTGAATAGATTAATCACCCTACAGTGAGTCAACCGACAAGATCCTAACGTAGATACAAAAGGCTCGTTTGAAATTTGTTAACATGCATTATCTATGTTGCAAGTGAGACATATGATATGCCATTAAAAAATGAGAAAACCATATAACAATCTTCATAATGTTCTACAACTGTGAAACATAATAACTTAAAGTAACATAAATATGTCGCAACAGATATTCAATTACAAGTCTTTTATACAATACGAGTGTTGTGGGTAAACAATGTTGATGTTAATGAGTAAAGTTGGTAAGTCAGTTAATGTGGTTTGTGAACCTGCGACAACAATGGTAAATGAGACATGTGTTAAATATTCAGTTCACTGGTCACCCCGATATGCTACGGTAACTATAGCAGGATTTACACGTAATAAAAGTTAATAATAAACTAACAAACACATTATATCAGATTATGAAACGATCAACTACTGACTCAAGAAATATAGAAAAATGAAGAACAACTAAGAAAAACCAGAGACAGACAAATAAGGCATAACTATTTTTTTCGTTCTTCCTATTTGATGGAATATTTTGCTTAACTTTCATCAGTTACGTAAACTTTTAAACTATTGAACTTGGAAGACTATCAGTGGCGACTTCAACGATCTGTCTGAGAAAAGGAAGCGATGAAATATTTACTGTCAGATGATCGAAAAAAATATCTAAAGCAAGCTCTGAATCTGAAGTTTTTTCAAAACAACCATTCCAACATTTAAAAAAACAAAATCAAATAACAAACTACACTAATTAAATTCAAAATGGATAGTCATCTTATGCTAACTTACCGATCATAGGCATCGATTGCTAAATCATAAAAATATCTAAAAATAAGACACCATTCAACAATTCGTCTAGGTAGATTAACAACGATATCAGGGGAGGATTTATTCATATCAAGATAACTGTCTAAAGTGTTATTCTCGTTCTTGTTATGTTCCATTTTTATCTTATTCAAAGATGTTTGTACTGAAGAAGAGGATAATAACAATGATTCCATTAATTTAAGATTCATAAATAAAGCATATAAATATTTCGATCTTATACTTCTTGTTTGGTGATATATTGAATCATTGAACCCATTCATTAGTTCATTTATGTTGATAGATATGAATTGATTATACGAATTAATATGGAATGTACCAATTTGTTGTTTATTTGAACTAAGAGATAGAATTGCATCAGTTAAAGTCGTATATTGAATCTACAGATTAAAAATAATGAAAGATAACTGAAGATAAAATGTTGAATTGTTAAAACTGAATATAATGGTATAAATACTCATAGTATGCTAATAATAAGCGTACATTAATAATGCCATGAAATTTACATTATATATATATATATATATATATATATAATACCTATGTTCATTTTTGTATTGGTTGCTTGAATCTTCCAATTGATGTTTATGGTTGCAATTGACCAGTCTTATATTGGCAATATGTGCATCCTGCGAGGATTGCCTTAATATTGCCAGTAAGTCAAAAGCGCATTTCATTCTATTTGGGACTCGTCACCTGTATATGCCTGAATCTTAGAGTTGATGTTCACCCTGGCACTTTACTGAGGACCTGACACACATGACATTGATCACCAACCAATGATCAATAAATTGTAAATACATCTCAGTGCTACAGGAGGTAAGTCGCGGCCCGGATAACCCAGTGGTAACGTTTCTGATTGTGAAGCTGAGTGACACGGGATCGCTCCCGTCAGGGAGCATCAATTCACTCAAGACTACAGGTACACCTTGCTGACAAGTGCCAAATAGCTCGCAATCTAGGTCCATGGTTTTCTGTCGACTACCTCTAACCACCATCTTATCTCAACGTAGTGCACGCAATGTCGAGTCACCTAGACTAGTGCCCACATTGCAACTTTGTCGATAGGATTCGACCTGCGCTAGGAAGGACCGGACACATATGGCATTGATCACCACCCAATGATCAATCAACTGCGACTACTTTTCGCAGATTATTAGAAATGGTTTCAATATGAATAGTCGAACTGACAATTTTGGTTCTGATTAATAACTCAACAACAACAAATGATGGACAAGATTAAATGCGAAAAAAAGTAAGGGTCAACAATTACGACAAAAATAGAAATAATAAACTCCCTCATTACTCTAAATAACTTTTATCCAGCTAAGATTCTACTGTTTAGTTAACTTTTATTTCAATCATAATAAAAATAAACTAGAAATCACAGAATGTCGACATCTGCCTATATATATTCGAGTTTATCTTACCTCAGTCACAAAATAATGAGCGTTGGATGGTTCAAATTTCATAGCAATTCCCAAATTGCAAAAGATAGATTTAATCAAAAGAAATAACTGAGGATATGTTAGACTTGACAAAAATGTTTTACGCGATAAATGAGAATGTTGATGTTGGGGACTAGATTCTGTAGATGAGATTACATGTTTCGCTGGTGATGATGATTCTTTCTTGGATAATTGAAAGGAATTGACAATTGATGTAAATAAGTTTAAACAACCTTCTAAATAAATTAATTCTTGCATCACATAGACAAATCCATTCAGTTTACGAAAAACTGTTCTGCATCTATGTGATTCACGTAAAACTCGACAAAACGAACATAAAATCTGAAATATATTTACAATAAAACAAATTTGATAACATTTCTATCAAAAAATTCATCTTTTGTAACGTTTTAATTAACACGAAATACAATACTAATTGGGTTTTAATTGGAATCATGAGCCGATCAGTGTTAGACTACCATTGAAAACCTGGAAGCACAGGACGACCATTTTTTCTTACTAAGGGACTCCTCAAAAGTGTGCATCCACGATTCCGTACTCATGATTCGAACCAAGAACCTTCGGTCTCGCGCGTATGGATTGGTTGAAGTTAGACATTAACACCGTTGGAGGCCGGATCAGTGATCTGGAAGTTAAGCGTTCTCACGCGAGACCAAAGATTCTGGTTTCGATCCCCACGTGTGGGATCGTGGACGCGCACTGCCGAGGAGTTTCATACTAGAACGGAACGGCGGTCTAATGCCTCCAGGTTTTTAAAAGTGGTCTAATATTGATTGATCCATGATCTCAATTAAAGCTCAACAACCTCCACAACCTTATACTGATCATTCTAATTGGAATTGCAACCAGTTATACAATTGCTACATTTTACTCTGCCTATCATTCGGAATTTTAAGAACCAAATCCCATTATTTCAAAATACTTTAAGATATGAGTGAACGGTAAACGAAGTTGATAAAATTGGGAACTATTAAATAGGTTATTACATCTCATTCTAATAAATGACATTTTTATGGATAACTTAAACCTAGTATACGACTATCAATCAGTTCTAAACCAGTGCTTCTAGAGTACAAAATGTTTTGTCTTTTATGAGGTAGTTGGTGGTCGATACTAGGAAGTTGCATACACATATACCACAACAACAACAACAAAACAAAATAACTTCAATTGACTTCAAGATTATATCAACTCCTCTTTCTTTATTCCTTGTATTTAAAGCTTACAGGATTCGTATTTTTAAAAAATACTATTTTAGACTTTCTGCTTGCAAACATGCATCAAAATAACATACACCTAATCTGGACTAGAAGTAGACTTCTTCCAATATATTTTAAAATAAAGCTATTGTGAGTGTCCATTACTGAAGAGTTTTACACTAGGATCAAAAAGCTAATCTTCACTTCTTAGTTCTTCAACTGGTGTCAGACAGAAATAAAATTATCTTCATATCAACAATATATCGACTGTTAGTACAAAAAACAAAACAGATAAACATATCTGCATCATATTGTTAAACAAAAAGAAACTTCAAAAAATTATAAGGGGTATCAATTTTTACAGTAGATCTATTTCAATAAAAATTTATATTCCAGTGTACGACAATAAATTTTTAGTGATACTAGTGCTTGCAATAGTTAACTTCCATGATTCAATTGCAATTCCATATCCCGTCGCTGTATTTGATTCAGTCCAGAAGACTTGAGCTTCATTAAACGAAAGCTAGCTTAAACCCAATTTAACGAACCTACCTTTATATAAATTAAAAACGAACAGGTTCTGGCACAAAATAATCATTGTTAAAGAAGCCATAATTATTTACTACTTTGCATATGAACATAAATGGGGCTTTGCATTCTATAAGTGAGAGTTATAGTAGTAATAGTAATATATATATAATATATATATATATACTACTTACATTAATTTTTAAATCAGCATAAGCATGATGCATATTTTCTAATAAATTTGGCATAAGCTCTTCTCCACCATTATTAAGCATTAATTCTTCATAAATCATCAACGCAGATGAACGTAAAGGAATGATATGTTTTTTAGCGTTTGTATGTAGTATACGATTTAGCAAGCAATTAGTAGCGCCTAAACGAATAAATACGTCACCATTTTGTACATGTGAAGTAACGGTACATTGTAAAAATTCAAAAAGATAATCGCTAATCTCTTTGAGTAATTCCAATGAACCTAGAAGTAAGAAAAGATTTGTTTTTGTTTTAGAAACAGTAAAATAGAAAAAGAAAACAAATATGAAACTTGACACTAAAAAGTATACAATAGTTTTATAGACAGGGATTTTAGCATTATAGGACCTATAAATACATTTTCTTAAGATGATTCCCTTTACTGCCTTATGATTCCCTGATAAGTTGATCTACACATATAAAAACGATCAATGTCAAGGCTGATGATTAAAAATTCCGCCCTGAGAGTTACCCAAGTCAATAACAACTACTGATTGGAATACGACCAGAGGTACTCAACCCAAGATATGACATCACGTTTTGACGGTTGGAACAAAATGTGTAAGCAGATGCAGACTAGTTGTTTGGGATCCTTGATATCTTCATATCGCTATGATAATATATTGTGGCAAAGTGAACCGATGCATGTATGTGTCAGATTCTATACAGATTATGACTGAGAATAATTATCAGGTATATCTACAAATTGATTTGGAAATTTAAGATATTCGTCAGTAAGAGGTTGTAGAAATTGTTTACTTTCATTGAAATCATGAGCCAATCTACGTAAGACCAAGATTGAGAACGCAGAAGCACTGGGTGGCCATTTCTTCCTAGTGTATGATTCAGTAGTGCACATCTACGTCCCCACATGTAGAAATCGAACCCAGGATCCAAAGTTCATGCGCAAGACCAGAGGTCCTGGGTTAGATTCCCATATGCAGTGTCGTGGATGCAGACTGCTGAGGAGTCCCGCTCGGAGACAAAATGCAGTCCAGTGCTTCTAGGTGGTCTTAGATCGGCTCATGATTTCAATGAAAAGCAAATATATTCTCCAAAAAGTTAATATGTCATTAGATGAATCCTTTATCTAATTCAAACCGATTTGCATTGGAACGAGGTAGCTGAATAGTTAATGCGATAAAGTATGAGTGATTATGTCTGTGTTAAGCAGTATTATAGGCAAACAAAAATAACTCGATGACAATACCAACGTTTTCAAAAGCTCTTCAACCATGATATCAATCAATAACGTAAACTAGCAACACATATAATAGCTAACTACAATAGCTACCTAAGTCTCCATGAATCTTTTTAGATTGTTTATGCTACCACCTTGAACTACTATTATTGTTACTTATATGACTGATTCATTATTGTTTCAATTTCAATTTCAAGTTTGTCTAGTCTATTAACAACCACCTAAAAATACACCATGTGGTTAATTATATCATGAAATCGTGTTTATTTTTGTTCTGATATTGAATAGGACGTATATTTATGATAATTTATGCTAGTAAATTGAATTATACTATCCACTTTTCTCTTGTGAGATCAGAGTTTATAAAACTACCCGTTATTTATGACGACAGTTTGTTGATTCATTTTAGGGCTAATGTAATTGTAGTTGCAAGAATTTTAAGAATCCTAATTTTACAAACTATTTATAAACACTAATACACAACAGATATTTGATGTTTCAGTAAGTGTTAATTCAAATGCATTAATTGTCCAAAAAAAGAACAATAACGAACAGAATTAAGTAAGGCAGCGTAATAATAATAATAATAATAATAATAATAATAATAATAATAATAATAATAATAATAATAATAATAATAATAATAATAATAATAATAATAATAATAATAATAATAATAATAATAATAATAATAATAATAATAATAATAATAATAATAATAATAATAATAATAATAATAATAATAATAATAGTAATAATAATAATAATGGGCGAAACGAAAAGGTACAACCACAAGAATTCTTTCAGTTAAGGAAGACACAACCACTTTTTAGGAAGAAAGTAAAAGAAGGTTACAGCAGGATCGCCACTGGCTTCTATTCTGAGCCATATCTGATAACGTCTCTAGCCACTGTGTTGCACCATCTCTCGGACCACAGCCAGTGAGTCGAGAAGGACCAACACAAGCCAGTCCTTTGCATACAGTGACTACCTCTCCTCTTTTTCCAACAAGTTCCAGAGTCTGCAAATAATGCACGACGTGGAGTTCTCTGGGACGACATGTCCAAGCCACTGAAGTCGGTGTTTCAAGAGGGTGACACCAATTGCCCGAACACACGATGCCGAACCTCTGCATTACTGACATGGTGTTGCCACTGAATGTCAGCAATCCTTCGGAGACAGCGATGATCGAACACAGAAAGTCGTCTAACGTCCTCAACTCGGAGAGACCAGGTTTCACAAGCATAGAGCAAAACTGCTCTCACCGACGCCTTGTAGATCCGACCTTTTACAGCCAGACTAACATCACGAAGGCGCCAAAGGTGGTCCAGATTGGCATATTCCGCTCTGGCTTTCACTATGCCTGAATTGATCTCATCACTCACACTACCACCAGCACTCATACAGCTACCCAGATACACGAACTTCTCGACTACGTCTATCTGCCCACCATCCAGGGCGAGTACAGGATTGGAATCCTGCCAGTCTTGTAGAAGTACTTTGCACTTCGAAGGTGTAAAGAACATACCGTACCTACGGACACTGATTGCCAACTGGTTAAGCGCGGATTGCATGCCTTGGGCATTATCGCACAATAAGACAATATCATCCGCATACTCAAGGTCGAGAAGTCTTTCTCCAGGCAACAGATCCACACCACCACTATTTACACCCATCAGAGCTGTTTCCAGAATGTCATCGATGGCAAAGTTGAAGAGGAATGGTGAGATTGGGCAACCCTGGTCTAACCCCACTGCTCGAATGGAACAATGGAGAAAGGTGGTTGTATGCCCTCACTCTTCCTGAGGTGTTTGTATATAGGGCTTTTAGGATGTTAATAAACTTCTCAGGCACACCCTTCTTCAATAGACAATCCCAGAGAACAGTCCTGTCCAACGAATCGAAGGCAGCCCTGATGTCAAGAAACACTACGATTGTTGGCCTTTGATAAGAATGACGGTGTTCTAACATTTGGCGGAGGGTGAAGATATGATCAATACATCCTCGACCAGAACGAAACTCAACCTGCTCCTTGCGAGTCAATCTTTCTCGGGTTTTGAACAAACCACGAAGTATGACTTATCCCCCGATAGTTGTTACAGGAACGACGTGAACCTCTTGAAGACAGAGACAACTATCGACTCATTCCATGATGTTGGAACACTCTCTAGTTCCCAGGCATCTATAAACAACACAGTCAGTTCCTTAGCCAGAAAGTCACCACCATCTTTAAAATGGGCCGGAGGTAAGTCATCTGGGCCGGGTCATTTGTAGCGCTCCAAGGGTTGAAGTTCCTTGTGGACTTCCGCCTCATTTGGTGGATCAGACGTCACCGGCCATAGAGGACAGGACAGTCTGACCGATGTTGCCGGGGCAGCAGGCCAGTTGAACTGCCCTTCGAAAAATTCTGCCCACCGTCCAATACGTCGATGGATGTTAGTGATTGGCATCCCGTCATCCTCACAGATTGTTTTGATCACACCAGACTTCTTGCTGCTAGTGTCTCGGATGAGTTGGAAGAGCTTCCGGTAGTTACCAGATGAAGCTGCTGCTTCCAGCTCATTAGCACGCTTCGACCACCAGGCTTCTCGGTCCTTACACAAGCTTTGCCCGATTTCATAACGTAACATCCTTCGTTTGTGGTCAAACTCACGGTCAGCCTAGGTACACTGACGGACATCGATGAATTGTAAGGAACTAGAAGAAACCCAGTGCTTATAAGCGAGACGTTTCGCGAAGCCGCAAGCTACTTTTCTCGCCATTTTCATGGCGTCATGAGGTTGCAACCAATGTTCATCTATACTTTCCTGTGGAATGGTAGCTAGCCTAGAAGCTAGCTCGGTTCGATAATTACTAGCAACAGAAATTGCAACTAACTTGCTAATATCAATCCTTTAGTGACGATCACTTCGTTGACAACTGAAAAGTAAGATAAGATTGGCGCAGACCAAGGCATGATCAGAGTCCAGATAGATACTCCAGAAGGAGCAGCAGTCTTGTACACAACCACGCCAGCGATAGCTGATCGCGATGTGGTCAATCTGAGTCCAGGCTTGAGATGCAGAGGGAGGACGCCAGGTGGCACATCGGCGATGACTGTGCCGAAAGTTAGTGCTAGCCAGAAACAGGTTGTGGTCTGTGCACAGTTGCAGTAGACGGTCCCCGTTATCTGACCTGCGACCAACAAGTCCTCATCGGCCACCTAAACGACTCTCTTCTGTGCCTAGACGCCCGAACTGAGCATTCAAGTCTCCAGCTAGTACTACAATATCTGTCGAACTCACCTTCTGGAGAAGAACAGATAACTGTTGGTAGAATTCATCCTTGATTGCAGCCGGGCTGCAATCTGTCAGGACATGGGCGGAGATGACGAAAACACATCGTTTCTCATGCCGATTTCTTATCACTTTGATGGAACTTTCTAATCTAACAGCACATAACCGAATGTTAATGGGGATCCAATCGATTAGTGCTGACTCAGCTCTAGCGCTTAGTGCGACACCAACGCCAGCAGGTCCAGACGAACATGCCACAGGGTTCCCGGATAAACGCACATAAAACAAGCTTTTTGAAGCGACAGATGGAGAGCGAATATGTAGTACTTCACCAGAGTCTTGAATACGGGTCTCGGATAGACAACAAACGTCGATAATAAGACTTTCCAAAGACATAGCCAGCCCTATCTGTTGTCCAACCTGCATAAGTGTGCGAACGTTGAAGGCAGCCAGTTTGAATGATGCACATGGTTTCAGAAAAACTGCTTAAGTATTCGTATTCGGCGGTAGCATACAATTTTCAACCAGGCAGTGACTCGAAAACGTTTAGATAGAACCGAGTTTCCACCATAAGCGAGTTGTTGTATAAGTCGAAAAATAAGGATACATAAAGTGGGAATAAAAGAGAATGAATAAATGACGTAGTAAATAATAATAATAATGTGGATTGTTTGACTGTAAATCGAAGCGAGAATAGAGTTTTCAGTAAATACCATCATTTTCATTATCATTATATTTTTGTGTGGGCTGTGATACTACCCGGGTCCCCGGACCGAAGCAGGTGATTTTCTTAGGGGGCCACACCCCGAGCCTTTGACCCAAAGGTCTGACCCACAAGGCAGTGGAGCATCGTGAGAAGATGAAGTCCCATGGTAGCCGGTGACCAACGATTGGTTCATACGCCATTTGTTCCCGCAGGATACTGGAACCCATGTGCATCATTGGTTTGGGATCATGTTTAAGCGCCCGACATTCGCTTCTCGTCCTCTCATTTTCGTAAACAACACCCCCGCCACGGGAAGGCAGTGAGTAGGACTTCCCTGGCAGAGGCTGTATACGCGTGGCCATTTGAAAACATTTCGAGAGGGGGCGGGCCCACACCACTTTCAGCAATTCCAGGGCATTTGAGGGCTCATTTCAATAAGCCTCAAGTTAAATGTACTTTAGTCAACGAAGACCCAGGTACGGTAAACCAATTTATTGTTTCATGAAAAACCATATAGTAGCTTTGTAAAACATGAAAATTAAAAATCAAATATATTATTTGCAAATCTTCATCCAGTTGTCTTTTACATACTTCATCATTCTTCCAATCCTGTTGTTATTCCGATTGCGCTTCGTTTCCTCTTCTCCTTATCTCAATCTTCTGCTGGTAAGCATTCCACTTCCAATTCGTGCTACATACTACTTATGTTTGTCCGCATAAATAGTGCGAACCATATAACTACTAGTTTTACAAAATGGAAGATTTTAAGCATATATATTCATTGAAAACCTATGAAACAATACTATCACTCAATGTCATTTACATAAATAACACCATGTGTTGGCCACGACCAACAATATTAATGATTAACATATAATTCAATGTTTAGTAATTCCTCAATTCTGAAAAGTAATCTGACTAATATAAAATCATAACGAAAACCGCCTACAAATCAAAACAAAATTGACAAAATAATCCGTTGAAACTATACTTTGATAGAATGAATTGATCATTTTGAAGAACTGATGTAAAACTGAGCGCAAAGTAAAACAAAAAAACATGTATGCCAACTTATGCAAATCTCAAGAAAATTGATACGATTCCATATGTTACCTGTAAAATTATTAGTTTTGTTAATAATCTATAAACAAAAATATTTTAATATTTCAGTAAATAGATTTAAGTCACACAAGTAAACAACAAAAACACTATTCTAAATCTTTGTACATCCCGAATAACAATAACAGTTGAAATTGAACAAATTATGTCTTAAAACAATTGTTTAATTATTTCATGTAACTAATAAGTGGTTGTTCAAAAAAAGATTAAGTCTTTGAAATATACCCAGTTAGACTCTACAACTAACATGTAAAACACACTGACTATCATTTGCAATGAACAAATACTATAAAGTAAACAACCTACAAAAGATACAAGTAGGTTTGAAAGTGAATCATGAATGCGAATAGTTGATTGGCTAAACAAATATATTGATTGAATATATATTTAATGATATTTAATACTTAATCCTAATACGTTATATCTTATTTATTATTAACAATAAACATAATCAAATCGAAAGGACCAAGTATTTTACTTACAAAAATATCAAGAACTAGTAAACACATGTACAGAATAAAAAAAAATTAAAAGAAATAATTTTTGTAAAAAGAAACCTACATGAGGCACTAGAAGTTGTAGAAGGGTTACAAAAGGTCTCCATTTTATCAATCAAATAATTTAGTAGATCTATGCTCAATTCAATTAATCCAACATCATGAAATACATCCTTAAAAACTGGACTGATTCGTAGAAGTTGAATAAAGTGACGATAGGCAATAACCAGAGAAGGGGATAAACTGAAAAGTAAACAGAAATGAACAAAATAAATCAGAATACAACCTATTTTTACTGATAATATTGGAAGTAAAACCATCACGGAATTTGATACCAATAGGAATATTTTATTTTCCAACTATCATAACTGAGTATATGATACTTCTGAGAGAAAAGAACAGTCTCGACCCTGAGATGTAGATGAATATTCCCTGGAAACTTCACGATAAAAACTGTGGTTTTTTTAAAGATTAAATGGACTACGAAGTAACAGAACATTCCCAAAGCGTGCCAAAATACACTAAATGAGTATTGATTAATCATCTCTTCAATTCAAATGATTTTGTTTTGGCGCTTTATTATAACTAAGATTTTTACAAGCTTTATAGTAAAATATGTATACTAAAACACCGTACATGTAATGAGGCTGATAACGTAACTTGGCTGCTTGAACCTCAGTGGGTGGACCGAGTTTCGAATTCATGACTAGTTAATTGAATATCGAATCTCCAAACCAATGAGCCGCAACTGTGGAACATGTGTTTTTATTTTGCAACACTTTATGTACCAAAAATGTTGAGCAGAGTAACTTCTGTTTTGCGTTACAATGTAAATCAGAGATCCACAGTTTATCTCATTCGTGGCTATGTGATGTTATTTGTTCCAATCCAACCTTATATATTCATTTCACCACTATCAAAACAACTTTTATAATAAATGGAACGAATCATCAACAAATCGACTTCAGTTAGTTTAACATACTTTTTAGAAGTGTTTATTTTTAAGTCTTTCTGTTACAACTAATATAACCAAACGCTAAAACAACAAAGGTTAATCCATCCAAAGAGTTATGTTGCCTTTCAGTTACCTAATGATGACCACTAACTCAGTACCAAAACGATAGCCATCAATTATTCTTTACCGAAAAATATTTTTAAGCTTATATAAATAACTCAATACAAAATGAATATGTTGATAAAGTTTTACACACACAGCCAATAGTAGGGTAGAAGTACTCGAAATTCACAGACCAACCAAATGGAGTAACCACTAAACATTAGAATAAACGTCTGTCAATCATGCTTGCTTTATCAATATAACAGAAATTTTAAAATTACTCCAAAATGTAGACATAATTTCAGCCTCCAATCGTATTCCCATGAAATAAACAATAAAATGGGTAGCTAATCAAATATTCACTAACTTAAATAGTTTCATTTGAACGACAATACTACTGATTTCTTTCATGAATACATAGTGTAATTTGTTCACTAGTGCTTCAAGTAAATCAAAATAGGCCTCCTGATATGAAAAAAAGAAGGAAAACGAGTGATTGTGAATTTTTTAAAATATTAATGTTACAGGCAAATGTAAACATAATCATTTATGAATAGCTATTTATATAGTGTTTTTTGCATGAATCCTTAAGAAAACTATTAATAAAAGAAAGACTAAAGTTAGTAATAGCCAACATTTATCAAAATAAAATAAAAGAAGACAAACGAACTTGATATTTTAAGCATTCAAATGATAGTAAAGTATCATTAATCTTATCGCTACTTATTGACACTGAAGAGAATGTTATCAATGAACTCATTCTTTAAAAAAACTGGTTAAGCGAAAGTAAACATTTATCATTTTAATAGATTAGTAAACCTTTAATGTAAACTGGTTCGCAATGATAAAGACTGTGCTTAGTAATTCATCATTAAATCTTATGACAATATCTCAAGGTAAGAAGATTGCTTGTTAGTAAAAATTGACTTCATATTTCGATTCAAGTGAGATTACTTCTAGTTAAAATAAGCTAATGATAATATTGCCTAAAACGACAATGAAAGCTTTGCAATTAAAACCATTAAGGAATACAGCAACACTAAAATAAAATAATTTGCCCAAATAAAATTGTCAATTTAAACAAATAACATAAGCTTGATGTTCGTAACAAAATGAAACAATAAATCAGATGCAATTATTTGAAAAGTTCTACTTATTTACACATGTTATCATCCGCGTGCATATCACATATACAGAGTAATTCATAAGAAAGTCATAATTATTGATAGAAATTCCTAACCTGGATTTCATATGATTTTTCAAATATTTTTTTGGCAAAGACAACCAATATATTTTGTTGTTCTAAAATGAAATAATTTGCCAAATCCTGAAGAAAAATTGACTGGACTGTCTTCAAAACTAGTAAACTAAGATGATTTGTTGAAGATCTGTTGAACAGCGATTGTAATACATCAAATGCATACATGTTACGCACACTTTTTCTGGCTATGATGAAATCAGAAAACACAATAAATTATTTATTCAGTGAAGCATTTATGTATTTATTTTCTGAATATCAATCTGAATAACTTAAGTACGCCAATGAAACGAAATAAAAATCCAATTTCTTAACGATTAGCTTAGCAATGAGTAGAGACTATACAGGTGAAGAATCAAATGATATATGAGATGACTTTTTTCCTATCACTACAATATTATGAACTTAATCCTCATAATTAATACTTATTACATACAAAATACATGAGACCCACTTCATATGTACATCAAATCTATTCGTAAATAAGTGATGAGGCCGAAAAATAAGAATATATCAGTAGATAATGCCAAAATAATACTTAGATGTAAATTAGTCGTGAAATCAAAGAGGATACCAAACGGTTAGTTGGTCATATGTAAATTATAAACCGGCAAATGCATCGGTTTAAGTTGCTACACTACATTAACATAGAGAGATAAAATTGCCAAGACTAATCCCAGAGTAGTAGAAGTAGTAACATTAATATTAGTAGTAGAAAACACTAGGCCTAAACAACAATTCGAGAATGAATTCGCGGAATAAAAAGCATAAGGACTTTAGAACAGAGTGAATTTATCTGTGCCATCGTAATCGATTATGAGCCATGTCATCCAATCTACAAACAGTGGTTATCAAAATCGCCTAGACCCCGACCGGATAATCTGCATCCACCAACATGGCCTAGTCCAATAGTTAACAACCAACCTACTCCAGCTCACTGTGGGTTGCGGTAGGTGGTGGCTGGGCATACGTAATACATATCCCAACTACTTCGGTCGGTGAAGCGTTATTACCTTATCAACAGATTTTTCATTTCTATCTCAGCGTTGCTTCCTCAGTGGTCTCAACATATGCAAGCAATATACTGATGACCAACCTACGAATATATATATAATATTAAGTAATACATATGAAGTTACTGAGTGTCAAGTAACTTGGTTTCTGTAATATGACAGAATAAATCTAAAAGCAGTTGACTAAAGTCTAAAAATATTCAGTTATCAGCTGAAGTCATCTACAATTATAGCTAACTCATAAATATGAGTAAAATTAATCTCCCCAGTTTTCAACTGGGGAGTGCCTTTTTACAGTCCAAATGATGAAATTCTCTAAATAAATGAACATATTAGTGGAAGATGTAAATAACGAGTTTTGTAGAGATCAATTTATATCAACATAAAAAAATGATAAGCAAGTGTTTTCATACAGTTAAATCGAATGTAAACCTTATCTACGTGTGATAAAAAAATAATAAAGCAGATAGAACAGGAACCTATGTTCCTTAAATTAAATATATGGCTACTATTAGTTTTGAACGCTCGGCAGAAATCCATCAGGTAACAACTATGAAAAAGAGAAACTAGCATTAAATTTTGAGTACAATTCTTAATTAGGTATTGTAGATAAACATGGTATTGTGTACAGTTAAATACTTTTATACGAGAAACTTTAAATACAGAAACCACAGAATATACCTTCGGTTTTCGGCATATAAATGTGAAACCCTGGAATTTTGTGGATTTGTTCTCCAGCCCCTGCCTTAGGACGAAGTTCTACTGAGCCACATATCGCCAGATGACCAACAAGAGCCACAAGAGTTTTTAAGGAGTTTTCGGAGTCTGGAGATCGATTTTCCTCAAGTCTAATTAAAAGAAATAAACAAAACAAAGAACTTAAAGTATTTAAGATGATTTGGATATGTATTACACGCTAAATTTAAAGTAACTATGTGTAGTAGATTTCATGATTAGAACAGAAACTGGAACTTCTTGCCTTAAAACCTACAACTAATTACAATATATAACACAAAAAATTACACTTTAGACAAGCGAAGTTTTATTTGGAGAAAACGGACATTGAACTCTCTCAACAAAAGTTCTACAACAACCCAAAAATGAGTTTACTTTAAAGCATTCAATCTTTGTTACTGGAGTTGAAAAAGCCGTTATTAATGTTATATATGCTCTATTACCAAACACAATAATTGTCCGAATACCAAACTAAAACCATCCAAGAAAGCATTTCGCAAAATTCAAAACAAAAATAATAATAATAATAAAGTTTATGTCGATTAAAGCAGCGATTGTATCAAAATCTCACAGTAATGTAGATTTTTAAAAAATATGGGGTCCATATACTCGTATCCTTCAAGCCTAAACAAACAATACCGACACAAACTTGAAAAAACTGCAAATAACAATTAACTTAGTTCCGATTTCAATTGACCTGTTTTTACAATCTTCTTCTTGTGATTCTTAAACGCACCTATTGATCCTTTTTCCCGACCACTTTGGTAAAAATACTGTCAGCACTGTCTTCAAGAGCACACGTTCACACAGGCTTTTGCGATCTAGAAGCCTTGAAGTGCAGACAATATGCAGAAAATCATGATTTAGTTGGGAATATTTTTTTCGATTTCCACCCTAATATATTTAGCACTTTATGAAAATTCATTTGTTGCAAAACCACTGTGAAGGATTTGTCAGAGAACAAAAACAAATTCACAAAAGACATCAAAATATATTGAGGTGACAAACAAAGATACATATTGAAAGGGGATTATTAAATAATAGGAACAACTTAATAAAATGTCTTTTTCCAACAAAGTAACTTACTTGAGACAGAAGTCGCTAAGTACAAGGTATCCATTATTGCTTCGGAAATCATCCAAAAGAATCTGGTCATCAGTAGATGATTCTCGAACAACATGAAGCAGTGAGACAAAACTATTCACAAAATCTTTCGAACCTGACTTGCTTTCAGAGAGATTCTTGAGACTGTGACGAATACATTCCGAGTCTGAAACCAGAATAATATCGTAACATTTTTGAACTGCTTAGAGTACACTAGATGAAATTTCATACTACAAAAATCGAAACACTGAAACAGTTGGACACATATAATACTCATGATGGAATTTGCATCAATTTTGTCACAAGACACTTCACAGTCTAATTACATTCTGCTTTCACTTGAAAGCCTATCAGAATTTAACAAAATATGTCATCATTATTTGTTTCGTATAATATCGAGAGATATTTTAATGGATTTGAACTTGGAATTGATTTGTTTGTGAGTGAGACAGACTTTTATTGCGTGCATAAAACTAAATTTTAGCTCTCATAATTCAGTGTTTGCTTAAGAACTCAAACCGCATGAGGTATACCTTTAAGGATTATTTAGTATAGAATTAAGCACTAGGTAACTCACCGTGTATGCACTTTGTTACAACAGGAGTCAGAGAATTCTGAGCAATTGTAGACAATACCACAGTGGCTGTCACTCGCCAAGAGGCATTATGAAGTGCGCACCAATCTGTTAGAGCATTGAAAAGATGACATAAAGCATCTTTACGAGCCAATTCCTCGGCTACTACGGGATACAAACAGAGCCGCTGAAGTAGCTGAACAATAATCACAAAACATCAAGAAAACTAGAACCTAGTTAGTTGTAAAACAATAATTAACAATGTGCACACTTGTAAGACAATGTAAAAGCTTACATAGGAATGCGGTGCTAACAGTTGCGACTTTTCAACTAAGAGAAAAGTATGAACGGAAATCAAACATAAACCGTGCTAGTATTTTAATACCGTACAAAGAACGAGTCATCTTAACAAGAATCCATAAACACTAGGTTTTGCCTTGCTGATGGCCCCAGTCCAAAATCTTAAACTCCCAAGACGGTTAAGATCAGTTAGACTTAAAGAGTTGATAAAGTATATCAGACTGACTGTATCTAGCCTTTTTACAAAGCTAGCAAGCGGAAAATAATTATACACGGAAATCAAATACAGTTTAAACAATTAAAATGAGACTAGTAATAAACTTTCAATCAATATTCATTAAGGCCTTGAAGGGAGAATTATTGTATGCTGGTTTGTGAACCTGCACACAAATGGAAAAGATGTACCGAAGACCTTAAAAGGAGTGAGGGTCGTGCGAGATTTGAGAATTACAACTAATATTTTAAACAACAGTAAGAGAAACTTATATTCCTCATAAATCTATACATATTTCTTTTATTGCGTTCACTTATTTTAAGTACCCGGAAAATATTATCTCCAAAGGCATATATTAGAAGTATAGTTGTTCCCAAAAACGTGAATTTATGTTAATCATGACATACTTCTCGAAACTTTGTATGGAATGTACACCGAGTGGAATATTTCTCAGGAAGATCAAGAAATATGTACAAGCATTTGACCAATGTAGATGGTACTGAAGCGGCTGCCATGCATTCAATTAAACTAGTATGTCCAGTGCTCATTAAATTTAAAGAGTTTAGTAGATATGACCCTTTATTGGTAATTACAGCGTGTTCATAGTCAGTAACTTCGAGACAGTCCCCAACGTTCTCATCTGGCTCAAGAAATTGGGCAATAGTAAGGCCTCCTTCCTCTAAAAAAAGGTGAAACAAACAAGAATTATAGTACCTGAAGACTTGTTCGCCGCTCTGGCCTTAATTTCACGCACAAACAATTGCGAGACACGTGCACAAAATATATGTATATCTGGGAATTTATCAACAAAGTCCACGGGTTGGGCATCGTGAAAAACCTAAACTACAATGGAACTAAAAGGAAACAGGTAACCTTGCAGAAGTATGGAAGTGTGTTATATAAAATAGTATCCTTATCGTCATTGTTTTGAGCTTGTACGTACTGATTGAACAATGATAGCAGTCTGCGACAGTCAAAAGATATAGGTGAGCTGGTTGCTCTGTTAACACTTTTCGTCAAATGCCTCCTCATGAAGTGCATGACCCGAATCCTGTTTATATACTCACTAACCAAACCATACAGTAAGAACCAAATGACCTCCAAAAGCTGGATTAAGCGCCTAAAAACCACAATCCAAATAGCGTAATATAAACTATCCACAATCCATTACATCTGTAACGTTAGTTATCAGACAGATTTATTTATTTTAGCAAGTGCAACATAGTTCTGCAATGCCTGGTGTTAGATGTTCAGTATAAGCAAATTCTGAATAGCATTTGGAAACAAATGGAAAAGATTTTCCGGGAAAAAATCAGATGAAGAATCCTGGTGGGAGGCTTATGCTCCTCCACGAGAGGTAACAGTAGTAAGTTGGTTAGAGCTGCTAGAGCCAACAGATATATTGTTACTGAAACGTCTACTGGTTTGCTATAATATAGAACTACATGTCTAGAAGAGGAGTGTAAAGATTAAATTAGCTTATTCACTCCTTGAAGATGAGAGAAAAGAAATGTCGTGCAAACACAACAAAAATGAATCAGTTACCAAAAAGGTTGATATTCAACAAATTTTATGTCGTAAGAAGTTTAGATAGATGGTTGACCGTGAGAATTGAGATAAAACCCAATGTAACAGTTTCCATGTATGGATGTGCTCATATATCTGCGAAGAACCTCTCGGCCTGCATTTCACATGACATCCCTTTTTTACTTTAAACATAACGCCTTTTATTTCGTTCTCTTTATTCACTAGCATTGTGTTCATCTTTCAGTATGTTTGCAATTGTTATTGTGCTGTCTATAGATTTGATACTTCGAACAACTCATTTACGTCACAACAACTTATTTCACTTTCCTTTCGCTTAAAGTTATATTTCAGGGGCCCATATAGTTAACAGCCGTAGTCTTTATTGCTCTTTCTTGATTCCACTAATTTGACCCGTTTGTGTGGAACAGAAACATTTTCCCAATTGTAAGGAGCATCTAATGTCGTTGACAAACAACGAACAGTATAATTCTCCCACGTCCTGGGTTGTGATAATCTTATAACTGTGTTCGAATCTTTTCAGATGGTCAAACTGACGTATTCTATTCTTTGGACAGTGGTGTTACTTGACTGATGTAAGTTGAGTTTTACCAAGAGTTGTTATAATTACCCCGTGTTCTTTGGAAGAAATATTGTTTTCATATATTTTATTTATTATTGTACCTACATTTTCTATGGCAGTACCTCTTCCGTAATGTTGTGCATGTTCTTCTATTCTATCGCACAAACTTTGCTGACCGCCATTGTCCTTTGGTCTATTTGGAGCCAAAGAGAGTCACTGATGAAGAGGCCAATGGCACAGATATACTGTTATTATAGGAATTCCCACAATTCTGAACTTCACAACCGCTTCAATGAAAAGACTTCAAGCGCTATCACAACTATTAGTACTTAGACATAATCCTGATATTGAAGACAAACACTGTGCTCTGACTGGTTTATCACAGCTGGTTGACGTCAAGAAAAGCTAACGTTTGTCATCAAGTAAATTGTATAGAGCCAGCACTTGTGGCAGCTTGACTTCAGCCCATCTACACGGTGATCTCTTTAATTGATTCTCTGAAAATGTAAACTAATCTTGTAAGACCCCACCTCAGAATTTGTTAAGGAAAGTTTATAGCCTGATACCAAGCATAGTAGTCCAGGTTGTGGAGTTGTTGGATTATGGTCTACTATGATATTAGTACTGCTCTAATAATGGACCTCAGCCTGAAATTGTAGAGTTATCATGATATAACTGCTTAATCTATGTGATCTTACGTGGAAGTCACATCACTGTCTACACTGACTCATCTTTTCGTAACGATTACCAATATATGATGGAGAACACATTCAGACTGGAAATAGAATAATATATTTATTATAAGTAAAAGACAAAAGGTAATATTCAACAGGAACGACGCCTGCAAGGCCGAGCCATGCCGTTCGGCCAACTCGGATTAATTCCATTCATTGTTCCCGCCTTCTTCGTCGTTGGGTTTTACTCTGCGCTAAATGTCGAATATCTATTTCTCCAACTGTCTCATGTTGAGCTTTGAGGATTGTGTAGTTATAGCCCAATGCCACTACAGAGTCACTGAATTATGTAGGTTCAACCTAAAGTACATACTTGAAGTCAATACGCCAATGCGATCAATAAATTGGTAGGATTAGGAGTAATAGTTAGACAGTATGATTTAACTCATTACACTGATTATAGTTTCAAACCCACTACGTCCTAGGTGACATCGAGTTACCAAACGACTGCCAGACAAAATGTATAATTTAACTTCGAACAGTTCTATCTCCTGAACACAATACCGCTTAAAAAATTGTGGTCGATGTAAAAGCAGCCCTCACTTCAAGATTTTTCATGGCTTATGTCCTGTAGATAAACTAAATATGGTTCCTAAACCCGACTTTATGCTTCTAGATGCATTAAATCTACCTGATACAGCCAGCCATACTACCCGAACTCTCTACTATAAGTAGAAAATTTATAATACATGAGTGAACCTTCTTGCGATGTAAGGAATTTCATTGGCAAACCATGCTTCCGTAGCATATTATAAACTGCCCATTACATAACCTTCATGAGTTTTGAGTGAACAGGTACTTTCGTGAGATTTATAGGCGTATTAAGGCAGTCTACTTTGAAACTTGAAGTGATGCTGTGGTTGTATTTATTACTAATCACACGATCTTTGAAGCTGAACACATAATTACCGAAATCTACATTCAATGTGCAGCACTCAGAGGATGCGCAAAATGCTGAGCGCGGGAATACAGGGTTATAAAAGTGGCGTAGCTCGGCCATGCAGGCGTGGTCACTGTGTGACATATTCCTTTTCATATTATACGTACTAACCCTAGCCCAAACGTGTTCTTCAGAACAGCTAAACATCATATTGTTGACTAACACCATAGGACATAACAGTATATAAAATGATGTGACCTCCACTTAAGATCTTATATATTAGGTAGTCAATCGTCACAAATTTACAATTTTGGGATTAAGTTTATCGTTCTAATAACCAAGATAAGTGTACTAATATCGAACTAGATCATAATCCTACACTGATGAGCCTGACTAAAGAAATGGAGCCTGCTATCAATTCTCATATTCACTTTGGCTTAATAGATTGATTTTTACTTATTTTAACCCACTGCTCTATTAGTTTATTGATTAGTGCTCACCTGTATTTTATCATGATATTGGTTAGTACTCGTAACCCTCTATTCTGTATTTAGGGCAATCAATAAAAATAGGTTGCGCAGTGTTCATCTGCTCTGTATCACTCTTCTGTCTCAAGTTTTTTACTGCTATATGTTCTACTTGTGAAAGATAAAAGTAATATAATACATTCAGTATCTAGACACTTACTTGAGACAATAACGGTAGTAGTGACACATTTTACAAAACTGCCGTCATATGACGCTCAACAACAGAAGCATCCAAGGTACTTCCTTGTATTTATGAGTGGACCGATCTGGACAAATATTCTCACTTTTAGCGGTCTGTTATGGAAGTCACTACAATTTCGCTGTCATTCTTAGTAAAGTGTAAATTATTCTTATAGGTCGATGTCACTGCTGCCTTACATGTAATCTGTCAATAAAATTAATCGCTGATATGTTAGAGTGAGGAGGAATAAAATAAATACAAAAGATCATTATCACCTCCTCCACGATTCCTCTCAACTGCAGTTGTTAGGAACTAGTTACATTATGGTGTACACAGAATCTTATACTGTTCATTTTCTACTTCTGATGCTTAAACACACAAACGAAAATGAAAATCAAGTAACTCCAGTTACTAGACTTATGCGCTTCAACACTTTGTAGTGACAACGGGCCCTAATCACACAATCTACGAGACACCTGGGAAAAGATATTCAACATCCAACGCGGAGAAAAACCCAATGATGGAGTAAGCGGGATGAATTTAATTGAATCTAATCGGGTGGCATGGCTTGCAGGCGTTGTCATTCTGTATGACTAGTTTTTACTCATATCAAATATATTATTCTATCTCCAGTCTGAATGTGTTCTCTATCATATATTGGTAATTGTTACGATACGATGAACCAGTGTAGACAATGATGTGAAATCCACGTAAGACCTTATAGATTAGGTAGTCATATCACGACAAATCTACAATTTTAGGATTAGGTCTATTATTAAAGCAGCACTAATAACGAAGTATACCATAATTCTATTACTTCCTTGAACTAAGGTTATTATATTGACCAAAACGAACTTTGATACAACCAAGTATATTAGATTAAAGAGGTGTAGTAATTACCTTCGTCTGAATGGAAGTCTTACAGAAAATAGTTTACTATAGACAATTAAGACTATAAACCCAAAAGGCAAACTATAGGCCAATAAGACTTACCTAAAAAAGAAACGATATTATTTCGGGATGGAAGACTGCAGTCATTTAGGCTTCAAAACACACCCTACAGCACGACTACCAGAACTAAACCTAGTCTCAAACCGTACTTCATTATTCACCGACGGTCTACTTTGAAACAATGTCCACTATTATTAGGTATTCTACAACTTGAAATATCAGTCCAGCATGCAATGCACGTATTCAATGTAATGTAGCCTGGCAAAAGTAATACAAATTATAGTCACAGCGACCAGCACAATAAAATTTGATTTTTATTAAAAAATAACATGATAATGTGGTAAATTCACTGACTACATAAGTGTAAGCATGACCGTTATTGAAGCCCCTGATACAATTAGTTGACTTGACAACCTTGTGTTTATTTCTACTTATGAAAAGCAAGGTCCGTATCAAATCTCTCTCCATGACCTCCAATGGCTCCGCCAAATGGGGGCATTCCGTATTTGAAGTCATTACAGCTAGTGGAGCGTGTATCAGCTTGCATCAATTTGTAGTCGTCGCACAATTAAATGGTCTGTCGACATCTAAAAACCTAAGGGGTTGCATAAACTTATTTAAGCTGAATCATCTTTCTTCTTCTGTAGAAGTTGCATTTATGTCGGGAGCTGTCGATCAAAAATCTAACGCCATACCCGCATCGTTGAAGACCGTGTTGCATTGCAAAAATAACGAAATATTGGTAAATACAATGACATGCAGTTCTAGAGATTATTTACTTACGTTAGTGGGAAACTTTCTGTCGCTACTGGTGAAGCTTCGAGTTATCGAAATGTTTCGGTTGACACTAGTGAATATTTTGGGCGGCTGGTGCTAATAAAACCTCTTTTATTTTGAGATGATTTCCGTAAGAGACTTAACGAACTTCAACCCGTAAGTTAAACGCAATTCCGTAACTTTGTAAACCAAACACACTCACTACATTTATATGGAAAGAGAAGATTAGTACGTTTTGACATTATTGAATGTTTACAGTAATGTTGTGCTTTTGTAGTCGTTCAAAGACAAGGTCCAGATGCTGGTGATGAAATTCTCTATCCGGACGTGCAATGAAACAGTCATCTACACACGTTTGTACGAAGTTGCTACCGCGAAAAACGTAATCGATAAATCTATGGAAAGTTTGTGTAGTACTTCTCAATTTTGGGGCCAAAAAGGTTGATGATAGCGATTTTAAGAATGTCATAAGCAACCACTGGAATTTAGTTACACGCTTTAACCAAATCGGTTTTTCCAAAAAACGGTCGTAGCTTTCAAGATGCCTGTCAAATCGTAAATTTGCAGCAAAGGGTTACAACGGGGAGTAATTTTCTTAGTAAATTGCCGATGGTCTCCATTTCAACGCCAATTATTACTGGTCATTTTCGAGACCGTGTACGAGGGAGATGCCGATGGGCCATTTGATGTCCAAATAATTCCCAAGTCTATCATGTGGTTGAATTTGATTTTAACCAGGCTTAGCTTTCCAGGAGCTAATCGGCACGATTTCGAGAACATAGGTGATCCTGTAGTTATAATGTGGTGTGTAACTCTGGTTACACATGGTAATTTTGGTATACTTCGGGTACTTGTCGAGCATCCGCTGATAGCGTGGGTCGATTAAGTGCTTAGCAGTGACTAGAAATAGTCTTTAACCAGAAAACAAGTATATACAAACATATAATTCAGTATTTCTATCAACTAACCTCCGTTTGTTCGTGTCGATGAGTATGTTATGGTGTTATAGCAGGTTCATACTAATGATTGGCATAGAAGCATCTGCAACATGAAAATCCAGTGAAACGGTTTGTGTAAACACACATTAGGACAATTATATCACTTGCCGTATACAGCAATCGGTTTTCCATTTGCTACCTGTAAGTTAAAGACTGGTTCGTGCAGATATTTTTCAGAAATTGAGGGAAGGACACCAACTTCAGCGTTAGTGTCGACAAGGTAGCATACTTTCGTCATCACATCTATAATGTATAGCAGACGGTTATGATCGCTGGCTAAGGTTGCCGTCAACGCATGCCGGCTGTAAGTTTCCCGAAAGGTTTATCGTGCCAGACGGCTTGAAGATTAGCAAACAGCAAAGTTTCTTGCAATATCTAGAAGACTAACTTTAGATGATGTGTTACCAGCACGAATCAGGATTATATGCCTCTCGTAGTCTTGAGACAAAGCTTTTCCGTGACTAGCTTTTCCGAGGAGTTCAAGAGTGTTTGCGGTTATGATGAATGATAAAATAACGATTGAGGCCTTTCTTTGACAGAATAAACCTCAGCGCTTGGAGTCCTTGCAAGCTCCAGATTCTGATCGACAGATGCAGTCATTTCGCCTCCGGCGTTGTTTCGGGATGATATCAGAACCGTCCGCACATGTTGAAACAGCGTAGACAGGAGCAGCTTTCTAGACAGAACGTCGGTCTCTCACATATGTAGCAACACTTCTGACGCAGTTCAGCGTTGCGGAAAGGCCGGTCAGGTCTCTACGTTTAGAAACAACCTTCTTCAACGTGTTGTAAGGTTCCAGAACTTCGCTAGTAAACATACTACGTCTGACGTAACGTTGAAACTGGGCATTAATCCCTTCACTACTACTCGGAAGTATGCAAGTTGGTTTGTAAAGCCGTGCTCGTGGAAGTCAGCTTCTACGCAGAAGAACTAAGCTTCGATATTATCGGGCTAGAATGGTATGATTTGGAAGGTGGGAAGTGGAGTCTTAATTACTAACAACTTAGGGATCTCGTTCGTTAGGATGACGATAAAATATAGTAATATCCGAAAATATCAAAACAATATTAATTTATGTAAAAATAGAAGCTAACAAAATAGCATAGTTTTCCAACAAGGAATAGACCCATACTTTGTTGTTTGATGTACCAGATCACGTTGGGCTCACAATTAAAGAGCTTGACAGCACTTTTATACGCAACACCTCTACAATCGAAGCATACCAACCCAGTCAAATCAGAAGCCAGAAATGAAAAAGCTTCACAGTATATTTGGAAAGCTTTCAATATGTCGAGAAACCTTCGATTTAAGCTGACTGACAGTTGCAAGGGATGCTTAACACGTCGTACTCACTTGTGATCTGATGCGGATGCTTGACCGAGTGCCTTCAACTGTGGTGTGTACAGTAAAACGAATGGGGTGAGCACCAATGTCGAAGACATACAGGATGATATATCTTGAGAACTTATTTGCCGCTACAGAGGAATTAACACCTACATTTCCGAATACCATACAAGTACATTTTAGATACTGTAGGCTCTTGATGCTAGGAAGAGATGGCCGTCCAGTGCTTCCAGGGTTTCAACTGTGGCCTAACACGGGCCATAATCTCAATTAAAACTCAACACTTTCCGCCACCCTATACTGATAATCTCGATATATAAATTGAATATCACTTTGATTAATTGGTTCGCGCAATCTCATCATACCAAATATACTCGATGTGGCTGCAAACCGAATTTTTTATCTGAAAGTGTATCAGATCCGTAAAATAACTTAATCAAGGCTTAATACTAAACAAAATAAATAATATGTATAAACAAATCTTAATACTATAAATCAAAATAGAACTATATGAATAATATGACGACAGAAGAAATAGCAACTAAAACAAGGTGACATATTGATTAACAAACTGAAAAAACAGTGAAGTAAGTATTACTTGAAAGCTTTTTCTGGGATAACTACCGCTAATGGAGTTCACTACATCAAGAAACAGGCGAGACTCTAATTTAAGGACGCCCTTTGAACGAATCTTCAGTGACCTTGACAATTATTAGCCAATCAGAAGAAAGTATAAAGTGAAAATATATTATATGAAAGTAATGAATTACAGTGGATATTCTTCTTTTACATGACTTAAAAACTTGTTAAGGTTTGGTTAAGGTTCAGAGGTTCTGAATTCACAATACATATGGAAAAGAAACTCGTCCATTGGGTTCGAGTTAGGTTCACGGGTAAGGTTAGGGTTAGGGTTAGTTGAGGGTTAAGGTTTAGGGTTAGGTGAGGGTTTAGGGTTAAGGTTAGTGTTTAGGGTTAGGGTTAGTTAGGGTTAGGGTTAGTTGAGGGTTTAGGGTTAAGATTAGGGTTAGGGTTTAGGGTTAGGGTTAGGGTTAGTGTTAGGGGTTAGAGTTAGGTGAGGGTTAAGTTTAGGGTTAGGATGCTAACATACGAGTTTTTAAATCATGTCAAAGAAAAATATCCACTGTAATTTATTACTTTCTTTTAATATATTTTTACTTTTTGCTATCTTCTGATTGACTAAGAATTGAAATTGCTCAAACGCTTCTGATGGGCACGTCCCTTAATTAGAGTCTCGCCGTCCCATCTTTTGTAACCTTTCAATAATCACCTACTCTCTAAAATCCGCTGTGAACGGATCGTTTGTTTGCTGCGCGTGTTGAACTTGGCTCCGTGACCTTGAAATTGCTCAAACGCTTCTGATTGGCTCGTCCCTACATTAGAGTCTCACCAAGAAACATTCTTCTGCATAGTTGAAACCGACGATATGAAAAGAGATATGAATCCAATAGCTGCACCGAATAATTCTTAAACAGTTATGTTCCACCATCAATGGTGTGCTTCATAAAGTTTTTCTGATAGATTTCTAATTACGATTACTTTACAGCGCAGTGCTGCCGATAATAATAACCCACTTGTCAGATTTAAGTCCCGAATAGATACCCTTTAGCTACTAGCAATAACGTCTTGAGCTGCAATTCATCAGTAGTGAAAGGAATGTAGATTTTGGAGGGACGAGCCCTCCTTTCTGTGTCAACTTCGTCCACAAAATTAATTAACCTCCAACAATCCGTCACCAAATGACCAGGAAAACATACTGCTACCTAAGATAAAGCACAGTATTTTTAATATCAAGACATGATTGTAAAGAAATCAGTTAATTTACACTAGCTCATCAAGAACATATTGTTTATTGAATTATAAATTTATTGTATGATGTGCGAACAATAAGTTATGCGTTACTCTAATGGGTGTATTAGGGTTACAACTGGCAACAACGCTAGTGGCTGCAAGTGTTCTGTCAAAAGTCATTTCTTTCTTCTCGTTTACACGTTTCTTAATTACGGGTCTCACGCGATACGCCGTACCAACAGATCAACAACTTCTAGAAGCTAGTGGGAACTGTAAAGTAAAGATCAAAGGTATGTTTCTATAGCTTAAATTTTTCTTTCGCGTCGCTTGTCCTAAATTAGGTACAAAAAATACACCACCGCAATATCGTTACACTATTCTATATGTGTTTCTCGAACAAATGTCCCGGATACTTAAATCTGAGTTACTTTGGTCTCATTTATCATGTTTACTGGACGATATAAAATATAGACATAATAGGGTAAAAAAAGTATGTCGATTTCTCACTCGTCATAGAATTATGTCCATTAGCAGACTTAGTTTAGTGCTGCACTGCTGTTCTAGGTTGCCAATGATGATGACATATCGCGTACGTATTCTATTCATTGTTTTCCGTTCAATTATCTTTCACACACAACCTGTCAAAATTTCCTAGGTTCTTTTTGTCAAAGACTGATGGGCTCTCATCTAATTGCTGAAGCATAAGATTTGTCTTTAAGATGGTCTCTTTGAGAATTGAAATGTTAGTTACAACAAAATCAAACGAATTCTGTAAAACCAGCTTTATGAACTCGTTTCCCTTCTAGCTTATAGTTTTTTCTATATGTAAAATAACTTTCGAAGTGTTTTTGTGGGTCCACTTTTGCATTTGGTTGGTACGGATGTAAATCAGTTATACTTAACAGTTATAAGATCAGTGACCACAATTCCTAGAATATTGGCACAATGTCCGTGTATCTGACTATCGGAACACGATACTAATGTCTTATGGTGTTTATATTAAAGTCTAACTTTCAGTGTTTCCCGAAAACATGTGGGTCATTCCAAAGTCATCTCAGTCGTTTTCATTTCCCGATCTCGATAGCTTTTTCATAAGCTGTATCTAAAACTTCGTCCAGCACTAATAGTTGTCAATGAATGGGTTTGTTGTTCTATGATGTTTAGGCAAAGCGAATTGTTATCAGGTGCTTTCAAGTTTTTGCCTACATTATACATTCCATATTTATGACTTCTAACCTCAAGAAATATATGTAGATACTCATCCATGAATGTCGAGACTTCTCGAAAATTTAGTCTAGATTTGAATCATAACTTCTGTATCGAAAAATTAGGAGTCTAAGTTAGATCTGAAAGCCGCATAAAAATTAGTGTATTGGATAAACTGTTTAAACGGTTGTGTGAAGATGAAGGGAATTTACCGGCGACCTAATTATAAAATGTGGTGCCTAAGACCTGACACGTCAATCAGGAATCTGACCAAAAATCCACTAAATCTCAGTATCATGATGACATTAGTCCTAATCAGTAAACTGCGAAGTTGATCTTTATAAAATCCTAAAGACTGCTGTGACAAATGTGAATTAATACAAACTTAATGTTCTGTCATAACTCTTTCTTCATTTAAACTACGAAAATAATTTAAAAACCTCTATAATTACTTTAAAAAGGTTCAAATCGTAGAAAATATTCCTTCATTTTGTATATCTACCTTTTACAATTTTACATGTCTATCGAAAGTTATGGGTTTACTTATTGAACTCCAACAATTAGTAGAGACATTATTGCTCGTCAAAATATACCTTACTTCCCACAAATTAAATTAATATATGCTCCTTAGTGAATAAGGAGACCTGAATGTGGAGCAGCAGCTTATTTCTTAAGCGACGATGTTTTCAATCAAACATTCGAAGTCCACTCTCAATATCTGTATGAGAGGGTGGGTATTATCAAAAGTACTTACAAACTGTGACGAAAGGCCTATTGTATTTACATATTCCCCTCATGAACTACACAACCTACAGTATTTAAACTGCTGTGTGTTGTAATTAACCACTTCAAAAGAATAATCAACCAGAAGCTCTTTACATAAGCAATCAAACACAACGTGAAAATCTGGATGTGATCACTTTAACACGATTTTTCACAATTCAATCTAGGCCTTTTTAGTTTACTTCTTATTAAATAAAAGTATAAGACATTCGTGAAACCTAAAAAAGTACGACTGATAAATCTTATCGTTGACCCACTGTTAGCGGGACATAGACTGGACTAAAGCATGCTCAATGCACGATCGCTTTGGTGCATGCCAATACTTAGTGAACACTAGAAATCTCATGTGAAAAACTATAAATATACCAACGTTTTCCCTATTGCGCTCACTTGCTTCTTACTTCCATCTAACCTTGTTATTTGGAATATAATCTCTTTCCTGTCCAACCGTGTTCTGATTTGGGGACTTGTCGAGTGAATCGGTGTCCGAGAATACTAAGCAATAGGAATAGCTGGGTTATAACCGTAAAAGAGAAATATAACAACCCACCATATAAATATGTTTCTACCAAGTATAATTGCAAGTTAGGCATTTGTCGCATATTTAAATAATCTATAAAATTTATAATTAGTGACCATCCAATTCCATAAGGGATATTGCAAGGACGTGTGTTAATGTTGTATTTGCTACGTCATAAAAATTGTAACTGAGAGTACGTTCTACAACATATCGCCCATCTTGAAACATAACCTCTTTTTTATTTCAGGAAAAAGAAAGAGAAATGACTTACTTTCTGGATCCCCCAATGGAACAACTTGTCACTCTGATACTTTCTATTTTCCCCGCTCCACAACCATTCATTTGAAGCAATCACATGTATCTACTTCTGATATAGCCATTTTACCATTATATTCTAGTCACCAATGGCTAGTCGACTTCACCGTTTGTGCTTCTTGTGTATATTTAATTAACGAAGTAGCCTATAATTGTATCATCCCATGGTATGAGGGTTTTGACCGAAATCAAACAAAACTGTCACGTGCCAATACAAAACAAGATTCCTCTTATCCCGTATCTCTCAATGTACGTATCAATTTAAGTCTAGTTTGGATGACTTTAAGCCTTTGGTTCACCATTCGCACTCTCGTTTCCTTAACAGCAATATACTTTCAATCTAAAAATAATGCCACAAAAATCGAATCTCGATCTTCTAAATTCACTACAAATACAGCACTTACAAACATACCTTCAAGTGAATGCATACTCATCCTTGCAGCTGGCTTTTTCTTCCTCGTTGCTGCAACTTTAATTCTTTCCCTTGATGGAACGTTGGTTGACTTTGGTCTTCAAGCTGCTTACGGGAATTTGACTTTTGGAGAATTCTCATCTTCTAAATCTCCAATTATTAGTTGGGGTGCATTTAATTTTATTCTAGCTGTTATAGCCTGTATAATTGGTTCACTGTTTGTTTATCCAGGAATAAAATTTGGGAAGATATACTTAGACACAGTTAAGTACGTGTAAATTTTGTAGTGAATAATAATCGGTTTTTAATCACATTTACTGTGCTTGTATTTTAATTCCTTTGTAGATTATCCAAGCAGCGTTTATTAAATCATTCATTCCCTTTAGACTTCAGGCTCTAGAAAACTATCAGTACCCTAGTTTCACAGAAGAAATTAAGTGTCCTAGGCTTTTCGTACCAGACTGTAAATTTTATTTATTTATTTGAACACATGAATATTGGTACAAGGGGGCACCAGATATATATGCGCCACATGAAACAATGAGAATGTGAAGAGAAAAAGAATTTAAAGTGCGTATGAGAAAGAAAAAAAGAACAATAACGACCACATCTTAGTGTATGGTAGTGTAATAATAATAACAGTAGGGGAAACGGAAAGGTACAACCAGAAGAATTCTTTCAGTTAAGGAAGACACAACCACTTTTTATGAAGAAAGTAAAAGAAGGTCACAGCAGCATAGCCATTGGCTTCTATTCTGAGCCATATCTGATAACGTCTCAAGCCACTGTGTTGTACCATCTCTCGGACCCCAGCCAGGGAGTCGAGAAGGACCAACAGAAGCCAGCCCTTTGCAACTTTCTTTCATACTACGACACCACCTCCTCTTTTTCCAACAAGTTCCAGAGTCGGCAAATAATGCTCTACGTGGAATTCTCTGGGACGACATCCGGAGAACATGTCCAAGCCACCAAAGTCGGTGTTTCAAGATGGTGACACCGATTGGATTATTGTCTCTGTGCTCGAACACACGATGCCGAACCTCTGTATTACCAACATGGTGTTGCCACTGGATGTCAGCAATCCTGACTGCCAACTGACTAAGTGCGGATTGCATGGCTTGGGCATTATCGCACAATAAGACAACATCATCCGCATACTCAAGGTCGAGAAGTCTTTCTCCAGGCAACAGATCGACACCACCACTACTTACACCCATCAGAGCTGTTTCCAGAATGTCTTCGACGGCAAGATTGAAAAGGGAGGGTGAGATTGGGCAACCCTGCCTAACTCTACTTCGTGGATGGAACAATGGAGAAAGGTGGTTGTATGCCCTCACTCTACCTGAGGTGTTTGTATATAGGGCTTTTAGGATGTTAATAAACTTCTCAGGCACACCCTTCTTCAATAGACAATCCCAGAGAACAGTCCTGTCCAACGAGTCGAAGGCAGCCCTGATGTCAAGAAACACAACGATTGTTGGCCTTTGATAAGTATGACGGTGTTCTAACATTTGGCGGAGGGTGAAGATGCCAGACTGTAAAATGTGTTTATGTTGAGAATATATAACGTCTACATATTCTGGAACAAAGTCCTGTAATTAATCCATGGTTTTGCTTATCTGATTCTTCGATAAATATTTTTTTAACTCTAAGTGATTAATAATAAATATATTGTAGAGAGCGGAGAAGTCAAGTAGGGACAACTGATTTATTGTTTAGTTCTTTCGTAAAATGTGGAAACAATACATTAAATACTTCATTTGCAAATCTTCCATCAATTGTCCTTTACAACCTTCATGATTATTCCAATTCTCAGTTCCTTTCAGTTTTCTTCAGTTCAGTCTTCTCACCCTTCTTTTGACAGGCATTCCTTGTCCGATTGATGTTACACACTACTCATGTCCGTCGATATAGGTGGCATACACCACAATGAGTGAAATTAAGTCTTATCGCCTTACTAATCGTTGACAGAAAGGTTATAGCATATAAAAAAACACTGTAAAGCTTTTGATTTTATCATTACCATTGTTTTCGATCTATCTAAATTGTCTGTTGTTATCTGTGTCAAAGCTATACTTTTTCATGCTTTTGAATATCTAATTGAATGCTCGAACAATGAATACTATGTTTGTCATCCCGACTGAATCTATGCACACTTTCTGCTTATTTCACACAGTACGCCACGTGAATGTACTTGCTTTATCAACCCTTTCTACCTGCTTGAAATACAACAATCTTTAAACAGTGCCTGGAAAGTGATTGATCAGTAGGGTTGTAGAAATTAATTATTATGAAATGGCTTCTAAAAGCAACAATCGGAGTTAGACCAGTTATCAAAGAAGCCCGTAGAAGGTTACTCACGTTCCATTAAACCAGTTACTCTTCAACTTTCGTACCTGAACATGAAATAAATACCAAATAAAAACTGTTCCTAGAAATCTCAGTGAAAATATTTGTTATAAATACCACAAGAATAAGAACCTTCCTTATCTTAAAAATTAAATATTCTAAGTGAGTAATTTCGTAAAAACTCCGCCTGGAGCCCCTCCGGGGGATACTGCCGGTCCCAAGCCCGGATAAAGGAGGAGGTTTGGGCATGAGGTTAGCGTCCCCATCCCGTAGAAGAACTATGACGCCTCATGATGAAAGCCGAATTCCTTCAGAAGTTACGAGGCTGATGCCCCATCTGGCAACCAGAGTGACCATTTATTTAGGTACATGGAATTTTCTTACAATGTGGGACACCGGGAGAGCATTCCAAGTTGCTGCAGAAATGAGAAGATACAACCTAGAGGTACTTGGGATCAGTGAAACACATTGGACGCAAGTTGGACAACAACGACTAACTACAGGAGAGCTCCTGTTATACTCCGGCCATGAAGAAGAAAATGCCCCACATACACAAGGAGTTGCATTGATGCTGTCCAAACAAGCGCAAAATGCGCTTATAGGATGGGAATCTCATGGACCAAGGATCATCAAAGCCTCCTTCAAAACAAAGAAAGAGGGCATTTCAATGAACATCATCCAATGCTATGCGCCTACCAACGACTACAATGAAGACGCTAAAGATCAATTCTACAATAGGCTGCAGTCAATCATCGAGAAGTGCCCAACAAAGGATCTGACCATTCTGATGGGAGATTTCAATGCGAAGGTTGGAACGGACAACACTGGACATGAAGACATCATGGGACGACACGAACTGGGAGAAAGGAACGAAAATGGTGAGAGATTTGCAAACCTATGTGCCTTCAATAAACTGGTCATAGGCGGAACTGTATTCCCATATAAACGCATACACAAACCACATGGACTTCACCGGATCACACCACGCAAAAGCAAATCGACCATATTTGCATCAACAAAACGTTCAGGAGGACTATAGAGGACATGAGAACCAAGAGAGGAGCTGATATAGCATCAGATCATCACTTGCTGGTGGCCAAGATGAAATTGAAACTCAAGAAGCACTGGACAATGGGGCGGACAATATCACAAAAGTTCAATACGGCCTTTCTTCGGGATACTGACAAACTCAACAAATTCAAGATAGTCCTCAGCAACAAGTTCCAGGCCTTTCATGATCTACTCAATGGAGAAGGAACTATTGTGGAGAACAACTGGAAGAGGATCAAAGAGGCAATCACTTCAACATGTCATGAGGTCCTGGGTCACAAGAAGCACCATCACAAGGAATGGATCACTGTTCATACACTGGATAAGATTCAAGAAAGGAGGAACAAGAAGGCAGCAATCAATACCAGTCGAACAAGAGCGGAAAAAGCCAAGGCACAAGCTGAATACACAGAAGTAAACAAACAAGTGAAGAGGAGCATCAGAACCGACTAACGTAAATACGTGGAAGATCTAGGAACGACGGCGGAAAATGCTGCAAGAGAAGGAAGCATGAGACAATTGTATGACACGACAAAGAAACTCTCTGGAAATCGCCACAAACCAGAACGACCAGTGAAAAGCAAGGAAGGCGAGGTAATCACCAACATTGAAGAGCAACAAAACAGGTGGGTAGAACACTTCAAAGAACTCTTGAATCGACCAGCCCCACTGAACCCACCCAACATCGAAGCAGCACCCACGGACCTCCCAATCAATGTTGGCCCACCAATAATTGAAGAAATCAGCATGGCCATCAGACAAATCAAGAGTGGCAAAGCAGCAGGACCGGACAACATTCCAGCAGAGGCACTAAAGGTAGACGTAGCGTCAACTGCAAGGATACTCCACATTCTCTTCAATAAGATTTGGGATGAGGAACAAGTACCAAAAGACTGGAAAGAAGGACCCCTGATCAAAATACCGAAGAAAGGCGATCTCAGCAAGTGTGATAACTACAGGGGCATCACTCTTCTCTCAATACCGGGAAAAGTCTTCAACAGGGTATTGTTAAACAGGATGAAGGACTGCGTAGACGCCCAACTTCGTGACCAACAGGCAGACCAAATCGCAACTCTACAGATCATTGTGGAACAATCAATTGAATGGAATTCATCACTCTACATCAACTTCATTGACTACGAAAAGGCATTTGATAGCGTGGACAGAACAACACTATGGAAACTTTTTCGACACTACGGCGTGCCTCAGAAGATAGTCAATATCATACAGAATTCATATGATGGATTACACTGCAAAATCGTGCATGGAGGACAGTTGACAAAGTCGTTCGAAGTGAAGACCGGTGTTAGGCAAGGTTGCTTACTCTCACCCTTTCTCTTTCTCCTGGTGATCGACTGGATCATGAAGACCTCAACATCTAAAGGGAAGCACGGGATACAATGGACATCTAGGATGCAGTTGGACGATCTGGACTTCGCAGATGATCTGGCCCTTCTATCCCAAACGCAACAACAAATGCAGGAGAAGACGAACAGTGTAGCAGCAGCAGTAGGTCTCAATATACACAAAGGGAAAAGCAGGATTCTCCGATACAACACAGAATGCACCAATCCAATCACAATTGACGGAGAAGATTTGGAAGATGTAAAAACCTTTACATATTTGGGCAGCATCATTGATGAACAGGGTGGATCTGATGCAGATGTGAAGGCGCGGACCGGCAAAGCAAGAGCAGCATATTTACAACTGAGGAACATCTGGAACTCAAAGCAACTGTCAACCAACACCAAGGTCAGGATTTTCAATACAAATGTCAAGACAGTTCTACTGTATGAGATGGAAAACTGTGGCACTTCGAAACCCATCATCTAGAAAATACAAGAATTTATTGACAGTTGTCTACGTAAAATACTTCGGATCCTATGGTCAGACACTATCAGCAACAACCTACTATGGGAGACAACAAACCAGGTCCCAGCGGAGGAAGAAATTAGGAAGAAGAGCTGGAAGTGGATAGGGCACACGTTGAGGAAAGCACCGAACTGCGTCACAAGACAAGCCCTCACATGGAATCCTCAAGGCCAAAGGAAAAGAGAAAGACCAAAGAACACATTACGCCGAGAAATGGAAATAGACATGAGAAAAATGAACAAGAATTGGATGGAACTAGAAAAGAAGGCCCAGGACAGAGTGGGTTGGAGAATGCTGGTCGGCGGCCTATGCTCCATTGGGAGTAACAGCGATAAGTAAGTAAGTAAGAGTAATTTCGTAAAACCTAATAGAAAGCTGTTTAATAAATAATAAACAGTAATGTAATCGACAGCACTTTAATGTCCTTTAATTCTTGTATCATTTTTCTATGTTTAGACAATGTCCAATGTCAGTAATCAAACGTATCATAGTACATCTGAATTTCATTTGTCCAATAATTCCTATTTTACTTTGGCTTATTCCAATCACTGATCATATTTCTAATTCATTGATTACGCTCACGCATAGTAATTCATTGACTGGAAAACCTTTTCTCATCATAATTATCAACTTTATGTCTAATCTATTCATGAAACATTTGGATAGTATTCGACTAATTGTATCTTTGGCAGTTGTACTCTTTCGTCTTTCCACTGTTCGTTGGACATTACAAGTATGTGTCTGGTTTTTTATGCTCATTGTTTAGTTCATATGTACTATTGTCAGTAAAATGGATTTAAAGGATAATTTACGAGTGACTATCTTTTTTTCTGAATAGTTTTTAGGAATTCTTGAGATGCTTCTATAAAACTTTCTTTGCTAGTGTTTTTACTTAGTAATGAAACTAAATATAAAATTAGTAATTTGAATATTTTTTTCAAATTACTTTCGTATTGTTTCTATGCCATGGACACAGCACTCATATTCTTACTTAATAAGTAATCACGTCACATAAATCACTTGGTTTACTTATATACCACGATAAGTCAAGGAAAGGAAAGTAACGAAGATGACATAATTGGCAATGAAAAAACGAATTAATGAATTTTGAGCTCTGTAAATGATTTTGACCCATACCACCTAAAGCCTGTAACAATAAACTTCAAATCCCTTGTAAATTATATTGAAAACCCTTAACTCTTTTCCATACGCGTTATTTCAACAGTTGCGAATACAGGTTTACTGGAAATTAATATTTTACCATGTATATATCACGTGTATCGCATGCTTTTATGTACATGTGTATAATGTAAGCGTATAAAGGGTTTAGGAGTATACAAGTATGCAAATTGTAACTTGAAGGTCCCATTACACCTTATCATTAGAGGAATGACTTATTGTTTTAATCATTTGGTTACATGTTCACTTACTTCAGTTTGAGCACCTGAGTAGTATCATCATCAAAGCCAAATTCATGAACCCATGGGTTCTCACCTTTAAGATATATCATACTATGTAGAAATAAATATTCTCTATTTCCTGTCTTCGATGGTTCTCTACCGAAAGTTGATCTGTGATGTAAACTAGTAATTAAACAACATCTAAAAACTCATGCAAATAATAGTAATAATGTCCTCACTAGTGATTAATTTCAATCGAAATTTCCGATCTTCAAATTGAGATGCTATGCCAGGCTTGAAACAAATATCACCGGTGTCAGTGGACAATGGCTACACAATAGTTCGACTTGATCAAAGTGAAAATGTGGACCTCTGTGTACTAACTCAACAGTTTAAAAATTCAAGCGCTCACGACGAGTCATAAAGGTCCTCCTGGTTTCGATCCCTAACAGGACCCTAAGTGCGCACTTCTGGAAAGCTCCATAAATAGGACTAAATAGCTCTCCACTCTTTATTTTTCTAATGATTTTCCAACTGAAGTTAGCTTGTAATGTAAACTATCTTCAAATCAACCTATCTCCATTAGTCGCCCATACCGTTACTTGTTACATTCTACAACCAAACAATACGCAACAAGGACTTAGAAGACTGGTGCCCTTTCCCTAACGGTCGGCCCAATGCTAAATGGCTTCAAACAAAGCGGAAAAACGCAAGACCAATGTTCACTGACCCTAAATAATTATTATATTTCAGACATTCATTTATATATATACAAGGCCAGACCATACAACAGACCAACTGGGTAACAGCATTAAAACGGAACAACAAAATTAATGATGGGAAAACGGAATACTATGTACTTAAATAATTGGTTGTAGTTAATAAGTGTGTCATGAACGAGATTTAGGTGGGGACAACCAATTTATTGCTTGGTACAAAATTACAGAATATTTTGGTAAAATATGTCAACCATACATAGAATACTTAATTTGCAAATTTCCATCATTTTTCCTTGACATTCTGTATGGTTCCTCCAATTCATAATTCCTTTCTATTTCCCTTTCTATTCTCTTCAACTCAATCTCCCTAACCTTCTTCTGTTCAGTTTTCCACTTCCGACTGGTGTTACATACTATTTATGTCTGTCGACATAAGTAGCATACACCACAAGTGGAAGATGCTATAGCAAAAAATTAAGGTTCAAATAAAAGCTTAGAACTATGGTAATAAGAAAATAATTAATAAAAATGCAATCAATATATGTAAATAAAATCGTAAAAAAATAGCTTCGAAAGTTTTTACCTCATAGTTAAATAGTCTCTTACAACATTACTGATTCTAGGTGTTCTGCACTTTTTTCTCCACCATAAGTAGTGTTCTTAGAATAACTAAAATTTTCAATCTATCGAATTCGTTACCATTTGGCTTCAATATAACTTAATCAACTTTTTTCTTGTTATTGTTAAATAATTGAGTAATTCAAATGTACTAATAACAATACTTATTTCAAATTCAATTTTATTTGTTTTTAAAAAAATACAATAGGCTTATTTAAATTCTGCCCAAGATAAACTGGATAAATTTACCCATGAAGCAGGACAAACTTCAAATAAAGAAGTACAACGATTAGTTGCAAGTATATTTTATTGTTTAAACCTAGTTGCTTTACAGTATATTTCACCTTGTTTTCTTTTCTTATGTCTTTTATGCTTATATAAAAATTTATCAGGTCTATCATGGTTACCTTATGATTATCATCAACAACAATATCTATATTCTTCTGATACATTAAATGTATTACCATCTTTTGTATCGAACATTCAAAATAATTTTACTAATTATTTTTTAATTGATTTCATGAATCAAAATAATTTTACTTCATGGTCAACTGTATTTATGCAAGCTAGATATATCTTTAGTCAAATTATGGATCATTTCTTATTTCATGGAATGATTATTTCACGTGGTATATTTGGATTTTTAGTATGGTGGACGATAACTAGTTGGCAGTTGATGTGCTTTTTAGGTTTAGCTTATCATCGATTTGCAAATGAATAAGAACTACAGTGGAATTAGACTTATTCTCTGTCAAATTAAGTGAAATATCTTTTATTTTTCTTTTGTAATTTAGACCAATTTATCAACTTTACTTCTTATACTGTAATTTAATTTTAGTATTATTATTGTTACATTTAATGATAGTGATGATGGTATTTGTACCTTTTTAGCATTTGTTTCCAATAAAACCAACAAACATACCCCTCCTTCTTTCTCTTCTCTCTCTCTCTATATATATATATATATATATATATATATATATATATATATATATATATATTCAATCGGGCACATTATATTAGCACAGCATGATGATACTGTCAAGAAAAACGTCCAAGTAGTAATAGTATTGTTATTAGTAGTAGCAAACATTGGACATAAATAATATAATTCTAGAAGAAAGGATGACTTCGTGTCATAAAAAGTAAACGTATTTTAAGGTGCTATTATGAGCTATATCACTCAACAGTGTCAGTCAGTAATCTACAACGTAGGACCAGGCACATATATGCATCGGTCCAAGTTGCCATACCTCATTAGCACAACAAGATGAACACCGAATTCATAGAAGTAGTTAATTCAATGGTAATAATATATAAAAGAAAGATTGCATATAATGATATAATACAGGGAGAAAGAATTAGTTTGCAGAAAGAAAGTTAAAGCAATTTTAATATCACGGTTTAAGGGAAGACAAAGAGTGTATACACCTACACTATTGTGATCGATTCTGAGCCATGCCAACAAGAGTCTCCAACCATTGGTTACGATAGTCATGCGGACCCCAACCAAGTAGTCTGCATCTAACAACATTGCTCAGACTAGAAGTTAGTGACTTCAAGGACTGATACCACGTTTTGGTTTGGCAGCCCCTAACTTCCTTCCAACCATCCCCAACACTAGTCAGCATTACACGTCGTGGTAATCGGGGTTCAGACATACGTAACACGTGGCCCAACCATCTCAGTTGATGAAAACTGACAACCTCATCAACTGATTTACCACCATTACTTAATACCCTGAGTCTAACCCCTATTACTTACCCGGTGATCCCAGCAGATGCGAGCAATATTTCTACGGCATCTGTGGTCAAATACTTGTAGATTATGAGTATCTTCTACTCTAAATGGCCATGTTTCTAAGTCGTAAAGTAGAACGAAATGAATTGCTGCTCAGTATGTTCGTCCCTTAATTGATAGAAGGATATCTCTCCTTCGCCATAGGTGACGTAAGCTGGCAAAAGGCAAACGAGCTTTTCGAATCCGTGCAGAGATTTCGTCAGACACCAATCCATTAGTGCTGATCAAACTTCTAAGGTAAGTGAAGTTGTCGACGCGTTCGACTACTTCCCAAACATTCGGGCATTGTTGCTCAGTGTCATTAAAAGACTGCATTTTATCAGCGTCTTCGCGAAACAGGACCATACGATCTTCATATTATAAGTCGATGAGTGGACCTCCTGGTAGATCAATGCCCGAGAATTCAGTCGACGAGAGCGTTATTTACAGCAGTATGTCTGTGATGAATTTGAAAAAAATGGATATAGTGGACAGTCTTGCCTGACAGCGAGGTTTCTGTAGACCTGGGAGTGTTTTGAGCACTAGGATCGTTGGCTATGGTGACACTTGAGGAGGAAGTTTAGAGTTGAAAGTCTGTGTAGGATGAATAATAGGAATTGAAGAGAGAGGTTTATTATGAATACAGTGATTTTGAGTGCTGTTAGAGGTATGAGGGTGATTATCACTTCACGGTTGCCCACACCATGGGAGGGTTCTTCTGGAGGTACCTGAAAGGGAAATTGGATTAGAAGTTGTCTTAGTGACCCGAGAGCGTGACTGCAGTGCCCAAGGGACAACTACTTGAGGTCGGTCACACACGACCTTTTTATGAGTAATTTTCGTGTGAGCTCCGTACTTGTTGAAACCTTACCGCCGAGGATGGAATTCCATGGGATAAGACGAGGTGTGTATTTTTAGGGTCGACCGTTTCTAACTACACCCCTCTTTGTGGAAAGGCAGCACCACTGTTATGTTGGTTGTCTGAAGGAAACATCTTACTGCCGTCACAACTCTGTACAGTCAGTAGTACGACTTCGCCTTCGGACCTTGGGTTTGCCGCTCTTAGTCTTATCGACCCATTTGGCATGCTAGGACCTTGAGAAACGTTTGCTCTAGTCACTATAGCTCGATTGGTTCATCACGACAGGCAAGTTCTACCAACACCGTCAAGGTAGCAATAACGTCATCCATATTTCTCAAGTTAATAATTAGATCTGGTAGCTAATCTATTCCTTTAGTGTCACACGAAGCAAGTCTTATCTTATGAGAAATGTTTTACGCAAAGTTTAAAAAATAGGAATAGTGAACAACCCTGCTAAATCCCATATTGGATTAGAAATTCTGATGAATGCTCAATCTACACCATAAAATAACCATCAGTATTTGAATCAAGATCTTTTAAAGTGTTACGCTACATTTTGTCCCTCCCTTCAGTAGAATGTACTTCCATAAGACTTTTCAATAGATAGAATCACAAACATTTATATTGAGGAATATATTTATAGAGTTTATGTATACACTGTCACTTCCAGTATATATTATCATAGGTGACAACTATCAAGTAAAATCCAGAAAATAGTCAAATTAATCACTTACTGTACTTATAATTCTGTTGCTGTTAGTGTATGCCTTCGGAAATTGGTTATATTTAACGAAACATTTTCAGATGACTGTACTAAGTACTTGTGTTACTGAAAACATGTGTTCAGATAGTATTGAATTAAAGTCTCCACCTCAATTATCTCTAGATGGTTTATAATACTATTTGACAAATGGTCATCAAACTAGTTCAGTCCAAAGCATCCTCGATATCAACTGGTCGTTATATATATATATATATATATATATATATATATATATATATATATATATATATATATATATATATATAGACTAATATACTTACATAAGTTATTCAATTATCCTCATGTTTAGTACAAAACAACATTCTACACTGTCTTCTAGGAGACATTTAAAGTTGAAAACCAAACTGACGACTTCTACTAGTGTAGATTATACTTTGGATTTTAAGTAGATGTATAGATTTAGTCTCAGTTATTCGAAGTAAACCTGTCACTCGTTAACAGTTATAGCTTTACAACGATAACTATATAAATATATGTGGGGCCTAATTTTTGTCAGTATGTTTTCTTGATTAAATCTCTGTGACGTTTTACAGCGGGTCTCGAGTTTTCTCACACTCCAGGCAGGCTTATATTCAGGTTGACGAAACCACAACTTTGATATATGTACATTTCAAAAAACCGCTTTTCTTATTTAACTTAATACTAGGATTGTCTGATAAACCATGTTTTTGTAACTCAGACTTCATCCCTCTCACTCATATGTTAAGAACCACCAGTATTTTGTAGGCCCGCTTCTGACTACTCATAAGTAGTTCGTAATTATTCTGCCAAACTTTAGGAGAATTACCGGTCATTTTGAGTTTTAGCTAACCTGTTGACATATATATACTCTGAACAGATGGTTCTACATTGTCTGTAATAACAAATTTGATTACATTCCTAGACCGTGGAAGTTTTTGTAACAATTTGTCATATTTCTCCTCAATTAGTCTGCATTACTCGTTATTGATTATTATCTCAATTGAATATATGTCACTTTGAATTATACATTTGTTAGTTTTAACCATTTGTACAAATGTATCTAGTAATTATTAGTTACATTACTATTCACTCGATAATCAATATAATTACGTTGTTAATAACTCATCCAACTTATCTTAGTGCTTTTCAAGTCAATAAACTGACTGGTATCCAAAAAGACTGTATTCTAGTTTGTTTATTTAACAGTGAATGGAACCTAATTTATATGCTTCCATACAACCCATATCCTTTCGAACTTCAGTGGTTACACAATGATGTAAAACTGGTATCTCACTAACAAAGAGACGATGTCAAAAAATCCTATGCATCGTATTTATTTTGATAAGATGCATTTCACGAAGTTAGAAATAATTAGATTGATTATCTTTTAATGAGATAGTACCGTAGATACGGTAGTACAACTAAAGGAATAAGGAAAACAACTTAATTCTAAACTAAATGATTTTAAAAAAGCTTTAGAATCTCGAAAGAACAGAAATTATGTATGAAATGTATTAATGAATGTTGTAAAGACTACACTAATTTGATAAAGTATTGATTATAACTGAGACAGCTGAAATAATGATTTGTTCCCAAGACCGATTCCCAACTCTTTAAGCCAACAAATGTCAAAAAATATGGACACAAGCTTACAAACCGGAAATATGAATATTTATTACTAACTTTTTATTCATAAATTATTCAACCAAATTAGTATAACTATGCATTGAGGGCTGGTTAACAAATACATCAAGGCAAAAAAATAGGTCGTAAATAACTCAAAACACCTTCACTTATACCATAACAGTCACTGATATAAATAAGTCGCATTCTTAGTATTTCCAAGTACGCCCATAGAATAATCGTTTGGATTTCGGCATTCAAAAGCTTTTTTACATATCTTATTACCAATATATTATTTTACAAATACAATAGAATGTTAAAATCTGTAAACATGTGCTATAAGTAATTGATTTCAAATGTAAACATTAAAATAGTCGTCTTCTCATATAAACCTTGAGTTGCACAACAGGAATTGTCCAATTATTTAAGACTATGTTCCTATCCAAAAAAGTATATAAAAATTAACGAATTAAATTAGAAAAATGAATACAAACCACTATGTATATGATCCATTTCATTGCTCCATTTGTATAAGGACAGTGTGAATTCCAATTGTACCTGTACAGTGAAATTCACACAACGGACATTTGCGTACTCGATATATTAGATCCGATTTATCAGTATCCTAAAGATAAAAAGAAGTGGACAATAAAAATACCAGTAATATGTTTTACCATAATCTATACATAAGTGAAAACGAAATTATGCAACAGTGATCAGATCGTTTTATGTAAATTTTGCGGCAGACATTTAATTGATAATGATTCGTTCACACCAACTTTTTATCATTTCTATGTATTATCTCCGTCTGTATTCTCATGATCCACTTCACTTATGCTCATCTAATAGCCAGGGTAGAACACAGTAGAAAAATAACTCCTAAAAAGACAGTTCAATTTTATAACATGACTTATTAGA